AGGGCAGAAACTCAAGGCAGGAACCTGGAGGCAGTAACAGATGCAGAAGCTATGGAGGAGCGCTCCTCACGGCTTGCTCAGCCTGCTTTTCTTATACAGCACCCAGGACCACCAGCTCAGGGGTGGCTCCACCCACAGTGAGCTGTATCTTCTGACATCCATCATTAATCTTTAAGAAAATGCCCCACAGGTGAGTCTGGTTGGGGGCACATTCTCAGTAGAGGTTCCCTCTTCCCAAATGGCTCTAGCTTGTGTCTTGTTGACCTAAAACTAGCCAGGACAGGATGAGGCTTCTTCCTCTTCTCATGTTCTCCCTCCCTCCCTCCCTCCCTCCCTCCCTCCCTCCCTTTCTTCCTTCCTGCCTTCCTTCCTTGTTCTCGCTTCCTTCCTTCCTCCTCTGCCTCCTTCTCTTCCTTTTTGACAAGGTCTGATGTAGCCCAGGTTGGCTTCCAGCTCCCTATATGCAAAGATGATCTCGAACTTCTGATCCAGCCCCTGCCCCCCATCTCCTCCCCAGTACTAGTGCTGGGATTACAGGTGTAGGCCATCATGCCAATTTATATGATGCTGAGAACTGAACCCAGGGCTTCATTTCTGCTAGGCAAGCACTCTACCAACTGGGCCACCTTTCCAATACTTTCCCCATCTTTCTATCTTGTTCTATCTTGCTTCTAAAATCCCTTATTAATCGGTGGGGGGACAATTATACAAACGAGGCTGATTTTGAACTCCTTATCTCTGCCTCCTCCACCTCCCGTGTGCTGGCATTACAAGCTTGCCACCACACCTGCCGATGCATCATATCCACAGGATTCTGTCCCGGAAGTGGAGACCTTTTTAGGTCCGTTCTGCAGGCTTGCAGGCGGAGAAGGGAGCACAGGTAGAGAGAGAAAAACTCATTAATAGGATGCTTCAGTGTACACCACTCACAAGGGCGTTGGCTTGGTACAGTTCCTTAACTAATCTGACAATCTTGCTTCTGCTGTCTCTCAGAAAGACGAGTACAGTTTTTTTTTTTTAGCAAGTGACCTATTTAATTATGCCGCAATTCTTGATCCTCAGCCAGCAAGAGATGGATATCAGATGAGGAGAATGAGGGATGATAAATCAGGCTCTTGAACCCATTAATCCCTTTCTCTGAGAAACCTGATAATCTTGGATAGGAACATCGACTGTGGCTGCTACTGAAGTGAGCAGTTCTTTTTTTTTTTTTAATAATTTATTTAACTTTATTTTATGTGCATTGGTGTGAAGGTGTCAGATCTCCTGGGACGGGAGTTACAGAGAGTTGTGAGCTGCCACACGGATACTGGGAATTGAACCCGGGTCTGAAGTGAGCAGTTCTTGTAGTGTTAGCTCTTGGCATTAAAATAGATGTTTTAAGGAAGAGAGAATGGTCACACGTCACTACAGACGACAAAAGCTTCAAAATGTTTGTGGTTCCAGGTCCGATGAGAATCTGCAGGGTGGGCAAAGCTGTGGGACACCAATAGGGACAGGATAGGAAGAGAAAAGTTGCCTGTGGAGGAACCATGGATGCAGAGGGTGGAGAGATGCCCAGCAATGAAGAGGGCTTGACACTCTTTCGGAGGACCCAAGACTGGTCCCCAGGACCTGGGTCAGGTGGCCCACAACCACCTGTAAATCCAGCTCCAGGGCATCAGACATCTTCTTCTGGCTTCAGCTGGAACCTGCGCGCGCACACGCGTGCAGGCACACACAGACACACACACACACACATACACACACACATACACACACACACTTTTTTTTCCATCTCTTTTTTTTTAATTTATTTTTCTATTATCAGCTTGATACAGTATAAATTCTTATCCTAATAGTGATAGTGAAATGTTTCATTGAGGCTTGCCCAGTAATTGAGTAAAACCAAAACTTATTATAAGTCACAGTCATCCTAGGGTCCCCCCTGCTATATAGCCTCCCTGGTTCTGTGGGTTGCAGTCTGATTGTTCTTTGCTTTATATCTAGAATCCACTTATGAGTGAGTACATACCATGCTTTTCCTTCTGGGTCTGGGTTACCTCACTCAGGATGATATTTTCTAGTTCCATCCATTTGCCTACGAATTTCATGCTGCCATTGCTTTTTTTTCTGCTGAGTAGTACTCCATTGTGTATATGTACCACATTTTCTTAATCCATTCTTCAGTTGAGGGGCATCTAGGTTGTTTCTAGGTTCTGGCTATTACAAATAGTGCTGCTATGAACATAGCTGAGCATGTATCTTTGTGGTATGATTGAGCATTCCTTGGGTATATGCCCAAGAGTGGTATGGGTATTGCGGTAGATCGATAGAAACTGCCATACTGATTTCCACAGTGGTTGTACAAGTTTGCATTCCCACCAACAGTGGAGGAGTGTTCCCTTTGCTCCACATCCTCTCCAACATGGACTGTCATTAGTGTTTTTGATCTTAGCCATTCTGACAGGTGTAGGTGATATCTCAGAGTCGTTTTGATTTGCATTTCTCTGATGATTAAGGATATTGAGCATTTCCTTACATGTCTTTCAGCCATTTGAGATTCTTCTTTTGAGAATTCTCTGTTTAGCTTTGTAGCCCATTTTTTAATTGGATTGTTCAGTATTTTGATGTCTAGTTTCTTGAGCTCTTTATATACTTTGGAGATCAGTTCTCTGTCAGATGTGGGGTTGGTGCAGGTCTTTTCCCATTTTCTGTAGGCTGTCTTTTTGTCTTATTGACCATGTTGTTTGCTGGTGTTATATTTAGGAAGTGATCTCCTGACACACACACACACACTTATCCATACATAAAAACTAAAATAAACCTTTTTAAAAGAAGGATTCATGATAATGGGGTTAGCATGCCAGAAGCCCTGGGTTGCATTACCAACACTCCAGAAACCAGGAGTGGCGGTGCACACCTGTGATCTCAGGACTGGGGAGATGGAGACAAAAGGATCAGGATTTCAAGGTCATCCTGAGCTGAAAGGCCAGCCTGGTCTACAGAGCGAGATCTAGGATAAGCACCAAAACTACACAAAGAAACCCTGTCTCGAAAAACCAAAAACAAACAAAAAACCCAAAAAACAGAAAAACAAAAAGCTAAAAGATAAATCAATCAATCAATCAATCAATCGGTGTCTTGAGATGTAGCTTAGGTGGTTGACTGCTTGCCTAGCATGCACCAAGAAGGGTTTGTGTCATTTTCTTCAATGGAGTGGCCACAAGTAAGTTGTCCATGCTTCAGTAAAGAGTCATTTACCCATGCTCATTCCAGAAACCCCAATTTATATATTGCATATCCTGAACAACCTAAGTCTTGTTTATTGTAAAAAATAAATAAATAAAATAAAAATAAATTTTTTGAGACAGGGTTTCTATGTGTAGCATTGGCCAAACTAGAACTCACTCTGTAGACCAGGCTGACCTCCAACTCAGAGATCCCCCTGCCTCTGCCTCCTGAGTGCTAGGATTAAAGGTGTGCGCCATCAACACCCGGTAAAATTCTTTTTAGATTTATTTCCCATCTCTGAGTGTTTTTCCTGCATGTATGTGTGTGCATCCTGTGCATGCCTTGTGCAGGTAGAGGTCAAAGAGGATACTGGGCCCCCTAAAACTATTTCCAGGTGGTTGGGAGTCACTGGGTGGGTGCTGTGAGCCAAACCCAGGTCTTCTGTGAAAGCAACAATTGCTCTTAATTGCTGAACCATCTCTCTAACCCCTTAGTGCTTTTAAAAAAAGATTTACTTTTATATACATGAGTGTGTGTGTGTGAATAGATGCCACATGCATGTGCCCACAGAGACCAGATGAGGGTGTCGGATTTCCCAGAATTGGATATAGAGACAGCTGTGAGCTGCCATGTGCGTTCTGGGAATAGAACCTGGGTCCTCTGGAAGAGCAGCCAATGCTCTTAACCACTAGGCCATACACATAAAAAAAAATTAAAAATTATATGGGGGCGGGGGTGGTGGTGGCGCAGACCTTTAATCCCAGCACTCAGGAGGCAGAGGCAGGTGGATCTCTGAATCTGAGGTCAGCCTGGTCTACAGAGTGGGCAATGTTAATATATAGCTAAAAGTCCCTCAATCTGTTCCATGTGTCCCTAACAATGGCTTTATTCCACCCAGGATGGTCAAGGTGCTCCCCCTATTTCCTATTCTGCCTCCAACCAAGTGAGGGTTTTTCTTCCCTTCCTTCTGGGGACCTGTTCCCCAGCATCCTCACATTTTGCTGATCAATGTAAGGTGGACAATGGCCCCTCACTGGCATTGCTCTATTATCTATCTAAATCAATCCATCCATCCCTCCCTCCCTCCCTCCCTCCCTCCTTCCCTCCCTCCATCTGGTTTTCGAGACAGGATTTCTTTGTGTAGCCCTGGCTGTCCTGAAACTCTCTCTGTAAACCAGGCTCGCCTCAAACTCAGAGACCTACCTGGGATTAAAGGCATGTGCCACTACTGCCTGGCATGTATTGTATTTTTATTTGATTTTGTTTTATTGAGACAGGCGCTCATGTGGCCCCAGGCCTTTATCATGTGGTTTTTAAAAAGATTAATTAAAAAAAAAAAAAGCGTTATGTGTATGTGCTGTGGAGTAGTATGTGGGTATGTGCAGTACTCATGGAAGCCAGAAGGGGGTGCCAGAACCCCGGGAGCGGAAGTTCCAGGTAGGTTTGTGAGCCTCCTGATGTGGGTGCTCTCTGCAGGAGTGAGCACTGTAGCATCTCTCCAGCACCCCTTCAAGATGTTTTAAGTTTATGATTTTGTGTTGATCGTGGATTCATAGCTATCCTGCCTGCCCGGGGCCTCTGGCATGGGAGGTGTAGAACCAGGAAATGACAGGATCAGATGGGAACCTCGACTCCCCTTCCTGCCTCTCACCATCGGCATTCAGTTGTTTTTGTTTTGTTTGGTTTTTGGGATTTTTTTTTCTACTTCCTTTATGTCCCCAGTGGCCAGCTCAACAAATCCCCAAACCCATCTGAGGAAGACAGGCTGAAGCAGGAAACACATGGCGTCTCTTCAGGGTCCCACTTTATTACTGGGGCGCGAGCAGCTTTGGGTGGGTGGAATCTAGGCCTGCTGGGCCCGCAGCAGGGCTCGCACCTGGCCGATCTGCCACTCCACACTGGATCGTGCAGTACCACCCAAGGCACTGTACTGTTCCACGCTGTGGCCGTAGTCCCACACGTGACTCACGTCACCGGAGAACAGGGGGCTGGGGGAGAAAGACGAGTCAGGACAGACAGTGCATGCCAACCTGGAGCTGCCCAGGGTCAGCTTCCGGATGCAGCTTCCGAGATGGGGGTGGGGGTGGAGGAGGGGCGCGCACACCTGATGGTCTGCAGTTCCTGCAGCGACAGCTGGTTGAGGGCGACTCCTTTAGTCTCTGCCATGAACACAGCTTTCCCTGAGGCCTCATGGGCCTGGCGGAATGGCATCTAGAGACAAAGGCAGAGGGGGGTGCTGTCGGGAGCTTGTTTTCTGCTGGGTGACCTGGGTGCCTGACTTTGGGGACACCCTTGTCCGCATGCCCAGCTGCTTCACACTCACCCCTTTGCGGACCAGGTAATAGGCGAGGTCGGTGGCCAGCATGTCAGGGCTGAGTGCCTGTGTCATGTTCTCACGGTGAATCTGTGGGCACAGGTTCAGTAAAAGTGAGCTAAGGTGCCGGGCGGTGGTGGCGCACGCCTTTAATCCCAGCACTCGGGAGGCAGAGCCAGGAGAATCTCTGTGAGTTAGAGGCCAGCCTGGGCTACCAAGTGAGTTCCAGGAAAGGCGCAAAGCTACAAGGAGAAACCCTGTCTCGAAAAACCAAAAAAAAAAAAAAAAAAAAAAAAGTGAGCTAAGGGATCTCATGGAGTCTGCCCTACTGTGTGCTAAGCAATCGAGCAGTCTCTTATGCCCCCACTCCACCCCACTAGCGACCAACTCTCTGTTTGGACATTTTCATCATTTTTTTTCTTTTTCTCTTTTGAGACGTTGTAGCCCAGACTGGCCTCAAATTTACAATCCCGCCTCAGCACCTCAGCATCCCTAGTGTTGGGATTACAGGAGTGTCCCCATGCTCCCAGAATAGTATTACATTATTTTTTTTCTTTTTCTATTAAGTGTGTGTGGTGTACCTATTGTATGTGCATGATTTTTTTTAATTCAGGGTTTTTGTTGTTGTTGTTGTTTTATTATGTGTAGTGTTCTGCCTGCATGTACACCTGCACGCCAGAAGAGATCTCATTACAGATGGTTGTGAGCCACCATGTGGTTGCTGGGAATTGATCTCAGGAACTTTGGAAGAGCAGCCAGTGTTCTTAACCTCTGAGCCACTTCTCCAGCCTGATGATTTAAAAAAATATATGTGCATGTCCATGCATGTGAACGCCTGAGGCTGAGGCAGGGAATCGTCTTTATTAGTGCTTCTACCTTATTCACTGAGGAAGAGTCTCTCAATCAAACCTAGTCCTCACAGACATGGCTAGTCTCACTAGCCAGCTTCCTCTGGGGATCCCCTATGTGGTGATTTGAAAGAATATGGCCCCCAAAGGGAGTGGCACTATTAGGGGGTGTGGCCTTCTGGTAGTAGGTGTGGTTTTGTTGGAGGAAGTGTGTCACTGTGGAGGCGGGCTTGGAAGTCTCATATATGCTCAAGCCACACCCAGTATCTCAGACCACTTCCTGTCGTCTTCAAGTCAATATGCAGCAGGTCCTTCACCAGCATGATGTCTGCCTGCACACCACCATCCCCGCCATGATGATAATGATTAAACCTCTGAACTGTAAGCAGCTGCCTCAATTGTTTTCTTTTATAAGAGTTGCTGTGGTCATGGTGTCTCTTCACAGCAATAGAAACCCTAACTAAGACACCCTGTCTCTGTTTTTGGGGTCTGGAATTACAGATGTGCCTCCATGCCCAGCTGGTATCTGCATGTGTTTCTGGGGATGGAAACTTGGGGCCTCACACTTGTGAAGCAAGTGCTCTAACCACTGGGCAATCTCCCCAGTCCCTATCAGGTAAGCAGAGGCACATTTTGAGAACCAGTGCTTTAGAAAGAGCTGAACTATTCAGGGATGAAATGAGGAGACATTGGAAACTGACTTCAGAATAACTGGGAGAGGAAAAGAAATGGAGAAAGACAGCAGAAGCAACATGTGACCACACAGCGAGACCCTGTCTTAACCAAACAAAGAATGGTCATGAGGTGGTTATTTTTAAAGCAGGATGTTGGCACGTGGGGGTTCTCTATGCATCTTTGTTGTATACTGAAAGTTCATATGATAACTCACGTGTAGCGGTACATGCCTTTAGTCTCAGCACTCTGGAGGCAGAGGCAGGTGGATCTCTGTGAGTTTGAGGCCAGCCTGGGCTACAGAGTGAGATCTAGGACAGCCAGGGCTACGTAGTGAGACCCTGTCTTACCACCACCCCCGCCCCCCCCCAGAAAAGAAAGTTCATGTGATACACGGCTACAGCGGGAATCTGGTTAGTGGTAAGGAGCATGCCTGCGACCCCAGCACTTAGGAGACAAAGACACAGGATGGTGAGATTAATGCCAACCTTGGCTATATGCAAGACCCGATCTCAGAAGGAGAGTGCGGAGAGGCTGAGGCCTCATATGGGAGGCCAGCCTGTGCTACATAGTAAGATCCTGGCTCAAAAAAAAAAAAAAATCCTACTCTGTCCAAAACCTGGGACTTTGGTGTCTAACCACCCCTACTCTTCTGTTCCAGGTTTTGGTGCCTTGCCCTCCCCATCCCAGGTCTTCTGGCCTCATCTCCTCCCCCTGCAAACCACTGGCATTTCCACTGATCAAGGGCCTAGCGAAGGGTGATGTGGGGAGGGCTAGTCTTGCCTGCAGCGTGGAGATGACTCCCGTGGCCACTTGGAGGACAGCAGTCATGGTGTCAGACACTTCAAACACGGCTTCTTTGTCTTCCTGGGAGGCATGTGGCAGGTAAGGGGCCGGTAGCCCCACCCGTCACCCAGACCTCTCCCCTTGTTCCATTTGGTACACTTAGCACCTCTCCCTGCTACCCCAAGGAGCAGCAGGGTACTTCTGAGGATAGTCACGGACTGTGTGCCCAGGACAGGAAGGAATCATTCCTGTTGGGGTATGTCAGCGCTCTGAGAAGAAGGCTAGGGTATCGCCAGAGGATTCCTCCTTACATTCCCAGCCTCGTACCTGTAAGTCCTTGTTGTAGGTGCTTGGAAGTCCTTTGAGAGTCATCAGGAGCCCAGCACACTGCAGGAAGAATGAAGCTGAGGAGCTGGGACACCAGAGCCAATCCTGAAGTCCCCTGAGGCCCCACTGGGTCCGTCTGGAGGCCTTGCCTTCCACTCTTCCCAGCTCACCCGCCCAAACACTCGGCCCGCTTTGCTCCGGATCAGCTCCAGGCTGTCTGGGTTTTTCTTCTGGGGCATCAAGCTGCTTCCAGTGCTGGGGACAGAGGTGTGAGGACTGAGGTTCTGCTTACGCCTGGCTGGCCCGGGGGCAGAGGCACTGGGCGGGTCTTGCAAAGGCTGGGGTGGGAGGAAGCCGTTCCAGGTGGTGCTGAGATAACGGCCCTTACCTGTAGGCATCGGAGAGCTGCACGAAGTTGAATTCCTTGGTGCCATAGAGGATAAGGTCCTCTGCCATCCTGCTGAGGTGGGTCATACACAGAGAAGCCCAGAACAGGAACTCCGCTGGAAGGGACAGCACGCTCTTTCTTTTAATTTTTACCCTCTGGGTGCGTTCACTCATAGAGGTCAAAGGACCACTTGTAGGAGTCAGATCTCTCCTTCCACCATGTGGGTTGAGGGCATCAAACTCAGGCCGTCAGGCTTGGAACTATGCGCTTTTACCCACTGAGTAATCTTTTTTTGTTTTGTTTTGTTTTTGTTTTTGTTTTTGTTTTTGTTTTGAGACAGGGTTTCTCTGTGTAGCTTTGGAGCCTGTCCTGGAACTTACTCTGTAGCCCAGGCTGGCCTCGAACTCACAGAGATCCTCCTGGCTCTGCCTCCCAAGTGCTGGGACTAAAGGCGTGCCCCACTGAGTAATCCTGCTGGATTTGTTTGGGGTTTTGTTTGTTTGAGACAGGGTCTTTGAAAGCCCAGGCTAGCCTCAAACTAACTAGCAGAGGATGTCCTCCCATTACTGGTGTTCCTGCCTCCACTTCCCAAGCGCTGTGACAGTGGGTGTGTACCAATACGCCCAGTTCATGCCCAGTGCTGAGGATCAAACCCAGAGGTTCAGGCCCACTAAGAAGCATTCTCCTAACTGACGTACATCCCCAGCCCTGGACTCCTCTGTCTTACCCACAAAGTCTCTCTCGCTGGTGGCATCCATGCTGTTGAGTGTGATGGCGCCGAAGTTCAGTTCTGGATGTTGAGGGAGGAAAAATGGTTAGACTGGAAGGTGAGAAACACTCTTCTCTACCCTGAACCGGGGTCCCCAGCCTCATCCTGGAAATGAGAATGGAGGAGGAGCATGGGGTGGGGAGAGGGGCCTCTGTACAGATCTCAGGAGGGTGGATGGAGGTCCGAGTATTCCCAACAATAGGTACCCATGCCATAGGCAACCCCATTTATCTCAGTACCCATAGGCAAGATATGAGGGCCTCTGCCCTCTCATTGTGGGGGGGGGGGCACCGAAGTCTTTGTGTTCACAGATAAGCATTAGGGGAACCCAGAAATGACAACACACAGGGTTGTCACTTCAAAAGGAGGGGTGTATAACCTGCTTTCCACCCAGAAGGCTGGGAGCAGAAGAGGTTGATAGCCTGGTGATCATTGCACTCTCTGTGTGGCCGAGACCACACCAGATCCCTCCCCCCCCCCCCCCAGGACCCTTATCATGAGCTGGTCAATCTATAGAACCTATCTTTATGGAAGGTGTCACATGTACTTTCCAAAGAGTTTCAATATAATCATGTCATAAGTTTTATGACACATGGGATTATTGTGCACATGGGACTGAGTTAATTATCACCAAGGAAAATTTCATCTAATTGTGCTGCGCTTCAAAATGCCTAAAATAAACTGCTTGGGGTCAGATTCCCAAAGTTTGAAGCAACACTGGCTGCTAAGTTGTGTTGAACCTACAATCCTGTGTGTTTGACATTCCTGGCTCCCCTAGTGCTTATCGGTGAACACAAGGACCTCCGTGTCTCCCACATGTCATCTCATGTGTCTTTGGGACCCAGCAGGCGCTAAGAGAAGGATGAACAGGGTATACCTCACCTGCTCGGAGTAGCTCCCGGTCCACACCCAGGGGGTTGCCTGCAATGGCCCCACTGTAGAGACAAAGGGTTCATCGTGATTGAGGTTCCGGGTACCGCACACATGCAACACTTAGAATCAAATCTAAGGTACTCAGCCCCTTTGCTGGCCTGGCCACCTTAAGGCCCCAAACATTTGGCATCGTGCAGGGAAAATGGTGTCCAATGGTTGGAGTTTCAGCACATTCTTAAGTTGGGTTATTCCCCTTGTTAGAGATCTGGAAGACCAACTAGGAACTAGCTTTTTTGTTGTTGTTATTAAAAACATTATGTGTATATGTGTGTGCTTCCTTGTCTGTATGTGAACCATATACATGTAGGTGCCCACAGAGACCAGAAGAAGACCTCAGAGATGCTGGAACTGGAGTTAGAGGCACCCAATGTGAGTGCTGGGAACTGAACCTGGGTCTTCTGCAAGAGCAGCCAATGCTCTTAACCATCTCTCTAGCCTTTATGGGTTTGTTTTGTTTTTAAAGATTTATTTTTATTTATGTGTACATATATGTACACATGTGAATATGTCACATGTATGAAGGTGCCCACGGAGGCCACCATGGAGGCCAGAGGAGGGTACTGGATTCTCTGGAGCTGGAGTTACAGGGGGGTCATAAGTCACCCAATGTGAGTGCGGGGAACTGAACTCTAGTCCGGAAGAGCAAGCGCTCTTAACCAGTGAGCCAGCCCACCTTGGAGTTTTTAATTGGCATATATATTATACATATCTGACTTCATTATGATATTTTTCATACACGTATAGAATGTATTTCAGGGGCTGGAGCGATGGCTCAGTGGTTAAGAGCACTGACTGCTCTTCCAGAGGACCCGGGTTCAATTCCCAGCACCCACATGGCGGCTCACAACCGTCTGTAACTCCAGCTCCAGGGGACCCAGCACCCCCTCAAAAAAAAAAAAAAAGAATGTATTTCAATTATATTCACTCCTCCATCACCCTTTCTTGTCCTCCTGCCCCGATGATCCTTTCTCCCCAGCTCCCCCCCTTTTTTTTTTAAAATTGATTTATTTTTATTTTATGTGCATTGGTGTTTTGCCTGTGTGAAGGTCCCCTGGAGCGGGAGTTACAGACAGTTGTGAGCTGCCATGCGGGTCCTCTGCAAGAGCATCAGTGCTCTTAACCGCTAAGCCATCTCTCCAGCCCATCCCCAGCTCCTTCTATTTGCATGTCTTTTTCCGTGACCCAATGGGGTTCACTTGGGGTTGCTACAGGCGCACGCACGTGTGAATGGTTCCCAACAGCAGCAGGGGCAACCTCCCCACTGAAGAAATGCCCCTCCCCAGCACCCGGAACTGTGTGTAAATAGACTCTGAGGAAGGGGCTGGCCCTCACAAGCCCCCCCCCCTCTAACCCCCAAGCTTTCTTCATCCATGCTGACTGTGTAGCTCTCCGCCCTCACTTCCCATCAGGCCTTGGGGACACTGAGGACAGCCGTACCTCCCCAGCGGCAGGACATTGACCCGCTTCTGCACCTCCAGCAGTCTCTCTGAGTCTCGCGTCAGGGCAACAGCGTGGCTGTGGGAAACCGGAAACGGGTGGGTGGTGGGAGGCAGGGCGCTAGGGAGCCTCCCTGTCCATCAAGACCCCCGGTGAGGGCCCCCTGCTCCACACAGCTCACCTCAGGATCCAGTGGCTCCAGCGGATGGGCTGAGCCCTCTGCAGGTGTGTGTACCCTGGGAAGAGGACATCACGTTCCCTGTAATAGAGGAAGAAGCAGGAGACCTGAGGGGTTGGGGTCCAGCAGGGACAGGTAAGGCTTGCCTAGGATACCTGGAACACTACAGGCTAGACTCTTTTCAGGGAAAGTAGGAACAGACCTGTGGGGCTCTGCCTGAAGAAGGGACCAGATGCTCACCAGGAGACAAAATGGGTCTTACGAGAAAAGAGACCGGAAGCGAGACAATGAGATCAAAGACTAAGCCAAGAAGGACACAAGGGGTGCAAGTCTACAGTCCCAGTGCTCGGGAGGTTGAGGCAGGAGGATTGCCATAAGATTGAGAGCAGCCTTGGCTATATGGTGAGCCCTATGCTGCCTGGGTTACAGATAAGAACCTCTCGGAAAAACAAAGCCCAGCTCTGGGTGTGGTGGCGCACACATGTGACCACAGCATTTGGGAGGCTGAGGCAGGAGGGCCTGGAGTTCAAGGTCAGCTTCAGTCACATAGAGGCTATGAGGACAGCTTGTACTGTCTGAAGTAAAAAAAAAAAAAAAAAAGAAAGAAAGAAAGAAATGGAAAGTCGAGGACAGGAAGGAGAGGAGCAGATTAAATTTGAGGCTAGCCTGGGCTACATAGCAAGTCCCAGGCTACCCTTAGTGTATAACCATCACCACATTCAATTTCAGAATGCTGTTATCATGCCACTACAAACAACCTTGTATTAATTTGCCCTCACATCCCCTATTCTTCCCAGCACCCCACCCCTATGCCCATGTATGCACAATTACAGGGGACACAGAGTCCCAGGAACGAGGAGGGGGTGACCCCTAATTCTGATACCACCTAAGACTTTTCAGGGGCTCCTTTGTCAAGTCTGTAGAGGACAAAGCCAGTTCCAGGGACATTAGAACACGGAAGCATGGCATGATGCTGGTAGGAGCCAGCCTTTGGCTCTGTGGCTTGCCTTCCATGTTGGGGTGGGATGTGGGATAAGATAGGACAGTGTGAACTGAAGGATGATTGCCTACTGAGGGCTCAGTCATGATCTTTCCTCGGGCACCTGGAGCTTTTGTCTCCAAAGATCCTTAAGGATGACTGGTCACTGCCCTCTGATCTGGGCTGGAGCTATGCAGACATGCTCCACTCCTAGGTGGTGGTGGTGGTGGTGGCGGCGGCGCACAATTTAATTCCAGCACTCGGGAGGCAGAGGCAGGCGAATCTCTGAGTTCTAGGCCAGCCTGGTCTACAGAGCGAGTTCCAGGATAGTCAGGGCTACACAGAGAAACCCTGTGTCAAAAATCAAAAACCAAGCCGGGCGGTGGTGGTGGTGCATGCTTTTAATCCAGCACTGGGGAGGCAAAGGCAGGTGGATCTCTGTGAGTTCGAGGCCAGCCTGGGCTACAGAGTGAGTTCCAGGAAAGGCTCCAAAGCTACACAGAGAAACCCTATCTCAAAAAATCAAAAATATATTCCCCATTCCTTACTACTCTGTATTGTTTTTGGAGCTCTAAGCCCACCTAATACCTCAGGGCCTCATTCTCCAACTCTCTTCACTCCTGCCATCTAGGTCTTGCACTTAGAGAACACAGAGCCTGGTGGCCCTCTGTGACTCCCAATGTCTGTTTTAAGGCCTTATCCTCTGAGCCAAACCACTGCCATCTTCACGAGAGTGGTTGAGCCTGTCACAGTTGGGCCCATGGGACTGGAGAGATGGCTGATTGCTTCAGGCCACTTGTTTTCGATTTGACTCCCAGTTCCCACATGGTGGCTCACAGTTATTCACAGCTTGAGTTCCAGGGGATCTGATGCCCTCTTCTGACCTCCACAGGCATCAGGCATGCAGGTGGAACATATGTATACACACAGTCAAAACACTCATAAAATAAAATAAATCTGAAACAAACAAATACCACCACCCCCAAACCCAACTGGGCCTGTGGACTGTTGATACTCTCTTCCTTTAGGAAGGAGCAGGAGGTTCTTTGGTCCCTCACTTGAGTATTCCATTATTCCTCAGACGTTTATATATGCAATTCTGCTCTAACTGTACATGGTCTCGCATTTGGTCCCTGGAGGAGCTACAGTATATAGGCTGGGACCCCATCTACTATGCAGCCACAGCGGAACCATCATCCACGCTGGGTGCGTACTTCCGGCCTGGCTGGCTTAGGGTTACCAACACCCATCCCTTGCTTAGATCCCCCCTAGAGAGAAAATCCTTGTGGCAGTGTCCCCCAGAAAACTTACGCCTCAGCCCGGTCGACCATGCTTCCAATAAGCGTCCAGAGGAGGGCAGAGAGTTTTGAACAGGTCTGCCTCATCCACAGCCTGAGGTCCGTGACCACCTGTGGGGATGAAAAGGCCCCACTCAGGGAGTGGAGCTTGCTGCTTCCCTGGAGAGCCAGGACTACAGCTGAGCCCCTAAGAGCCTCCCGGGTTCCCGAGGTTGAAAAGTTCACAGCAGAGGGCAAAGAGGGCTGGTGATTGATACCTGGTCGTTGCGACTTCGTCCTGTATGTAGCTTTCCCGCAGTTTCACCGATGAGCTCCTAGGGGTGAAGAGGCATGAGGTTAGGCTAGAATTCCCCGCTCAGTGCGAACGCTGAGTCTAGGTAGCGGTCCTTGCCATCCCTATGGCTTTCCCTCCCTATGCCAGGGACCCGGTCTTGCCCAAGCCTCTTGGCATTTCTACTCTGCCAATGATGGTTGGTGCCCAGGGTAAGGTGAAAAGGGGAGACCAACTGTTAGGAAAAGGGGTGTGCCATACCTTCAAGCGCCGCTCATTGGCTGTGTGGATGTCTTCATCGTTAGGGTGTAGTTTGAAGGTGCCCTGGGCCCACTCATCAGCTACCTGAAGCAGGTGGCAGCAACCCAGGGTATCAGATTAATAGGCATCAGGAGCCAGGAGTCTCCCTGCCTTGGTCTGGATCCACCATGGTTAAACGCCCTTGTATGGAAGCTTAGCCACAGACTATTCCTCGTCCTTGAGGGTTGATCTCAGACCCAGTCCACCTTGGTCTTGGGCCAGGAGGACTCATTAAAAGATAAAGATGAGCCGGGCGGTGGTGGCTCACGCCTTTAATCCCAGCACTCGGGAGGCAGAGCCAGGCGGATCTCTGTGAGTTCGAGGCCAGCCTGGGCTACCAAGTGAGTTCCAGGAAAAAGGCGCAAAGCTACACAGAGAAACCCTGTCTCGAAAAACCAAAAATAAAATAAAATAAAATAAAGATGGTGATTATAACACCTCTCTAGTCATCTCCTTACCTCGAGATTAAACAACAAACCTGGAATACTACAGCTTGTGCCCCAGGATATAAGAACCAGGATATGGCTCAGTGGCAGAATTGAACACTTGTCTAGAATCTCCCAGTGAGGGCCTGGGGGCATAGCTCAGAAGTAGAGCATTTACCCAGCATGCACCACAGCTCTGGGTTCCATCTCCAGCATCAGAAGGAGGAAATAAAGTTTAATGTAGTGCTTAGGGATTTGGGGTAGGAGCCTGGGTTCCCAGGGGAGTGGATGTAGGGTGGGCCTCGGGACATGGAGGCTACCTTGTCCAGGCCTTGCAGTATCTGCTGCATCTCGGCTTTGGTGAGAAGGCCCGCCTTCTCCAGGCCCCTGCTGTAGGCCTTGCTCCCCTGCACGTCCACGTTCCACAGATGCCGGTCATAGGAGATGGATGAGTTGAACTTCTCCATGATGGGGTCGACAGCACCCACAAACCGGCCGCCCCATAGCTTCCCACTCTGGCCAAGAGAGCAGAATAGAACACACGCTCAAAAGGAACCCTTAGGAGAGTTACCCAGAAAGATGAGGGGGCAGGGTAGGCATTAGACATTATCCTTACTGGACAGATAGGGCAACTGAGACCCAGAGTGTCAGGAACTTGGTGAGTGTGCCAGGGATATGACAGACACAGAAGTCAGGGCTCTTTCTCACTACATGGCATAGACCAGGTGGCATTCCTGGGATCACAACAGAATTTTTTCTTTAACTGACAGACAATATAGTATGTACTTACTCTATGATCATATATATGTATAAATACATATATATATGTATGAAGGTATTATACATATATACACATATATACTTACATATATGTGTATGTATATATAATACTGGAGATTAAACCTAGGGATTCTTGCATGGCAGACAAGCATGTTTGAGCTATATATTAACAGTCCTCTTTTATTTATTTTTTGGATTTATTTATTTTATCTTATGTTTTGCCTGATGTATATCTGTGCACCATATATGCATGCCTGGTACCCACAGAGGCCAAGAGGGTGTGTTGGATCCCCTAGAATTGCAGTTTATGGATTGTTGTGAACCACCATATGGGTGCTGGGAACTGAACCTTGGTCCTCTGCAAAAGCAGTAAGTGCTCTTAATCGCTAAGCTATCTCCCCAGCCCCTTATCTATCTATCTATCTATCTATCTATCTATCTATCTATCTATCTATCTATCATCTATCTATCTATCATCTATCTATTTATTAAGATAGGGTCTTACTATGTCTGGCTGGCTTGGCATTCTTAGATCTGCCTATCTCTGCCTCCTGAGTATTGGGATTAAAGGTGTGTGCCGCTACGATGGCCCTCTTAATTTTGAGAGAGTTTCCTAAGATGCCTAGGCTGGCATTGAACTTACTCTGTGGCCTAGGCAGGCCTTAAACTTGCAATCCTCCTGCCTCAGCCTTCCAAGTAGCTGAGATAAATATATATTGCAGAATGGTTAAATTTAACTTGCACAAGTTATATTGCTATTTGAAGGCCCAGACTGGCCTTCAAATCTCTATGATGACCTTGAGTCACCGATAATTCCGCCAATGCCTTCCTAGGGCTGTGATTAAAGGCGTGTGACCACGTCCAATTTATGTTGTCCTAGGGATGAAGCCCAATGCTTCAGGCACAGTAGGCAAGCACTCTACCAACTGAGCCACGTCCCAGCCCCTCTTTTTTTGTATCATTGTTTTTCTAAAAAGACATCAGCTGATCCCCCAACCCCAGGCACCAAAAAGGCAGAGGGACAGGTCAGAGAGGCACCTGTTTGGAAAGAGGAGGGTACAGGCCAGTGATAGGGACAGGTGGTAGGAGGGACACAGAACATACAGGAAACACAGTGACCATGACTCGAAGGAGAGTGTGGTAAACGTTAAGGGACATGGCATGTCATCGCTGGTGACCTTTCTGTGTGTGTGTGGGGGGATTGTCCGCAAGAGTCACTGGGGACATCTCACTTCTGCCCTAGAACTCTGAACTGACTTTGGACCTCGCGTATCACGCCTTGGAACCTCAGTTTTGGCTCTTTACAGAATAGGGAATATACCCACGTGATAGGCTTGTTATAAGCCAGTGGTCCTCAACCTTCCTCATGCTGTGACCCTTTAATACAGTTCCTCAAGTTGTGGTGACCCCCGACCACACAATTATTTTCATTGCTATGTTACAACTGTAATTTTGCAACTGTTATGAACCGAAATGTAAGTATCTGTGTTTTCTGATGGTCTCAGGTATGCCCTGTGAAAGGGTCGTTCAACCCCTCCCCCAAAGGGGGTGGAGACCCTTAGGGTGAGAACCACTGTTATAAGCATTCACTCTGATGTCATTTGCAAAGTGAATGCATAATGAAGGAGGGCTGGGGATGCTCAGGGTTAGGGGGCGTTCTCTCTCTCTCTCTCTCTCTCTCTCTCTCTCTCTCTCTCTCTCTCTCTCTCTCTCTCTCTCTCTCGTGTGTGTGTGTGTGTGTGTGTGTGTGTGTGTGTGTGTGTGTGTGTGTGTTGTATGTACATGTTCTCATCTGTGTACAAACACCAGAGGTCAATGTTGAGTGTCTTCCTCAATTGCTCTCTACCTTATTATTTATTACTGCTATTTATTATTTTTGAGACAGGGCCTCGCTATGTAGCCCTGGCTAGCTTGGAACTCACTGTAAGTCAAACTGGCCTGGAATTCATAGAGATTGCTAGTCTCGGCCTCCCAAGTGCTGGGATGAAAGTATATCGTCACATTTCTAGAGACAGGATCTCTCACTGACCCTGAACTCATGGATTCAGCTGGCCTGGCTGGTCAACAGTTTCAACTTCTCTAGCACTGAGACCCAATCTCAGGTCCTTAGGCTTGTACAGCAAAAACATTTTATCAGCCAAGCCACTTCCCGAGCCCTGGGGCTTGCTTTACAATCTGTGCTCCTGGGTCTGGTGCTGGGAGTACCACGGGAGCATCCACTGTGCTCTGGCCCCAGGCTATATGAGCTGACCTCCTCCAGTGCTCAAAGGTCTTGATTGTCAAAGGACTCTGATCCACAGAGGCAGCCTCCACCACCACCCCCAGCCTTGTGAGAGGTTCTGCATCTGACCCTTAGCTGCCTCAACAAAAGCCGGATCTCCTTCAAAGCGCCCTGTGGGCCCCTGGGGCTTGTGGGTCGGGGCCAGCCAGCCAGAACAGGGAGTGAGTCAGGCGCCTGTTGGGGAAGGCCCAGGAGGGATCCCGCCACTGCTTTCCATTCCAGATTTCTGGCCTCTGTGCCTGGTTTGTTGGTAATAACAACTCCTTAACAAGCAGGACAGCGGCCAGAGCAATTAGTACCAACCCACAGAATGGCTTGAGGCAAGCTGAGGTCATCTGCAGTCCAGACCACTGTTTGGAGAGCAAAGTGAGCTCCAAATCCCACCAGCAGGCTTCCAGGCACAGACTCCCCTTGTCCCCCTCCATTTTGGGATTGAGCCTAGGGCCTTGTGTGTGAAACACAGGTGTTGTACTACTGAGTTGTACCCAGCCCCTTACTATTGAGATTCTAAGCAGGCAGTCTACCACTGAGCTCACAACCCCAGCCATGCTTTTGGCTTGTGGAGATAGGGACATGCCATGTAGTTTAGGCTGACCTAGAACTCATTACAAAGTTAAAGCTGGCCTCAAATTGGTGATCCTTCTGCTTCAGCCTCCTGAGGGCTGGGGATACAAGTAGGAGCCACCACATTTAGCTCTGGGAAACATTCGAAACGACCTTGGGAGGTCAGAGCAAAGCGTCAACAACTGGTCAGTCAATGGGTAAGGACCAATGCAGCTGGAGAGGACATTGCTCCAGGCTAGGAGTCTGGGACAAGGGGAAAGGGACACAGAGTTGAGTTGAGTAGAATGAGCAAAATCCAATTCAAATGCACAAGGGAAGTTACCCGAGTGGTTACTGTGAGCTGAGTGTAGTGTTGCTCACCCATAACCCCAGCATTAGGGAGCTAGAGGCCGGAGGATTCATAGCTTTTTTGCTTTGCTTTGTTGTTTTTGGTTTTTTGGTTTTTTTGTTTGTTTGTTTTGAGTCAGGGTTTCTCTGTGCTGTTCTGGATGTCCTGGAACTCGCATGTAGACTAGGCTGGCCTCAGACTCAGAGATCCGCCTGCCTCTGCTCCGCTACACCTGGCATTGCAATTACATCCTTGTGTGAAGTGGACACCATTACCCCTACTTCACAAAGGAACTAAGAGGTCAAGGCCCATCCTCCTGTGTACAAATCACATCTGTTTGGCTCCAAAGTCCAGGCCTTGTTCCTGACCTTCCACATGACCCTGCAGCTAAGTAAATCAGGCCATCTTAACTCGTTCAGATGAGCTGAGAGGAAGGGGGTGACTCGCCAGCTACTGAAGATCAGATGGGACTGGGCAGGCAGGCATCTGCTTCCCTGCAGCCCCCTCCCCCTAAGAGTTCAAAGTAACGACTCCATGATCCACCCCTTACAAGTGGAGCCCAACGGCTCTCATTATTCCATTTGCTAGTTAAATCAACCAAGTCCACGGAAGGGACCTGTGCCTTGCACACCTATCACTAAATAGGAAGAGAAGCCAGGAATTCCTGGCTCAAAGGAGAGGACAGGGACACCCTGGGGGGGGGGGGTCACTTGGGTCACAGAGAGAGAGAGAGAGAGAGAGAGGTCTTTGCCTTCTGGCTCTTTCCATATGACAGAGCTCAAGTACTATTTAGGGACTTCACTTTTTCTATACATAAGGACACATGCATGGCACCCCTACAGGGTGGGGGCTGATAAGAGGGTGTGGGGGTGAAAAGTGGGTGTAAGAAAGGTGAGGTGGCTCATTAGGTAAAGGCCTTGCTGCCAAGCCTGTCGGAAAGAGAATCTATTTCCACAAGTTGTTCCCTGTTCTCCACAAGTGTGCCATGCCCGCACATGTACACACTCATAAAAATAGATAAACGAACAAAATAAACAAATAAAAAATGTTAAATGGAAAAAGTTTTGATGTGGTAGTTCACACCTGCAGGAGACTTGCCAGAAATTTGAGGCCAGTCTGGGCAGATAGTGAGTTCCAGTCCAGCCTGGGCTAAAGTGAGCTGCTGTCTCAAAGAAGAAAAAACAGGGGTTGGAACGAGGGCTGGGCCATTGAGAGTACTGGCTTCTCTTCCAGAGGATCCAGATTTTGTTCTCAGCACCCACATGGTGGCTCACAACCATCTGTAACTCCCATTCCTGTAAATCCCATGCCCTCTTCTGACCTCCATAGGCAAGCGGCCACCCATGTGGTGCACAAACATACATGTAGGCAAAACACCCATACACATAAAAATTTTGAAAAGGGAAACAATGCTGAGCATGGTGGGTGGCACACGCCTTTAATCCCAGCAAGCAAGAGGCAGAGGCAGGTGGAGCTGAGTTCGAGGCCAGCTTGGTCTACAGAGCGAGTTCCAGGGCAGCCAGGGCTACACAGGGAAACGGTCTCAAAAACAACAGCAACAACAACAACAACAAACCATTAAAAAAACAAGAAAACAAAAAGGAGGGGGCAGCCACGTGTGGCGGCCAGCCCTCAGTCATTAATAAAATCACCACCTGAGCCACTTGGCGGCGCTCGGGGCAAATGATGATGGAAACATCCCTGAGTCTACATTAAACTGAGCTTTGGAAAGGTGGTGGGGGGAATTTCTCTATCAGTGCAGGTCTGTCTGGCAGCAGGTGGCCCCAAGCACGGGTCAACCCGAGTAGCTCCTCCCCGCTCGTCTGCAAGGTCCCCGAAGTCGTACACACCTCCGATGCCATGTTGGGCGGTTCCTCCTCCTCCTCCTGGAGCTTCGGTCCTACGGATCTGGAAAACAAGATCAGACCTCGCTCTGGAGGTCTGCGGGGCAGGGACAGCTCAGAGCTGGGGGCGCACGCTCGGTTTGCGGGACGTGAGCAGCACTCAGCAAGCGCGCCACAGTCCTCGGCGTTCTCTCTTGTTTGTCCCTCTCTCCCACACTCTCCGGGACCTGGAGGAACAGACTCTCCGTGAACAGGTACCTTCTGGTCTCTTCGGGCCTTTTCTGGCCGGGATGGCGTCTGCTCCCCCTTTGCCTTGTCCCCGCCTCCTGGCAGCGCAGAGCCAATTGGAAGAGGTGGGTGTGCCGCCTGTGGGCGGGGCCGCCTCTGGCTGAGCTATGAGCAGCTAGAGGAGGTATGGGGTTTTCAGCCATGTAGCCTGTAGGCTGTATGGAGGGTCTGACTCCTAAGACCCGGGCTAGGAGGGAAGACAGGTGACCCGAATGTCATCTCAGCAGCACCCGGGAGTCTGAGGCAGGAAGATTGCTGGGAGTTTGAGGCCTGGGCTGCAAATGAACCTGTTTCTAAAAAAAAAAAGCTGACACAACAGCCATGCCCTGTGGCACGTGCTTAAAATTTCAGCACTTGGGAGGCAGAGACAGGAGGATCTCTGTCAGTTCACGGTCAGCCTGGTCTACACTGTGAGTTCCAGGCCAACCAGGACTACACGTTGAGACCCTGTCTCAAAGCAGGGGGCATGGGAGTAGGGCACATGATAAATCAGGTATGGCTTTGTATGCTGGTTGTGGTGTTGCAGGCCTGTAATTGGGAAAATCGAGGTGGGAAGATCAGAAGTTCGAGGTCATCCTGAACTGCACAAGCCAGCTCAAAGGCAGCCTGGGTTATGTGAAACCCTATTTCCAATTAAAAAAAAAAAAGAAAGAAAGAAAAGAAAAGAAGGCCGGCAGTCTGGGTGTGGAAAGATAACTGCTTAATGCTAAGTTACCTGTGCTAGCACATACCTGTGATCTCAGCGCTTGGGAAGCTGAGGCAGGAATATCAAGAGTTTAAGTGCAGGGCCTAGACTCTTGTGGTTCTCAACCTTCCTAATGCTGCAACCCTTTAATACAGTTTCCTCATGCTATGGTGACCCCCCCCAACCATAAAATGATTTTCATTGCTACTTCATAATTGTGTTTCTGCTACTGCTATGCATTATAATGTAAATATCTGTGTTTTCTGATGGTGTTGGTCAACCCCTTGTGAAAGGGTCGCTTTGACCTCCAAAGGGGTCAAGACCTACAGGTTAAGAACCGCTGACCTAGAGAGCCAGCTCAGCAAGTAAAAGAGCTAGCCATGAAAGGCTGGTAACCTGAGTTCGATCCTGGAACTCATGTAGAAGGTGAGCTGGCAGGCTCATCTGTAACCTCGGTACTTCGACTCAAGACGGGGGAGAAGATTGGAGTGTTGTCTGGGAGCTTGGGGGCCAGCTAGTCTGGAGTACTCGGAACAGTGGCAAATACAAGTAAAGCCTTGATAAGGGGAAAGGCAAGGACCCGCTCCAGAGGACTGTCCTCCATTCTCCACACACGCTCTGTGGCTCATGGTGCACACACTCACCCACCTCTCACACCCAAAAATAAATCAATATTTAAGGAAAAGATGGATCCAGTGAGATGCATCATCGGGTAAAGGGGCTTACAGTCAAGCTTATGATCTGAATTTGATCTCAGGGACCTACATGGTGGAAGGAGAGAATGATACCACCAAATTGTCCTCTAATGTCTGTGTGTGTGTGTGTGTGTGTGTGTGTGTGTGTGTGTGTGTGTAACACACACACACACACACTAAATAAATAAATAAATTAATTAATTAATAAATAAATAATGTGGTTTTTTTTTAAAAGCACAAAAAAAAAATGTTGGGGATGTAACCCAGTTGTTAGTCTCCAGACAGTCCAGAAAGGGGATCCTAAAAGTGACTATTTCAGCATTTGGGAGTTAACACTCAGCCCATCCCTCAGTCTATCAAGCCCCTCCTGAAAGCAGGAAGTGTAGACTTCCCTGGAATCAGCGTGGGAACATGGCTGGAAGAAGAGTGGGCAGTGGACCACTGTGTAGACCAGCTGTGAGTGTCTCACTACGGTGGAGGTTTTTGTGTTTGTCTCAATGTGCGTATGTACAGTACATCTTTTCCTGGTGCCAATGGAAATCAGAAAAGGGTGCCAGTACCCCTGGAACTGGAGTTACAGATGGTTTTGAGCCACCATGTGGGTGCGGGAAACTGAAACTGGGTCCTCTTAACCATTGAGCCATCTCTTCAGCCCCTTGTAGACTGTGAATGTTTTTGATCACCAACAGATCAGATATGCTAGAGCTAGCCAAGATGGGACCTGCAGCATTAGGGAGCATTCCTAGTAATTGCTAGAGTGTCCGCCTCACACAATGCAATGAAAATAGTAAGAATTGAATCAAACGTTCACGCCCTGTGAAGTGACAAGTTTTCAAATTCATTGCCAACAGATCTAGATTATAGTAAATGTGTAAGACCTCAGGCATGGTTCAGAAGTAGAGCACTTTGCCTAGAATCTACGAAAAGAGGAGCTGGGGGCAAGGCTCAGCAGTGAACATATGCCTAGAATCACCCAGTATGGATTTGGAGGTTGGTTCTGCATTAGAATGCCTGCTGAGAATTCTCCAGTGAGGAACTAGGGGCATGGCTCAGGGTAGAGCCCTTCCAGATCAAGAGGAAAATAAGAGAGTCTGAATTCTTCCTCACCCTGTTAAGCATCACCCTAGGAAACCTCAAGCTCTGGCTCTTTTCCAAACAACGAAGTTCACGAAACTTTAGGAGAAGGCCGGGGACACAGCTCAGTTGGTAAAATGCTTGCTTAGCACACACACAGCTCTGAGTGTAATCCCTGGTATTGCTTAAAGCTCCCACCGTAGCACATGCCTAGAATCCCAGCCCTCAGGAGGTGGAGGCAAGGTCAAGAGTTCCAGGTCATCCTCAGCTGCATAGTGAATTCAAGGTAGGACTAGGCTACTTGAGACCCTGCCTCAAGTAAACAAAATGAGTGAGAAACATTTAGGGGAGTTAAGTGGAGGCATTGTCTCTATTTGAATAGAGCAAAAAAACCCAAAAAACAAAAAACAATTAAGTGTGAGTATTTTCTGTTTACTTTGTTGTGGGTTTTTTTGTTTGTTTGTTTTTTTTTTGAGACAGGGTTTCTCTGTGTAGCTTTGCGCCTTTCTTGGAACTCACTTGGTAGCCCAGGCTGGCCTCGAACTCAGATCCACCTGGCTCTGCCTCCCAAGTGCTGGGATTAAAGGCATGCGCCACCGCTGCCCAGCCTTTGTTGTGTGTTTTGAGGCAGGATCTCTCTATGTTGTTAGACTTAAATTCACTGTGTAGCCCAGGCTGGCCAGAAATTTGATATTCTCCTGTCTGCTTCCGTCTTCCAACACTCCTGGCAATATCTTGAATTCTAACAGTATTTTAGGCACTGTGTTAAATATTTTATATGGATAGCTTCCTTAAATTCTCACAAGTACTTCTAGAAGGCAACCCTGATCATCACCATGGTTCTCCAGGTGAGGAGAGGACAGTACAGGGGAGAATGGGTGATTTACCTAAAGATTCCAAGACAGGAAGTTTGAGAGCCAGGAGCCAGATCTAGCATCTCAGGATAAACATAACATCTGCCTGGGAAGCTCTCCAAGAGCTGGCTAGTCAGAGGCTAATTACCCGAGGGATCACATTAATGAACAACCGGCTAACAGGATTGCTACTGAACCTCACCTGACAATCACCTGCCTTTCCAGTCCTTGGAATGAAAACAAACATTTGACAAGGAAAGGCTGGGGATGTAGCGCAGTGAGAAAGTGCTTACCAAGCATTCCCAGTACCACAGAGAAAAGGGATTGTGTGGAGGGCAGGGAGGCAGGGAATGAGAAAGCTCAGTCCGGAAAGAAGACACATGCTGCCAAACTTCATGACCAAGTTTTGTCTCCAGAATACACAGGGTGGGAGTTGAGAAATGACTTATGAAAGTTGTCCTCTGACCTCCAACAATGCTCACTTTAGCACTTGCTGTGAGCCGCAGAAATATGAAGTGGGAATTCAGCCAACAATGGCAAAAGGTATTACCTGGAAGAGCCAAGAACTCTTCCAGCGGATAAAGCCAAGACTCAAGGAGAATGAATATGGGGAGAATGAAGATGGAAAGAATTAAGATAGAACAATGAGAGAACAGCAGAAGAAGGGACAGAGAGGAGCTAAGTAAGAGAACAGGAGAAAAAAAGCTGTGTAGATAGAATTGACTTAGAAGAATAAAGTGAATGGACTAAAGAACTCAATGTATGTAGATTCATTTGATATTCCTCAACATAGACCCCAGCCGCTTACAGCATCTTCCCCTGGACTCTGGGAAGAAATCCCCACCGGGAAGGTACTGGTGGGGACTTCAATAAGATCTACATAGTCTAAAATTAGAATTATACAGAGTAGATGAGCATGGCCGCTACGCAAGGATGACACTCATGTGTGAAGTCGTCCATATTTAAGATACCTAAAAGAGTTGTTTACTTCCCATCTGCCAGGAGACAAGCTTGCTTTGTTTTACCAAATGCTGTTGGCCATGACAGTAGGCCTCACCCTAGACCCACGGCTTACCAGGGAAGTCACCCTCTGAGAACCATGCGCCAAAATAAACTTTCTCCCTAAACAACAACAATAAACAGGCAAGATGGCTCAGCCGGGGAGGCTACCTACTGCCAATTCCGACGACTTGAGTTTCACCCCTGGGACCCATGTTCAAAGCACCTGTGGACAAAATTAATAGACGAGAAGGAAGACATCCGTGTTTGACTACAGTCTGTTAGAACCTCAAGATGGTGGAGAGGTTGGAATGTTGCAGATCCAAAGACTAATTTATAACTTACTTTGTATGTGACCTGACATCTTTGTAGATTTTTTTTTTTTGGAATGTACAAACCTCTAGCCTCCATTGACCCAAATGCAAGAATGTCATCAGAGGTTTCTGAGGACTGGAGCAGACAGTTCCCTGATTTTCTGTAGCCCGCTTCCCTGATGTTTCCACCAAGGCATTTGAAGAATGTTTTCATTTGTGCTTTTCTTTACTCTGTAACTATAAAAAAAATCTCATCTGACTGGGGCCATATCAGAACATAGTATTCTGAGTAAGCTGATGTTTTCATGGGCCATTATCACACATTTGGCTTCAGAATAAACTGTGTCTCCCACCCTTTGAGGAGAGAGTTGGGTTTTTTTCGACTCACCTGCTGAGCCAGCTCGCTTACCCCGAACTTGTTTTTACGAGGTTAATATTGAATGGAGGTTATTGCTGTTATTGGTATTATTCTACTTATCAATTACTTCATTATGGTGTGGGAAATGTAAGCAAAATGTACTGTCTTTTCTATCAATGGGTTACATAAGGCCAAACTCCATTAAAAAAAAAAAAAACTGCGGCCTGGAGGTGGTGGCACACGCCTTTAATCCCAGCACTTGGGAGGCAGAGCCAGGTGGATCTCTGTGAGTTCGAGGCCAGCCTGGACTACCAAGTGAGTTCCAGGACAGGCGCAAAGCTACACAGAGAAACCCTGTCTCGAAAAACCAAAAAAAAAAAAAAAAAAAAAAAAAAAAAACTGCAAAGAAGCTGCATGGCAGAAATTAAAATCCCTCCAGGGTCAGTTCTCTCTTCTTGAGATCAAAATATTTGCTTAAGGCTGTGTTCTGTGAGAAGTTGCACCCTGCTTACCAAGTGCATCGCTTTGTGAGGCTAAGCTCTGGCCACTTGGATCGAGGCACAGGGCCCCTCTGGTTTAGGAGTAAACACCCAGTGTGGACTCCCACTGGGTGCCTTTGCTCTGGGTGCACCTGCCTGCTTAATTGGGCACCAGTGTGTTCCCTTCTTCAGGAACAAAACATTTTGTGTCCCAGGGTATTTTGGATCGTGTGGTCATTTCCTTGAGATCGCAAAGCCATTGATCACAATGGTAACAGCCCTACCAAGGTCAAAGAGAATATTGAATAGTTCAGGGGCTGGGGAGGTAGCTCAGTTGGTAGAATGCTTGTCTCCCGTGCACAAAGCCCTGTGTTCCATCCCCAGCACCTAATAAGCTAGGTGTGGTGGCTCATGCCCATCATCCGGGCCCTTGGGAGGTAGAGATGGGAGGATAGAGAGTTCAAGGTAATCCGTGGCTACATAGCCAGTTTGAGACCAGCCTGGACTACTTAAGACCTTGTCTCAAAACAAGCCAACAAACCAAACTCAAACAAAAGCTAGTTAGTTCAGGACAATCGCTGATGGATCAACAAGGTTGAAGTTACCGAGTAGGTGCCTAGATGGATCCCATTTGAACATGGGTGCAAACCAATTCTCCTGCTTCAACTCATCTCTGACCCATTAGATGGTGTGGCTCTCAGGGGCAGTGAGCCTGTGTTCCAGAAGAATCTATCCCTGAAGTCTTGGTTTTGCATGTTCCACTCGCCTCAAACACTTCTGGCTTGGGGACGCCTCTTTGCCTCCTTAGTCAGTCCCTCCTCTACACTACAGAGTCTAAACACAGTGTGTCATAGTTTATGTCCAGAACTGGTCCCCCAACTAGACTGTCAGCTAGCTTGAACAGAGAGTGTGTATTACTCAGGTTTGAATCACCAGCACCCAGTGGGCAATCGTTCTAAGACTGCTGAGTGAATAACGCAATGAATATTATTGTGGGGCCCATTCTGCTCAAGACACGGGTCCAGGGCACTCTTCAGTGCATATTATATCAGCTGGGCCTGAGATGACATTTTGTTTACTTGTTGATTTTCATTTTGTTTTAAATTATTATTATTATTTTTTATTTAATGTTCATTGGTGCTTTGCCTGCATGTATGTCTGTGTAAGGATGTCAGAAGCCCTGGAACTGAAGTTACAGACAGGTGTGAGCTGCCATGTGGGTGCTGGGAACTGAACCCAGGTCCTCTAGAAGAGCAGTCAGTGCCTTTAACTGCTGAGCCATCTCTCCAGCCCCCAAATTTTTATTATTTTTAAGCAGGGTTTCACTATGTGACCCAGGATGGCCTCTTTGAAATCACTATTCTTCCCCCTTGGCTTCCTGTACTATGATTATAGACGTGTACCACTGTGTCTGGCTTTACTTGTTGAATACATACACACATGCACAAGAAAACACACACAATCTTTTTTTTTTTTAATGAAACAGGCTTCTCATGTAGCCCAGGGTGGCCTCAAACTCCCCTATATAGCTGAAGATGACCTTAAAAAATGATTTTCTTGCCTCCATCTCCAAAGTGGAGGGATTACAGGCATGTGCCACCATCCCAGACTCTCCCCACTTTTAATCTGCTCCTTCCATTCAATCACCTGTAAACCATTTCAACATGGCTGGGCAGTGGGGGCATACACCTTTAATCTCAGCACTGGGAGGCAGAGGCAGGTTTACATCAAGTTTCACGCTATTTATGGCTACATAGTAAGAACCTGTCTCCCTCTGAAAAATTTTAACAGGTTTTTGATACATAATTTTTTTTTTTTTTTTTTTTTTTTGGATTTTTCGAGACAGGGTTTCTCTGTGTAGCTTTGCGCCTTTCCTGGAACTCACTTGGTAGTCCAGGCTGGCCTCGAACTCATAGAGATCCTCCTGGCTCTGCCTCCCGAGTGCTGGGGTTAAAGGCGTGCGCCACCACCGCCCGGCCTTGATACATAATTTATATATCCCATTATTCACTCATTGAAACCATATAATTCAATATTCAATATTATTTATTTATTTTGAGGCAGGGTCTTTCTGTAATCTTGGCTGTTCTGGAGTTCACTATGCAGACCAGGCTGGCCTCAAACTCACAAGAAATCCTCCTGCGTCTGCCTCCCAATTTATTCAATATTTTAATAAAAGTTTGTTTTTAAGTGTGTATGCATGTGCAGGTGCCCCAGGAGGTCAGAAGAGGGCATTGGTTGCCCTGGAGCTGGAGTCCAGGGCCTGATATGGGTATTGGTAACTGAAGTTGGGTTCTCTTCGAAAGTAGTACTCACTCTTTACTGCTGAGCCCCAATATTCAATGTTTTCAGTATATTCATATAATTCAGTATAATTCATATGCCACCATCCTCATGTAGTTGCTCTTTTTTGTTGTTGTTGTTTGTTTGTTTTTCAAGACAGGGTTTCTCTGTATAGCTTTGGAGCCTGTCCTGGAACTCTCTGTAGACCAGGCTGGCCTTGAACTCACAGAGATCTGCATGCCTCTGCCTTCTGAGTGCTGGGATTAAAGGCATGCACCACCATGCCTTTAAGTTCAATAAGATTTGCCTTTTTTTAAATAAATAAATAAATACAAAAAAATAAATAAATTAAAAAAAGATTTTTTTTTTTTCTTTTTTGAGACAAGGTCTCCTGTATCCCAGTCTGGCCTTGAACTCAATGTATAGAGGAGGATCTTGAATTCCTAATCCTCCTGCCTCCAATTCCCAAATGCTGGGATTATAGCAGATATGGGCCAGCAGGTCCAGCCTTGTTCTTTTTTAAGATTTATTTTATGTATACTTATGAGTGCCTGCGTATATGTATATACTTAACACGTGTGCCTAGTGAGAGGCTCTAAGAGGGACTTGGATCCCTTAGAATCGGAGTTACAGGTTGTTGTGGGCCACCACGTTGGTGCTGGGAACCAAATCCTGATCCTCTGCTAGAATTGGAAGTACTCTTAACTGCTAAGCCATCTGTCCAGTTCTGTCTCTCTCTCCCTCCCTCGATCCCTCTCTCTGTTTCTCTGTGTAGCCCTCGTTGTCTCTAATTCATAGAGAAGTGCCTGCCTCTACCTCCCCTTTTCCCCTTTGCTGGAAATAGAGACGTGTGCCACCATGCCTGGCTTTTGGTTGTTTTTTTTTTTTTTTTGACACAGGGTCTCCAATAGCCCGGGATTGCTCGAAACTCACCATGAAGTACAGGCTGGTCAGGAACTCGTGGCAATCCCCCTGTCTCAACCTCTCTGAGTCAACATGACCGGCTTGGGAATTTTAACGCTTCCAAGGCCGGAACCTTATCTTATTAAAACCCTAACAACACCTAGACCCTGAAAACGTTTAAAACCTGTCTCCAAGCGCTTGACAGGCTGAAATGAGAAGAAACCGGGCGGACGCCTAAAGCCAAGGAGGAGCCCTGCCTTCCCGGCAGCGCTCCCGGCATGCAGCACGGCCGTCCCAGCGTGCCTTGCGGCACACACCCCCGCGGAGAGCCGGGCGGCGGTGGCAGCACGGGAGGCGTTTCCGTTCCAGCGGCTGCTAACGACGACGCTGAGGCGACATGGAAGTGTAAGCGGCACGTCCCGAGGGAAACCCGACTCATTTGGGAGCCGTGAGGCGGCTGGCGGCCGGACCTCCGGACCCGCGAGCAGGACGGGTGGGCGGAGTGGACGGGCCGGAAGTATCTGGAGATGGGGCGGCAGGGGAGGGATCCGGCTGGCCTGGCAGCGGTCCCCCCCTCCCACATTCTTTTGGGGAGGGGAATGCAGGAGGAATTGAGCGAGGTATTTTCTTTGCTCCCCCCCGCCCCCCTCCCGGTTTTAGGGGTGAAAGTCAAGATCTTCTTGCACGTGCTCCGCAAGTAGTCTGCCCCCAGTCGTAATCACTGTCGTAGGATGCGGGCTTTGCATATGCTAGGGAAACACTACTACTACTACGGATCCATATCCCCCCAGCCATCATCATCACCATCGTTTTGTAATGTTGGAGATGGGACCCAGGACTTTGCACAAGCTCGGCAAAGGCTTTGCCACTGAGCCGCATCTCCAGCCGTTATCACCGTCGTCGTTTTTGTGACACTGGGCATGCTACCCCGGGCTGTGAACATACTAGGTGTACTAGTTTCCTCTCTGTTGTGTGACAGACACCATGACCAAAAGCAACTTAGGAGTCGAAGGGGTTTATTACATCTTACACTTCAGGGCACAGTTCATCATTGAGGGAAGTCAGGGTAGGAACTCAAAGCAGGGACCTGAAGCAGAAACCATTCAAGAACTCTGCTATCGGGTTTATCCTCTGGCTTTTTCCAACTATTTTATACAGCCCAGGGCCACCTACCCAGGGGTGGTGCCACCTGCAGTGGGCTATACTCTCTTGCATCACTTAATAATCAAGACAATCCCTCATGGACATGCCCACAGACCAACAGATAAAAAGACAGTTCTTCAGTTGAGGCTTCTCCTCCAGATGACTCTAGGCTGTTTCAAGTTGACAGTTAAGACCAACCAGGAAACTAGGCCAATGTCTGAGCTACATCCCCACCACCATCATCGTCATCATCCTTTTGTGATGTTGGGGGATGGTATCCAGAATCTTGCACGTGCTAGATAGGTACCACTGAATGACAGCCTTCACACCATTATTATTACTGTTATTATTTTGTGGTGCTGGCGATGGAAACTAGAGATACTAGTCAAGCACTTTAGCACTAAGCCACCCCAACCCCCATCATCATCATACTGTGTTTAGAATGGAAGCGTCCTGAACATTCTAGGCAGTTACACCACCAACGAAGTCACCCTAACAGTTTTTTTTTTTCTCCATATTCTTTTTTTTTTTTGGGGGGGGGTGCGTTTCCAAGACAGGGTTTCTCTGTGTAGTTTTGGTGCCTGTCCTAGATCTCGCTCTGTAGACCAGGCCGGCCTCAGAGATCCTCCTGGCTCTGCCTCTCGAGCGCTGGGATTAAGGCGTGTGCCACCACCGCCGCCTGGCCTCCATACTCTTTTTTAAAAACTTTTTTTTTTTTTTTTTTTAACCGGGCGGTGGTGGCGCACGCCTTTAATCCCAGCACTTGGGAGGCAGAGGCAGGTGGATCTTTGTGAGTTCGAGGCCAGCCTGGTCTACAGAACAAGATCCAGAAAAAGGCGCAAAGCTACACAGAGAAACCCTGTCTCGAAAAACCAAAAAAAAAAAAAAACCAAAAAACTTTTTTTTTGATGTGCAAATGGAAGTTTTTGCATCTCCTCTACCTGTGGACTTGATATGTACATGGTTGACCTACCTAAATTGTGCTATTATTATTCATTTTTCTTTACCTTCTGTTCACTTGTTATGTATACTACAGTTTGTCAGACTTTTTTGATACAGTCATAAGTAGCCCTGACTGTCTTTGAACTTGCTATGTAGCAGAGGATGATCTTGGAGTACTGATATCCTATCTCCACCTCTCAAGCCACCACATCAGATTAGCCCTTCAGTATTTGAGATGGGGGATCTCTCACTGTGAAGCTCAGACTGTCTGGTTCAGCTTTCTCCATCTCTGAGAAGTGATTGTCAGAAACCCTGGAAATTCTCAGCTCTCAGACAAGCCCCTGGATTTCTTCTTCATCCACTGCTTGGAGTCTTTCCTTACTCCTTCTCTTCTCTTGCTGGTGTCTAATGTTGAGCATCTTAGTGCTTCATCTTGGGACACTTTCTCTGTACGCATTCTCTGTCACTTTATTCATTTTTATAATGGTGGGTCCTCAAAATGTTTCTGGCTTTTTTTTTTTTTTTCTCATTTTCTATCAGATTGTTTAATCCAAAATCTAACTCTTTTCCTACCAGTCATTAGGCAGTTTTCTGGTCTCCAATCTCACTCCTGTGGTAGGGTCTCATGTATCCATGGCTTAGCCTTGAACTCACTACGTATTCAAGGATGACCTTGAGCTTCTGATCCTACTGCTTCTACTTTCCCAGTGCTGAGCTTGCTGGTGTCTGACACCACACCCTGTTTATGCAGTGCTGGGGGTAGGGCTCAGGGCTTTGTGCACATTAGGAGAGCACTCTACAAACTGAGCCACATTCCCAGCTCGTGGTTTCTTCCTTTATTTAAGGCTTTAAAAATTACTTTTTATGCCTGGCAGTGGTGACAAATGCTTTTCATCCCAGCATTCAGGAAGCAGAGACAGGCGGATTTCTGAGTTTGAGGACACCCTGGTCTACATAGTGAGTTACAGGACATCCAGGACTACACAGAGAAACCCTGTCTTGGAAAAAAAAAAATTTTTATGTATGTGTGTATGTCTTTGTGGGTTTGTTCATGTAAGTGCAGTGCCCCTGGAGGCCAGAAGAGGGCATCAGATCCTCTAGAGCTAGAGTTATTGGTGATTGTCAGCTACCTGATGTGGGTGCTGGGATGCAAACTTAGGTTCTCGGCAAGAGCAGTAGAAACTTAACTGCTGAGCCATCTCTGCAGCCTCCTGTGGCTTCTTCAATGTAATATATAGTCAGAGTTGGAAAAGTAGACATTGTTTTCTGTAGTGTGTGTGTGTGTGTGTGTGTGTGTGTGTGTGTGTGTGTGTGTGTATTGTATTGCTTTCCTTTTTTTTTTTTTTTTTTGTTTTTTGTTTTTTGTTTTTTTGAGACAGGGTTTCTCTGTGTAGCTTTGTGCCTTTCCTGGAACTCACTCTGTAGCCCAGGCTGGCCTCAAACTCACAGAGATACATCTGGCTCTGCCTCCTTGACTGCTGGGATTAAAGTTGTGTGCCACCACCACCTGGCAGGATTGCTTTCCTTTTATAGCTAGCAATATGGAGATTTAGAAAGAGAATTGAAAGATACATAACAACCCAGCAGTAGGCTTAGGGAGAGTGTGCTTGTTGGCTTGCTGTAAAGTGCAAGGTGCAGGGTAAAGTATTCATTGACTTTGGAAGCTTTCAGTTTTCTTGTATCAAAGTTTAGTGGTTTTTTTTTTTTCCTCAGAACATGAATTGACGGCATGTTTTAAAGCATAGAAAAGTTTAGCAACTCTGTTCGTCATTTTGTTCGTAAGTTAAGTGTGTGGCAATTAATAGACACTGCTCACTTTTTTTGTTTGTTCAGTTTTTCAGAGTGTGTGCTTGTAAAGAAAGTCTGTCAATAGATCATTTTGTTCTGTTTATTCAGAACTCTGTTTTCCAAAATGGTTGTTTACTTCCATTAAATTGACTCAGCACATCAAGCACACTCTACAGGTTAAATTTTAAATAGTAAGTCAGCTTCAGCCCACTAATGAGTTACTTAAGGACACTAAGTAAGTGCCGACCTGTAGCATAGATTCGATAGTCTTTCAGACTCACTTGGGCCCAGATTTGTAATCCTATCATTTAGGATTAGCAGTAGGAGGATCACAAGGTTAAGGGCAGCCCCAGCTGTGTAGCAAGTCCCAGGTCAGCCTCTGTTACAGAGTGAGAGTCTCATCTCAAAAACAAAAGAACGGGCGGCCTTTAATCCCAGCACTTGGGAGGCAGAGCCAGGCGGATCTCTGTGAGTTCAAGGCCAGCCTGGTCTACCGAGTGAGATCCAGGACAGGCACCAAAACTACACAGAGAAACCCTGTCTCGAAAAATAAAGAAAGAAAAATACACACACACACACACACACACACACACACATTTCATGTACATTCATGTTTTGCCTGAAAGTATGCCTGTGTGAAGGTGTCTCACAGAGATCCGCCTGGCTCTGCCTCCCGAGTGCTGGGATTAAAGGCGTGCGCCACCACCGTCCGGCTATGTATTTCTTTAAAAACCAACCAACCAACCAAGGTTCTCGCCCTATAGCCTAGGCTGCCTTTGAATGTCTTAACCTGACAGGTGCCGGGTTTATACTGGGTGCTCCCACACCTAGCTCATTTGTTAGCGTCGTAAATTTTCTATTACATTTTAATTATTTGTGAGTGTATGTATGTCTTGGTGTACGTGTGGGGGTCAGGGCAACCTGTGGGAGTCACTTCTTTTCTTCCACTCTGAGTTCCTGGGATTGAACTCGGGTCATCAGCCTTGGTGGCAGGTCCCTTTACCTGCTAAGGCATCTCACTAGGGCCTTACTTGTTAGCAACTTTTTAAAAATTGAATGACATTTACTTGCATATTGGGGTACCTGTGCCCCAGCACACATGTGGAAGTCAGAATGACCGTCTGTGGGAGGTAGTTCTCCTTCCCCCATATGGGATCAGACTCAGGTTGTCAGGTCTGGCGGTGAGGGCCTTTACCTGCTGAGCCGTCTCACTGGTCCATTTGTTAAAGCTTAGGTGTGGATACTTGCCTTATCGCTTTGTATAAGCATTCTCTCCATGCACATTACACTGAACCATTTGAGAGTTGCAGACATCATGTCATTATTTTACCCCTTTAAAAAAGTACTTTTTAAGTTGGGCAGTGGTGTCTCATGCTTCTAATCCCAGCATTCAGGAGGCAGAGGCAGGTGGATCTCTCTGAATTTGAGGCCAGCCTGGTCTACCGAGCTAGTTCTAGGACAGCTAGGTCTACACAGAGAAAACCTGTCTCAAAAAACCAAACCAAAAATAAAAACCCTTTTCTTTACTTTATTTCATGTGTATGAATGTTTTGCCTGCATGTATGTGTATGTACGACATTTGTGCCTGCTGCCCACAAGGTCAGAAGAGGGCATTGGATCCTTTGGAACTGGAGGTACAGATGGTTGGGAGCCACACCGTATGGTGCTGGGTACCTAACGTGGGTTCTCTGGAAGAGCACAAGCGTAACCATTAACCCCTATCTCCAGTTTTTTCACCCTTTCTCGAAAAGTGACATTGTTCTAAGTAATCCCAATACCATTATAATACCTGGGAAACTCAACACTGATGTCAATCCATTACATGTCCAAATTTATCCAGTTGTCTCAAGAATATCATTTAAAGATTAAAATAAATTTTTTTTAATTTTATATGTGCACGTCTCTGTGTATGCACACGTGTGTGGTGTCTGTGGAGACTAGAAAAGGGCGTTGGATCCCATGGAGATGGAGTTGTAGGTATTTGTGAGATGCTCAGTGAGAGCGCTGGGAAGCAAACTTGATTCTCTGGAAGAGCAGCAAGTGCTGTTAACCACTGAGCCGTCTCTTCATCCTCAGCAATGCCATTTAGCCAGAGTTTCTCCCAGGCCCAGTGAAGAACTGCACTGACTTGTGCTCTTCCTTTAGTTTCCTTTCTTCTAGAACCTTCCCCACGCTTTTCTGAGACATTGGCCTTGCGATGGATGACTTTTGTTGTTGTTTGCTTAGTCCGATAATGAAGCTGCGCTCCCACCCGTGGGTGGCCTGCAGACTCCACCTGTGCCTGGTTTGGATCTGATCGCCTTCCCGAATGATTTGTGCTTTGTTTATATTTTCCTTTGTGGGAAACCAAGATTATTCTTTGTCCGGCAACCTAGTGGTAACTGTAAGAACTTACTGAGGATAAGATAAAAACTGCCTTTAAAAGAATTTTTCAAGGCTGGCACTGGTGGCACACACCTTTAATCCCAGCACTGGGGAGGCAGAGGCAGGTGGATCTCTGAGTTCAAGGCCAGCCTGGAGTTCCAGGCTGGAGAGATGGCTGCAGAGTTCAGAGGATTTGCTGCCCTTCCAGCACCCGCATCAGATGGCCTACAACTTCAGCTTCGGGGAATCTGATGCCCTTTTCTGGCCTTGGGAAGCACCTGAACACACGTGCATACACACACCTACACATAAATAAATAGCAAATCCTAAAAGAAGAAATTTCCAACATGTAGAGCTCATGTAGGCCTTCATGGAAAAAAGTGGTTAATATACCCATTGGCAAAAGATTTGGTTTTGGGGACTGCATGCTAAGCCCATGCTCTACCATTGAACTATCTCCCAGTCTCACTGGCTCTTTATTGAATAAAATTATGCCTAGAATGTATGGGCATTTAATCTGAATATTTAGCTAAGTAGTTGGGTCTTAAAAGAAAATCAGCCAGGCATGGTGGTACACAACTACATTCCTAGAGCTCAGAACCCTAAGGCAGGGAAATCATGAGTACAAAGGCCAGTCTGGGCTACATAGTGAGATACCGTCCCAAAAAACAAAAAGAAATGGGAAATAAAGAAAGGATGGTGGGAAGAGGGTTGGAAATCAGTGAATTAATTGGTTTCTGCCAGCCACAGTCTGCAAGGTGCAATATCTGCATTGTTCTCCTGGTCCTCAAACAGACTCATTAATGTGCATGAGGGGCTGTATAGGTTAGTGGTAGAGTACCTGCTTAACATGTGTTAGACACTCAGTTTAATCCCTAGCACTCCAGTTTTTTCAAAATTGTGTGTGAAAGAGAATTCCCAATTTTCTCTCTTTCTCCCCTCCCCCCTTTTTTGTTAGAAAAGACAGATGATGTTTGTTGGATTCTTACATCTGTGTTTACTCGAGAGTGTTTGTGTGTGTGTTTGAGTGTTTGAGACAGGGTCTCCCCATGTAGCCAGTGTGATCCTCTTTCCCCAGCAGAGTGGTGTGGGATTTGGAAATGACATATACCAGTGATGCTGGGGATGGATCCATTGGTGCAGTATTCCTCTGAGCATAGGGAATGTAACTCAATTTCAACCAGAAATAGGAAGCCTTGTGGGCTCATTTCCTGAGTACGTAAACATGATTTGATTCATCTGTTTAGTTTTTTTTTTAAAGACAAGCTCTCATTTAACTCAATTTGGCCTCAAACTCCCCATATAGCTGAGGGTGACATTGAACTGCTGATGCTTTTGCCTCTGTCTGATTACAGGCCACCATGCCTGATGTATTTGGTATTAGATATGGAACCAAAGCCCTCGTGCATGCTAGGCAAGCATTCTGCCAACTGGGCCCTGCACTATTTTTCTTGTGTTAGATTCTTTCTAAATACTCTGACTTGGGTGCGGTGTCTTTGGGATGAGGCAGGAGATTTTTGAACTTGTAGCCGTTTGCTGAATTACCAGTAGCGTTTGACTGGGCTCTGCTCATTGATTTGATCTCTGTGCTGACATCACTGTGCTGTTGACTTGCTGACCCCTGTGTTAGCTGTGGGAGCGGTCGCTGTACTTGTTGACTGGGGAAAGTGGCCATCTCTCACGCCCATGGTTTTGAAATTCTGCACTGTGACTTTGACCATCTAGGTCCACTCCTGGGGAAAGAACACACAGTGGTTCTTGTACATTGTGTCAGCTCGAGACTACCCGCTCTATCTGAGTTTTTGGGGTGCTGTTACTAGTGTCCTTTCACCTAGTCTGGTCTCATTTTTCATAGTCATAATTACCTTCCATTTCACTGGGACTTCTCACTGTGTGAGCAAGTTACTTTATTCTGAGCCTCAGCTTTGTCATCTGTGAAGGTGGAGTCACATCAGTGGGTCCTGCATTGGACCTATACAGCCCCTCATGCACATTAATGAGTTGAGTGAGAGTTGACATAATCCTTTTCTTAAAATTTATTTCATATACATAGGTGTTTTGTCTACATGTATGTCTGTAATCCATGAGCATGCCCTTGGGGGTCAGAAGAGGGCATAGGATTCCCTGAGGATTGGAATTACAAATGGTTGTGAGCCACCATGGGGATGCTGGGAATCAAACTCAAGTCCTCTGAAAGAGCAGCTAGTGTTCCTAACCACTGAGCTATCTCTCCAGTCCCCATGCTATACTAGATTATTCTCATATTTTGTTTTAGCTTGGGTAAGCTTGGGGAGAAATTGGCCTAATAAAATCTACATCTTAACCTGACAGATAGGAAATGAGAACCCAAATATGTCTGGTCTTAAAACTATGTCTTTAATTGTCATAGTATACTGGCTCTAGGCTGCTTAGAGCAATCCGTCCTCTGCTGTGATGGTGTGGAATGGACCAATTGTGATCTGTGTTGTTACTGATATGTATCTCTGATGTGATAGTGTGGAGTGGATCAGTTGTCATTTGTGCCATGGCTGTGCTCTCACAGGAATGGTAACAGTTTGCTTAATCAACTGTTACCCAGGGAAGGCTTTTAGCAACTAAATATATGATGTCTCTTTAACGGGATCCTTGACCCTTGCTGGAGTTTCTAGTGACAATGTTCGTGTTAAAGTGCATAGGCCATTTCTGTCAACACAGCAGGATTCAGGTTGTCCAAGGTGACAGTAACTGATGGTCGTAATGGGAGAAGGATGTTGGCTAAGGACGGATCCTCACCTTGTTTCTCCAGTTATTTCTAATGCTCTTGCTGCTTAGGGACCCTTCTATAGTGGGGTTCCTTTGAGGGTTTGCTTCCATGTTCTTGTAACTACCTTGGGACATAGGTTTGGGATAATATGGTGTCTTAGTCATCTATGGGGAAATGGGCATGTGATATGCTATGTCTATAAACAGGGAAAGTCCGGGGCCTGGAGAGATAGCTCAGTGGTTAATATACATAATGAGAATCCGAGTTTAGATCTCAGCACCCATGTGACAAGTCTAGGCATCCTGCAAACACCTGTAACTCCAGCTTTGAGGGACTCGGTTCTTTCTGTATACACAGACATGCACATCTACACACTCATGTAGTATATACATAGCTCTCATAGGTACATGCACACACGTATATAAAATAAATACTAAAAGAAAAGAAAAGGAAAGTTGTCTCTATCTGAACTTGCTGATGCAGGGCCAGCTAACCCAGGCAGGACTTACGGCATTTTAGTGTTAGGTTGTTCCAAATTCCCAAACTAGACAGCTGAATCTCAACTAAAGGGATTATTTTGTAGACAGACCCTTGAAACCTTGGGATGGCTGTGAACTGATGACGGCTCACTGTTCTTTTGCAGGAAGGATGCGAACGCAGCCCTGCTCAGTAACTATGAGGTAAGGGCCTCCGTAGGGCCGTTGCGATTTCCCCTTGGGGTTTAGTCTTCGCTTGTGTAGATACTGGATTCCACTTTAACACAGGGCACGTGGCCCCTGGTAGATCTTGGAATGGTCTCAGTTTGGTGAATTACACATGGTTCTTCAGAGAAGTGGGAGGCTCTGGTTCATAAGTACCCTTCCGTAAATCTCAGAGACAGATGTCCTGGAAGAAGAGCTGCTCTAGAGCCTCTTCTTTCTGTTAAAATCTTAGCCTTTTCCTGATTACCATCCTTTATTTCATTCCGATCTTCAAAGGGCCTCAAAGATGTTGATATCCTCATTTTGAGACTAAGAGCTGACTTGACTCGCCATTTTGAATAATTTAAGAATAATCTAAGAATGAACAGCTTTATAATTTGGGGGCTGATGGAGAAAGAGAGGAAAGAGGTTGTTGAGAGGGGAGGTAGTAGTATTTTTACTGCCTTCTGTTTTGCTGGGTCTAGTTTAGTACTAGCAAAGCAGTCTGATAGGACAGCTCCAGGTGTAGAAGAGCCTGCTTATAAAGTCACTGGCAGTTTCCATGTCCTGGTGAAAACCCAGAGTCTTAGAGGAGGTCTGGCTCTCCATTCTGTGCTGTGTGTGTGTGTAGAATTAACTCAGTGTGCCATATTGCTTTCTAAAATTTTAAGGGTTTTATTTTTAATTTTTAAGTGTGTGTTTGTGTGTGGGTATGTACATGTAAATATAGTGCCCGTAGGGGCCTAACAGGTCACTGGACCCCTTGGAGCTGGAGTTACAGCTGGTTGTGAACTTGCCAATGTGAGGGTCCTCTGCAAGAGTAGCAAGTGCTCTAGCCACCGGGCCATCTCCGCAGGATTTTAATAAATGAGTGCTTTGAATTGACTTGGCTAAGAGAGCATCTGAAAGATGTTGTACGGTTCTAGGCTGAAGTGCTTGCTCTAGACCAACTGTTGGGGTGCAGGTTTGCGGAAAGAAAGAAAGCGTCTCTACCGGGCTGTCTTTTAAAACCTCGGGAGAGCTAACATCTCTCCACTTCACTGACATGCCTTTTGTGTCCTTCCTAGGTGTACCAGTTACTAACAGACCTCAAAGAGCAGCGGAAGGAGAGTGGGAAGAACAAGCATAGCGCTGGGCAGCAGAACTTGAACGCCATCACCTACGAGGTGAGCCCGGGCTCAGGGCCTCACCAGTCGGGAGGGTGGCTGCTGCTTCGGGAAATGGGAGGAATCTGGCCACCTGCCAGATAGTGAGACCGGATAAAATTGTCCTCACTTGTAGACATTAAGTGCACATTTGGGGTCTCCACCTGAACCACCCTCAGATGCTCCCAGTCAGCTGACTGGGGTCCTTTTGTTCTCCCTGGATGAGAGTCCTGCGTAGGTGGGGGAAGCTCTCACAGTGCTAGTGCTGGTCCCTGGGGCTTTTGTTTCCTTGGAGGTAATAGCAGCTGGCCCGTGGGAGCCTCAGAGGATGGCGCCCTCTAGTGTTGTAACCTCATGCAGGCTTTTGATAGTATAACTTTCTGTTCCAGTTCTTTGGTAGGCCTAGAAAGTCGGGATTCCTTGGTAGCAGTTGACGTTGTAGCTTCCCAGCAGGACTAGGTGTTTGGACTCTTCAGCCCTTAATAGTATCAGTATCACACTTTGCAGGCCTGGGGTGCCTGACAGCTTTGGTCCTAAGCACTTGATGGCTCTCTGGAACTCTTCTCCCCATCTGTTTGTTTTGAGATAGGATCTCAGGCTTCTTATGTAGCCCAGGATGATTTTGAACTCCTGCTTCTACTTCCCAGGTGCAGGGATTACAGGCATGTGCCACCACACCCCTGGCTATTCTGTGGCTCTTCACAGCCCCATGTCTTCAGCCTCGGGTCTCCACCCACTCTCCACTCTCATCATCCCTCCTGTCCCTTCCCTGCTGCTCTCTTGCTGCTCTGGCTTCTTTGGGAGGCGGCTGCCATTGCTCTTTTGTTGCCATGGCTGCCGGCCTTGAAGCTCTGGGTCGTCTTCAGTCGCCAGAGCAGCTGGTCCATGCCACCTTTGCAGCTGGCTGGCCAGCAGCTCAGCTTCACCTCTCCAGCTACCAAGCAGCCAGCTGCCCCACCACTTCCACGGCTTGGGGTGCCAGGGGCTCTGTGGTTAGCCCCTCTGCTGTGCCACTGCCTCTGTCTGCTCTGGCTTCTTCATGTTGCTGGTGCAACTTGCTGTGCTAGACATGGGAAGGCAAAAAACAGTGACCAGTAAACAAAGAGACTGGCTGAGAGAAGCGTTTGGTTAGACGTGGTGCAACATCAGGGCAGGCAGGCGGGCGGCACAGGGGAAGGTATATGCTGGAGTCATCTCACCGGGCTTGGAGCAGCTTACTTAGTCTGAAAAGTGTGGATTAGTTAGGGTTCCCTTAGAGGAATGGAAGTAATGGGATGAAAAACATCTCACACACACACACACACACACACACACACACACACACACACACACACACAGTCAGCTTTAACATAGTATCAACAGTAGACTCACACCGAGAGCTGAGAACCCGATAATCCCTTGGTCCTTGAGACTCTGTGCCTCAGCAACAGAATAGTTCCACAATTGCCGTCTTTCACCTGGGGTGGGAGCAACTGGCAGTTGCTCGGTCCACTAGGCTGGGTGCCTAAGCAGTCTCTATTTGGCCCTGGCAGCCCAGAGGTTTCCTGGAGAGCTGCTGGCCCCTAGTCCATGATGAAAGCTTGGACGCACTGGTTCTGATACAGCGTAGGAATCGGCAGCAGCAGCAGGGCAGGTTAACTCAGCAGTAGAGGGAGGCTACGTGAGCAGAGGCGAGGTGACCCTTCTTCTCCATGCCCTTTAGTGTCTGGACTACCAGCAGAAGGTGCCACCCATAAACGGGTGGGACTCCCCACACCAGTCAGGTCAGTCAGGACTTCTCTAGGCGAGGCTTCCTGCTCAGGTGGTTCGAATCTGTAGCAGGTTGACATTAAGACCAACCATAATAAGGGGTGTTGGTAGTGACCACAGCAGACCTCACATGCAGATGGAAGTTGATGTTTGCTCCGAACATAGCCTTGTCTCTTTCACACAAGTCATGGCAGACCCTCTGAAAAGCCATCAAGGGAAATGCTCTCCCTTTGGCTTACATGGATATGTTTGTGGGATCATCTAGAGTTCATTGTGGCTTGTGATAACAACAAAAAAACAAAAACAAAAAGCCAGTATAGACTGTTGAACATAGTCCTGTGTGTTCAGGAGCCACAACAGGCAGCAGAGATGGTTATATCTTTTCCCCAAGGCATCTAGGGAGGCATCAGAATGGCTGTGCTGACATGGTGCCCACTAACTGATGGTCCTCTAACTCAGGGAGGCCCCAGCCATAAGGGAGAGCTTGACAGCTACCAATGAGGGGTGAGACTGCCTTGTTCTACAGGGTCTTTGCTTATGTATAGGAAAACAGACATCAGAGCAGTGCTTATAATGAGAGCAGACACAACACTGACTGACAATAGTTTTCAGTAGTGTTGGAGCAGTGCTTGACATCTGTCCAGTGCAAGGAGAGATGGGGTCCCCTCATCTGTCTCAGGTCTGACGCTGTTAAATTCACAGTGACAGTTTGCTACAAGGAAAGGATTCAGATTAAAATTAGCCAAGAGAATAAAAAAGAGGGGAATACCCAAGTCATAATTTCCCCTGTCCTCACACATGGACTTGGGTCATTTTACTTTCCTAAAGTTGGTGTGTGGCCATAGCATGGAACGCTGCCATCAGGGAAGCCCTGCTGGGTTGTGATGTTCAATGGTCTTGCGGCTAGCTAACCCATGCTGGAAAACTGCACAGGTGGGGCCAGCTGCTAAGTTAGGTCGATAAGCATACGCAGTAGGACCCAGGGACCCAGGCACCCAGGCATAACGTTCCAAGGACCTGGAGATCACCACCTACAAGTCTAGGACAAAGGCCAGAACTGCTCTTTGTGCAAGGCTAAATTCTTCCCCTGCCCCTCTTTTCTTCAGTTTTTTTGAGATAGGGCCTCACTGTGTAACTTTGGCTGGCCTAGAACTCACACACCAGCCTGGTTTGGAACTCATAGAGATCTGTCTGCCTCTGCCTCTGCCTCTTTAGTGCTGGGTTTAAAGGCATGTAAAAGGAAGAAAGCAAAACTAATTCATAAGGTTGTTCTCACCTAACCTATTTTGAGAATTGAAAGGAAATAGCAAGAAAGCATTACATTAAAATGATGTATAAACTGAAACTTGACATTAGAACTTAAAGACAAGTCAGCAAAAACAAAATCAAAACTCCGTAAGTGTTGGGCTAGAGATGTGACTCCATGCTAGAACACTTGGCTCTCTTGGGGCTGAAGTGATGGCTCAGCAGTTAAAAGTGCTTGCTGATTGCTCCTTAGAGGATCTGAGTTTGGTTTCTCCACCTGCGCTGGGCAGCTCACAACCACCTCTAACCAAGTCCAGTGTCGGGATCAGTGTCTCTTTCCTCTGCACCTGCGCTCTTAGATACACACTCACATGCACACACACATCTAAACATATAATTGAAAAATAAAAAAATAACTCTTAAAGTCTGAAAATTGTAGAATATTACGTTATAACACTGCTTTCCTTATTCAGATTTATTTTCTCAAGGTTTTATGTATATAAGTATTTTGATTGCATGCATGTTTGTGTACCATGTGCATGCCTGTTTGCCTGTGGAGGTTAGAGGAGGGTGTCAGATCCCTGGAACTGGAGTTACAGCAAGTTGTGAGCCACAGTGTAGATGCTTAGGATTGAACCTGGGTCCTCTGCAAGAACAGTATGTGCTCTTAACCGCTGAGGCATCTCTCTAGCCCCTTACTCAAATTTCTATAGCCTGGGGCTCCAAATGGCTCAGTGGTTAAGAGCACATTCTGCTCTTGCAGACGGTCCAAGTTTGATTCCCAGCACTCATGTGGGGTGACTCAGCTGCTTGGAACTCTGGTTTTAGGAGGTTCTGAAGCCTCTTGCCTCCAGAGTTATCTGTACTCAAGGGCACATACACACATAGACTCACATAATTAAAAATAAATCTTTATCAAAACCCTCAAAATTTCTCTATCTTATGCCTTTCTTTTGTGAATTTGTTTTTTAGACATTAAAATACATATCAAAAACGCCATGCAGGAACCAGAGTCCCGAGATTGTTCAAGAATTCCTCACAGCAATGAAAAGCCACAAGCTGACCAAGTAAGTTACCTCAGTAGGTAACAGGAAACACAAACCTCAGTGAGGATAATGTCTTAGAACAGCTGTCTGCAGCAGCTGCATCTGCATTCAGTCACACTTTGGCCTCATAATTGCACACAGTACTGTTGTTTTTCGTTTGTTTGTTTGTTTGGTTTGGTTTCTCTGTGTAGCCTGTCTGTCCTGGAACTCACAGACATCCACCTGCCTCTGCCTCCCAAGTGCTGGGATTAAAGGCGTGCGCCACCATCGCCTGGTGTACACAGTACTTTTTTAAGATAGGATCATGGTATTGTGGGAAAAGACAACTGAGAATTAGACACATGGCCTTGTAGAGCCACAGCATGCTTATCCCAGAGTCTTTTCTTAGTGTCCCGGTTCCTAGAGCTCTTTACCTCCTGTCAGTACAGCCACATTAGATTGGAGTAGGATTCAGAATTACAGTATTGGCTCCCCCAAGATCCAGCTATACCACTCTTGGGCATATACCCAAGAAATGCTCAACCACACCATAAGAGCACTTGTTCAGCTATGTTCATATCAGCATTGTTTGTAATAGCCAGAACATGGAAACAACCCAGATGCCCTTCAACTGAAGAATGGATAAACAAAATGTGGTACATATACACAATGAAATACTACTCAGCAGAGAAAAACAATGGCATCATGAGGTTTGCAGACAAATGGATGGATCTAGAAAAAAATCATCCTGAGTGAGGTAACCCAGACTCAGAAAGACAAACATGGTATGTACTCACTCATAGCAGGATACTAGACATGAAACAAGGATGACTTGTCTGCTACTCACATCACCAGGGAGGCTACCTGGAAAACAGGACCCCAAGAAAGACACAGGGATTGCCCAATGACAGAGAAATGGAAGAGATCTACATGAACAGCCTGGTCATGAGTGGGGGTAATGAAAGGCGAGGGTTGAGGGAAAGAGAGCTTGGGGGAGCGGGAGATCCCAGCTGGATCAACAACAGAGAGGGAGAACAAGGAATAGGAGACCATGGTAAATGAAGACCACATGAGAATAGGAAGAAGCAAAGTGCTAGAGAGGCCCACAGAAATCCACAAAGATACCCACACAACAGACTGCTGGCAATGGTCGAGAGACAGCCCGAACTGACCTACTCTGGTGATGGGATGGCCAAACACCCTAATTGTTGTGCTAGAAACCTCATCCAACTACTGAGGGATCTGGATGCAGAGATCCATGACTAGGCCCCGGGTGGATCTCTGGGAGTCCAATTAGCGAGAATGAGGAGGGTTTATATGAGCGAGAATTGTTGAGACCAAGGTTGGATAAAGCACAGGGACAAATAGCCAAATGAATGGAAACACATGAACTATGAACCAATGGCTGAGGGGTCCCCACTGGATCAGGCCCTCCGAATGGGTGAGACAGTTGATTGGCTTGATCTGTTTGGGAGGCATCCAGGCAGTGGGACCAGATCTTGTGCTCATTGCATGAGTTGGCTGTTTGAAACCTGGGGCCTATGCAGGATTGTTTGGCTCGGCCTGGGAGGAGGGGACTAGACCTACCTGGACTGAGTCTACCAGGTTGACCTCAGTCTGTGGGGAAGGCTTTGCCCTGGAGGAGATGGGAATGGGGGGAGTGTTGGGGGGAAGGTGAGGGGGACGGGAGGGGGGAGAACAAGGGAATCCGTGACTGATATGTAGAACTGAATTGTATTGCAAAATAAATTAAAATAAATTTAAAAAAAAAGAATTACAGTATTGGGTTTCGAGTGTAGCTCAGTGCTAGTGTTTACCGAGCATGTATGAGGAGGTATCGTCCCCAGCACTATTGGAGGTTTGGGGTTGTAGGGAGAGAGAGAGAGAGGACAGGCAAAAAAAAAAAAAAAAAAAAAAAAAGAGAGAGAGAGAGAGAGAGAGAGAGAGAGAGAGAAAATGAAAATACTTTTTTATAAGGTTGATCAACAAAATTACCTGGCATTTGTGTTTGCTTGAGGTAGAGGCAATTTGATTATAGTCTGTCTGCATGTCAGGTGCCTCCCAGAAACTTTTTTTTGGACTTTGATATGTGAGTTCAGTTTACAAAAGCTAAAAACACAGGTTAAGGGTTCATATTAGGAAAAAACTAGTCCATGTCCTTTAGGATTAGTGCTAGTGTTGATAACTTCCAAAAGCTGCTTTGTAAATCATTGGCTGGTTGGTTGGTTTTTTTGGTGTTTGATGGTATTAGGATCAGACCCAGTTGAATCTACATAAACTTAAAGCACACTGCAATAGAGGATTGACTGGCTCCCTTTTCCAGTTTGCTGTCTTCAAACTCATCATCTGTCAAGTCTCATGTAACCTTTTAAATCGTCACCTCTTGCTTCTCTGACTGCCTGGGCAGAAGCTCCTGGCAGTGCTGTACAGTGGCCAGTAGAGGGAGCCAGCAAGCTTCTTCACCAAGGCTGGCTTCCGTCTCTTGGCTGGTGAAGGGGCTGCTTGCCAAATAAGATGCGGACCAGCCTTGCTAGCCGGTGCATTTAAGACAGGAACCACATTTAAAACCAGGTTTAATGTGTCCTCTAAATCTTGAAATCACCTTCCTTCTGTTTTGTTCAGGGGATCCGTTCATTACTTTGCTTAGATATCTTCGCCACTGGAGTCCTTGAGGGTAGGCTAGGAGCTGTGTTTTGTTTGACCTCGTAGACTTCATCAACAAAACAATACAGTTGGAATTCAACTCCAAGTCACGCTGTGTGTCATGGAATTTTTTATTTAGTGTGTTACCCCAGTCTCCACCAAACTGATTCTTTAATATTTTAGATTTGGCCTCAGCTCTTTATTTCTCAGTGCCTAACTAGTAATCCCTGCTCCTATCCTGCGATCACCCTTGTAAGGACACACCCTCACAGGCCAGCTCAGTTAGGTCTGTAGTAATTCTGCACACGTTACTCCAGGGCTTTGATGCTGTATTTTTGGGACGTGGCCCTCAGACCGGCAAAGCCTCAAGTGTGGATGATGGATTTTCAGGTTCCCTAGTGGTCTCCCCGGGTCTGCTCTCAGAACACAAACTCCTGCTTCTTGTGGCCTCAGAACTGAACAAGCGTCTACTAGAAGTCGAGGCTTCCCTAGCCCTTCCTTTAGCTTCCCCTTCAGATACATTTGTATTGTGTCAGCCCTGTCTCTCAGTGCTGTGAGGGAGGGGACACGGTGGAGAGGACTCAAGTGTCAGTTTTAGGGTACTCTTTCATTTATAAGAGGTGATGGTAAGATAAAGGAAGACTCCAGATTCAGGTGAGGAAATACCATTTGCTAGGCAAGGTGTGGAACTGGGAATTGGCCTGAGGCTTTTCTGTATCGTGTCTACAAGCTGGTTGGACCATTTAGTGGAAGTGCAGCCGTATGAGGATAGACTGCTGAAGAGCAGAGTTCTCAGGGTTCTTGGGGGGGAACTAGGGAAATTCATACCAGAACCTTTGGGAGGACCATGGCTGAAAAGACGGGCCAGTGATTAAGAGTTCTTGTTCTTGCTGAAGACCGGGGTTTAGTTCCCAACACCTTCGGCCCTCCTGGGAATGGCATGTGTGTATTTATGTGTACTGCCTGACATCCATGGAGGGCAGAAGAAAGTGTCAGGTCCTCTGAAACAGGAGTTATAGAAAGTTGTTGGCCTTCATGTGGGTGCTGGGAACCAAACTTGGGTCCTCTGCAAGAGCTCTTAGCTACTGGGCTGTCTTTCTGGTCACAAGATTTCGGTCTTTTAAAAGGCATTCACTTACAAGAGGGAAGTATATTGAAAAGTGGAAGGGCTCAGGGTGGAGCTGCTGTCCTGTAACCAAGAGGTTGGAGGGATGTAAAGTAATGGTGAGGAGAGCACACTTCAAAGAAACGTAAGCAGAAGTACCTGGAACTGAGGGTTGGCAGTGGGTGAGAAGTGAGGGGTGGCTCCCAGATTTCTCAGCGTAGGCTCTTCCAGATGAGACGTGCAGGGAGGAGCTAGTTTGTTGGAAAGAGTAGTCACGATGCATCAGATGCACTGTTTTCAAAGCGTCTGGTATGTCTACGTGGAGATGTGTGGGAAGCACTTGGCTACAGAGGTCTGGAGCTCTGCTCACATGGCTTGGAAGCATGAATTTCTCCAGCAAAACCTCTAGTAGCTACTGAGATAGTGCATTTTGTGTGAGGAAATCGGTAAGAGGTTTGGAGGGGAGAAAGGACAGTGTGGCATGCTAGGACTGAGCAAAAGAAGAGAACCCTGAAAGACACGGAGAGGGACTAGTCAGAAAAGAAGTGGATACTCAAGAGTGACATGGTGGAGTCCATGGGGGTAGATGTCTGAAGGAAGCAGTGGCTGGCAGTGGCACATCAGAGCTAGGATGCCTTGGTTTATGCGGTGCTGGCAGTGGAACCCAGGGCTCTGTATATGTTAGCCAGGAACCCCACAGCTCAGCCACATCCCCAGCCTGCCTCCCTCAGCTCTGCCCAGAAAATCCCCAGGGCTCAGTGCAGAGTCTCCCTTCCTCCCCCACCTCTCCTCCCTTTGTTTCCTTTCATCTTTTCCCCTCCTCCTGCCTCCCCATCCTACAGGGATCGAACACAAGGCCTCCTGCTTGTGGGGCCAGCACTCCATCCACTGCTGTGAAATCTCGTTTGTACATGGTTTCGGGGATTCTGAGGAGTAGAACTTGACCATGTGTGCTGTAGTAGTACCTGAATTGATGGTGAAACTGTTGTGGGGCAGTCATCATGCTGAATGTTTCTCCTAGAAGCATATAGCTAACATGATCTGTGGTGGCTGAGTCCCTGTCTGGACTGCTGGGAACCTTCCACTTGTTACTTCCTATCTCAGTATTAAAAGTGGTTTTTTTTTTGTTTTTTTTCAAGACAGGGTTTCTCTGTGTTGTTTTGGTGCCTGTCCTCAATCTGTAGACCAGACTGGCCTGCAGAGATCTGCCTGGCTCTGCCTCCCAAGTGCTGGGATTAAAGGCATGCGCCACTGCCACCCAACTAATCGTGTTTTAAGTGTAAAAAAATTCAGTTAAAAGTGTTTCCTGTTTGGAAGCCAAATGGAAAACAGGCAGTAAATGATGGTAGCAGCCACTTCAAATATGAGATGGTTACTTCTCCTAACCTTCATGTGCTCCAAGTGCTACTCTAATTTGTTTTACAGATGTGAACCTGGGGTCTGGGGAGGTGCATAACTCAAACTGCTTCTCAAACATCTGCCTAAGGCAACTGTGGCCTTTCATCTTTGTCCAGAGTATCTTTAGATTCATTTGTGTTGAACAGAACTAAAGGATGAGTGTGGAGCTCCAGGGTCAGGCCAGAAAGAATGTTGAACTGTATCCCCTGTGTGGGATGGGGAAGGTGGAGTCATTCCCTTCCCTTGACGTCCTGTCACTGGACCAGGAGAGATGGCTCAGTGGTTAACTTCACTTGCTGCCCTTGCAGAGGACTTGGTTCCCAGCACTCACATGGAGACTCATGACTATAACTCCAGTTCATGGGATCTGATGCCCTCTTCTGGTCTCCATATGTGGTGCACATAATATACTTGCAGACAAATGCTTGTACACATAAAATAAAATTAATCTTGGAAATCCTGTCACCTTTTAACCTCTTCAACAGAGGGCTGAGTATCTCTTGTGACAGATGATAATTGCTACTGGGCATGGTGCCCTGTAATCCTGATGGGAGGTGGAGGCAGGAAGATCAGGTATTAAAGTCATCCTTGGTCTCCTACCAAGCTTGAGGCCAGATGGTAATTACTGCCTTCAACTGTTACTTAAATCTCTTAGGGAAATTTACAACTAGCCCAGGCTGGCTCAAATTTGATATCCTGTCTCAGCCTCCCCAGTTCTGAGATAACAGGCCTGAGCAGCAGTCATGCCTGGCTTTTTATTTACTAAGATAATTCAAATCTGAGTAACACTGTTATGTTAGTTACTTTCTCCTTGCTGTGTAAACGCCTGACAAAAGCCATCTGAGGGAGGAGGGTGTGGTCCACCACGGTGGAGAAAGCATAGAGAAAGCATAGCGGCAGGGTGGGCGGAGCCAGTCACAGTGCAGCTCCGTCTGGACTCAGAGATGGATGCGGTGCTCAGCTCACTTTCTTTTTATTCAGTCCAGGACCTAGCTGTGGGATGGTGGCATTCATAGTTAGGAGGTGTCATACCACCCCAGTTAATACAGCCTAGAAACTGTCTCATAGGCATGTCCAGAGCTTTGCTTCCATGATGATGATAAATCCAGTCAAGTTGACAATACAAATCAATCATCACATACTGGAATCCTAGCATCTGAGTTCAAGGTCATCCTCAGCTAGATAGCAAGTTCAAGGCCAGCCTGTCATAAAAAATAAAACTGAGATGTCTCAGTGGGTAAAGTACTTGCTGCTAGGCTTGAACACCTGAGTCTGATTCCTGGAATCCACATGGCAAAAAGAGAAACAACTGCATGTTGTCCTCTGACCTCCACATGTGTGCTGTGGTACACACACACACACACACACACACACACACACACACACACACACTAAATGTTTAAAAATTCTTTTAAAAGAAAGCAAAACAAATGTGAGCAATGTATAATCTTACTCTCAAAACTGAGTTTTTAGCCATTTCTAAGCAGTGACTAACCAATGAAAATAATTTTGTTTATCTTTTCTTTAAATTGAATTTAAAAAGCACTTTCTCATTTTCCAAATAAAATTAGTGTAACAAATATGGGGAGTTCTTGTTGTTTTGTATTTTTGAGACAGGATCTTACTTTATAGATCAGACTGGCCTCTGACTCACAGAGCTCTGACTGCCTCTGTCTCACAAGTGCTGGGATTGGAGGTTTGTGCCACCACATGGCAGGTGTTGTCCTTTAAACATGCTTTACATTCTCTTATTTGTTCTGTGTGTGGGTGTGCGGTGTGTGTGTGCTATAGTGCAGTATGTAGAAATCAGTTTTCTCTTAAAGAATCCAGGCATGGAGCTCCAGCCATTAGGTTTGCAGGGAAGTGTCCCTACCGACGGAGTCATCCTAAAGTCTGGGGGCTGGAGAGATGGCTCAGAGGTTAAGAGCACTGGCTGTTCTTCCAGAGGTCTTGAGTTCAATTCCCAGCAACCACATGGTGGCTCACAACCCTCTGTAATGAGATCTGGTGCCCTCTTCTGGTGTGTAGGGATATATGCAGGCAGAATACTGTATACATAATAAATAAATTTAAAAAAAAATAACAAAAAACGCTCTCCTCTGCTGTTGCTCCCTTAGGAAGCACTGTGCCTGCGTTCCCTGCAGGAAGCTGGCATGTCCGGAGTCCCTTCCTCTCCTGATTCTTCCTTATTACAGGGCCATGTGGCAGGGATTCTCCAGTTCTTTCCTGACAGTAACTTGATCAAGACCCAAGGTCCTCAGGGCATGAGAGTTTTAAGCAGTTCATGTTTTTCTTTTGACAGAGCTGAGAAGCTTCAGCTGCTGAACCACAGGCCAATGACTGCTGTCGAGATCCAGCTGGTGAGTGGGAGAGGGTTGCAGCACTCAAGGGGTTGTTTTGTGGGTCTGAGATGCAGAAGGACACAAGCCAGGACTGCACACATCCCATGCCCTAAGTGAGAGGAGAGCCTGGAGGCCTCACCAATTGGTCCTCGTTAGTGTGGACCTGAGAGTGGGAAGCTGGGAATGGAATTCCTCCATGGCTCTGGCAGCCTGTGTCCTCTGCTGCTCTAGGCCTTCTGGCCGTGGCTTGCCTGGAGGAGGTAGAGCCAACCAGCTGTTGCATTCAACGTTCAACTCCGAGTGTCCCCCATTCCCTCCTGTCCGCCTCTTCCTTTTTCTCGCATGTGGTCCTCTTCTCCTGCCCTCCTGGGCCAGCCTCGAAGCAGCAGCTCTTGCTGTAGCTGAGGCCCAGTTGTCCCCGCGTTCTGCTTATTTTCTCTCTCCACCACTTAGCATTCACTTCTGTCGACGTTTCAGAACTCACCCCTGCAGTTATCTCATCCTTCTCCCTGTCGACAAGCATGTGTGACCACGCCTGGCTTACAGATCACTTTCTAAAACCATAAACGCGGTCTCATTTCCCTGCAGAAGGGTCTCGTGGAGCCTAGGAATTTGTCAGGTCAAATTGCTGTCGCAGTAGGGCTTCAGCCACGGTGGCCGAAGGTAGAGCAGGGTGGTCTAGGGAGAAAGTGAAGGCAAGGCCAGTGAGAGAGGCTCCTCACGTGCCGTGTGGCAGGTCCCTCCTGTTACACAGGGAGGGCCTCAGGTTAAGCAGGTCCTGTCGCCACCAGGAAAATTAGTAAAATAGTTTCCAAAGTTTGTCTTAGAGATATTCAGCTCTTAAGCAGGGGTTGGTGGCACATGCCTGTGATCCCACTGTTGGGGAGGCAGGAGTAGAGGATGAAAGTTTGAAGTCAGTTCGGGTCACATAATAAGCTCCTTTCTTGAAAAATCCATGTAATAGAAAATGAGAACAGAAGAAACAGTTGGGTCTTTGTAAACTTTACAAAGTATTGAAGACAATGGCCAAAGAACCTCCATGATCTTCAGAATTCATTTAAAGCATTTCAAAGGTTATAAAGTAGTTAATTTTTGACTACAACCTTCATTGTCTTCCCAGAGTTGCTTCTGTCCCTCGAACGCGCCCGAAGTTAAATTATAAACATTCCTTCCGTTCTGGGGAGCTTCCTGGGGGACTTGGCCTTTGTGCTAAACAGAGGTCCCCATCTGTGTGTCCTCATTGTTGTAGATGTTAGACAGATTCAGCTTACAGGAGAGGGAAAGATCAAGAAACCAATCTCTGTCCCTTGGGTTAAGGATCACATGTTGGGTCTCCTCCAACTTTAATCAGCACCATATGCTGTTCGTGGCCGAGTGACAGATGGAGAGGGGAGATGAGGGATTAGCATGGCTCCATCCTGAGCCTGCGGAAAGCTCCAGGGTTGCCTGGTGAGAGAGCTGATACTGAGTGCTCTGAGCGCGTTAGACACGGTCCCAGGGCCTTGTCCATGCCACTTTCAGTGTTGGAGGAGGACGAATATTCTCACCTTCTTACTCCAGAGGACCGGTCCTTGACTTTGTTCCTCTTCTAAGCCCTGTTTCCAGAGACAGAGATGAGAGGGGATTTGCTAGGGGAGTAGGTCACAAGGTTATGGGAGCACAGAGGCCCCCAGAAAGCCATCTACAAGCTAAAGACCCCAAGATACTGGGAGATTGGCTCAGTCCCAGTGTGAAGTCCTCAGAATCAAGGACGCTGATGGTTTAACACAGTCTGAGGCCACAGGGCTTGAGAGCTGAGGGTGGACTGGCCCTGTCCTGCCTCCAACCGCTTAGGTGGTGCTCACCTGCATTGGCAGTAGACATTCTACACCAAGTCCATTGACTCACACACAGGCTTCCAGAGACCCTCACAGATGCACCCAGAGCCTTACCAGTTGACCCCAGGTGTGTTTTGGTGCAGTTAAGTTGACACCTGGAGTCACCCGTCACACCTGGTGAGATTAGTGTGCTGTTCCCTCAGATGTTTCTTTTTCTACAAACTCTTATTTCCCTGCAGCTAAACTAGTTTCTAGTCAGATTTTTTTCCTACCCTAGAATTGGCTGTAAAAGATAGCAAGCCATTTACCAGAGCAGCATCCATCTACCCGAGAACGTGAGGGATGAGGGTTTCACAAAGGTTAGGGAACAAAGAACTTAATGCTTCCCTGTAGTAACTACAGCCGTGTGTTCTCCCCAGACTCAGAAAGTGGCTGCACCACCCACGCTTGTTAGAATCCGGTTGAGAGCAAGAAGTGCCTCAGCTGGGGTTTGCGTGGTCCTTTGGTGGCTGTCCACTGACTGAGAGGCTCTGTGGAGAGGTGGGCCTGCTGTGTGACTCCAGCTTGCTCTGCTGGGGTCCATTTGGAACAGTCTAGGAGCCCTCTGAAGGGGGCCCCGAACCCTGTGAATGCACAGATCATTGTCCTGCACAGCATTACTACTTGTGTCCATTGAATTCCGTGGCTTACTAAACAGCCCTCCAGGCCCCGCTCCTGCTCGCTGTAGGCATTACTTTAACTGAGAAGAAGCTGGTGTTTCAAGGCTGAGTGGACCCTGGACCACACAGCTGCAAGTCATGGCTGCTGCTACAGCCGAGTTTTCCAAGATGAAGTCTGTGCTTAGTATTGGAACCTTATTCCAACCAAGATGTCTCAGTTAAGGTCCAAGTTTCAACACAGAATTGATTTATATTTCATATATACTGTAACATATGTATTGAAAGCAATTGTATACAGTATTTTTTGTAAGATCTTGCTTTTATTGATTGATTGATTTTCTGCAGCCTGTCAAATGAGGTCAGATAGAAATTTCCATCTAGGTGGAGAGCAGTTTTTGTCAAGTCTTACCTAAGGAAGTGTCGTGTTAGTGTTCAGAAAAGTTCCAATACTAAGGTGGTGGTGTGGAAGAAATGGCTCAGTGGGTAAAGCACTCACCCCACAAGCTTGAGGACCCGAGTTCAGATCCTCCAGACTCACATAAAGCTGTTGTGTAGTGTATGCATCTGTAATCCTAGGGCTCCTCTAGGGAGATGGTTGGCAGAGAGGAGACTCCCTGGAAACAGACCGACTGTCCTGGCATGCATAAACAGCAAAGGGAGACCCTGGCTCAAGCTAGGTGGAAGGTGAGGGCGGGACCCCAGGTTGTCCTCTGACACACACTGTGGTGTACTCATTCAAGCATGCACGTGCTCGCATATACACTATGATGAAGTCTTCAAATTCAAGAAAAACAAAGCTTTACAATTGTTTTCAGGGCTACAGCATTTGATTTCTGATTACAGCTGTTGGCCTGTTAGGCTTGGTCATGTGAGGAAAGCTGTGTGCTGGGTCTGGCAGCTTACAGTGGGGAGCGGCCTCTTCTGGAGTGTTTGGCAGCCTCCAGGGATGAAGAGAACTTTGTGTGTGCAGAGATTGGTCCTTCACCAAGAGCTGTCTGCCTTCTAGCACTTGGGATTCTAGGTTTTTGTTTGCTTTTATATTGTGAACAACTTGACACGTTGGTACTGGAGAACAATGAGCTTCTTATTTGGGCTCTTCTCCTGTGTTGAGGAGGACAGGTGAGGCAGGATGTAGTTGCTGCTTACCCTGGTGCTCCAAGAGGAGTAGGTAAGCTTGTTTCTTCCTGTGCCTGAGAACAGAGAATCTTAGGTTTAAAACTACCTTCCCAACTATAATTATCCCTGAGGCCTTAGTTCTAGTAAAGGCTTCTGTTGTTACCAGAGTTGGCGGAATCAGAGAGCTGTTGCCCTTTGGCTGAGGGCGACTCCTGATGGGCATTGCAGCTGCCAGACCCCGAGACAGTGATGCCAGGCATCGGCACTGGTTCTTTCGTTAAAAGGAAGGCCTCAGACGATCCCACCCACCCCACACCAGAGAACTCCATACTGCTGTACAGCATCAGTGAGAGAGGCTGTGGTGTTCCAGAAGGAGTTGGGATTGAACTTAAAGACCTGCGGCCTCCCTCCGTGTCGAGGCCCAGACAGAGCCTGTCTCTCTTTCCTCATCTGTCATTGTCTTGGCTTCAGGTTTCAAGGCTCCATAAAGTCAGTATGATTCAGTATGGTCAGTGTGATCCCAGCACGGCTCCTTGTATGCTGGAGCTCTTCACAGGTGCTTTGGCCGGGTGGTTCATTGGCCCTGTTTGCCATTATTCTCAGCTTACAGGCTTTCCTTTGGACTAAATAATCACATCAGGTATTCCCTCCAACCCCTCTCCTCTGGGGGCATACTGTGTTGGGTTCCTGCCATTCACTTTGTGTGTCTGATCTTAGAAAAATGATGTGCTTTTTTGAGGTAAGGTCTCCTGTAACCTAGGTTGGCCTCAAACTTAGTATGTAGTTGAGGCTGGGCTGATCTTGAATTCCTAATCCTCCTGTCCCTACCTCCCAAATACTGGCAGTAAAGGCATGTATCGACATACCTGTCTAAAAATGCATTTTTAAAGAATTGGGTTTTTTCACTTATTATTTCAAAACTTTGCATGACGTGTATTTTGGTCCTATTCTTTCCTGTCTCCCGACTCCTCTCAGATCCTTCCCACTTCCCTACCCTCCCAACTTCATGCTCTCCCTCAAAGGGAAAAAAAAACCAAAACCACACAAAAAATCAAAATCAACAAACAAAAAACCCTCAGTAAGACAAAAATTACCAAACTAAAACAAAAGGTATAAAACACCATGAAGTCTGTTTTCTGTTGGCCTATTCCTGTGCATGGGGCCTGCCCTGGAGTGTGAGGGGCATGCCGGTGTCTCTCCACTGGAGAACACTGACTGAGCTACCCCTTTCTTCTGTCTTGTCTTCAGGACCTACCGTTCTGTCTTTCATGGCTTTTGACCTGTTGATGAGTCTCACCTCTCAGCTTTTTGTTTGACTTCCTGAGCTTTTCATTTTATGCTTTATTTCAGGTTGGCTTTTCTTTACTTATTAAAGTCTACTTCCATATCTCAGATTGTTGTCATTATTTCATTCAACTGAGTGTTTTCATGGTCTTCATTAAGACATTCATCATATCCTTTTGAAGGTCCTTGAACATATTCATAATTGTTGTTTTGAAGACCTTATTTTTTTTTTTTTTTTTTTTTTGGTTTTTCGAGACAGGGTTTCTCTGTGTAGCTTTGCGCCTTTCCTGGAACTCACTTGGTAGCCCAGGCTGGCCTCGAACTCACAGAGATCCGCCTGGCTCTGCCTCCCGAGTGCTGGGATCAAAGGCGTGCGCCACCACCGCCCGGCTGAAGGCCTTATTTTTCACTTCAATTAAGTTGCTTTTCCTGGGGCCTGTTACAGTAGGGTGCTGGCTTCTGGGGGAGGCATATTGTCTTGGTGGTTCATGCTTGTATTTGTGCTGGGATGTAAGATGTGGAGTTAGGATGCTGGTGGTGCTTCTTGGTGTAGAGATTTGGTTTGGCCTTTGTTTGGTGGGTATTCTGTTCTCTAGTTACTGTCACCCCAGTGTTGGGCCTCGCCAGGTGAAAGCTGTGGGGTTCCTGGTAGATGACGTGTCTGTGGGAGTCACAAAGGGATGGAGGTGTGCTGGAAGGAATGGTCCCCTTGAGACCTGGCCTCCTGGTGCTGATCCAGGGTCCCCCTAGTTATTCCCTGCCGCCCCTTCCAGCCATTCCTTCTGAGAGCTGTTTCTTGTTCAGTCAAGAAGGGTTTTTTTGTTTTTTGTTTTTTTTTGAGCTGAGGACCGAACCCAGGGCCTTGTGCTTGCTAGGCAAGCACTCTACCACTGAGTTAAATACCCACCCCCGGTCAAGAAGTTTTATTTGGGCTGAAGACGGGATTCAGTTGCTGGAGTGCTGGCCTAGCAGGTGCAAGGTGTTGAACTCCTTTCCTGGCACTGCACAAGCCAGCCTGGGGGATGTACCTGATGATCGCAGCACTTGGGAGGTGGCAGCAGCAAAGTCAGAAATTCAAGGTTGTCCTTGACTACAGGGCAAGTCCGAGACCAGCCTGGGCTACTTGAGACCTTGTCTTAAAAAAATAAAAACTTGCCGGGCAGTGGTGGCGCACGCCTTTAATCCCAGCACTTGGGAGGCAGAGCCAGGCGGATCTCTGTGAGTTCGAGGCCAGCCTGGTCTACCGAGTGAGTTCCAGGAAAGGCACCAAAACTACACCGAGAAACCCTGTCTCAAAAAACCAAAAAAAAAAAAAAAACATGAAAATAAAAACTTTAGAAAATGGTTTGCTCAGGACAGTCTCTACTTAAAACACCCCAAACTATTCTTTAGCTATAGAAACAGTTTGGCTGAAAGGAAGGTGTTTTGTGGACCTGTGATGTGCTCTTGGCCGTGTCTTATGATGTCTTAAATCAGCCATACCGTGTAAGAGGAGGCAGTCAGACTGCCATCTTTTTGAAAGGTGTTCTTTCTGAAACACCTTTTTGTATCATTTGCCGTGTCTCAGAAGTTGCTGTGAGGAAACCTTCATCTGGGAAAGGTGTTTGTCACATGCTCCTGCCTCCTTGTGAACACAGCCCTTGAATACCTGCATACTTTTAAAGTTGTATTTTCATGAGGATGGAGAGTTAAGAGCACTTGCTGCTCTTCCAGAGGACCCAGGTTCAGTTCCCAGCACCCATGTGGCAGCTCACAACCATCTTGAACTCCAGTTTTAAGGGTCTGATGTGTCCTCCTGGTCTCAGCAGGCATCAAGCACACACATGGTGCACATGAAGGCAAAGTGTTAATTCACGTAAAAAATAAACATAAATTTAAAATCTTAAAGATTTAGTATTTATTTATGTAAGTGTTTGTGTGCCTGTGTCTTGTGTATATACCTGTGTGCGGGTGCATGTGGGTGCCTGCAGAGGCCAGAGGAGGGGCCTTGGATTTCTTGGAGCTGGAGTTGCAAGTGGTTGTGAGCTGCCGTGTGGCTGCTGGGAACGGAACTCGGGTCCTCTGCCACAGCAGCCAGTGCTCTTAACTGCTGAGCCATCATCTGCAGCTCCTCTTCTTCTGCTTACTTGTCAGACTCCTGTTCCGCAGGCTTTGGAGACCAGTAAGTTGTGTTAGTTGGCTTTCTCTTGCTTTAACAGAATACCTGAGATAATCAACTTACAAAGAAGAAAGATTTATTTTGCCTCATTGTTTCAGAGTCCATCGGAGTCCAGATGGCCCTGTTGCTTTAGGACTGTGACAATGATCATTGCTCACCTTGAGGAAACCAAAAGCAAACAGAAAAAAGTCCAGGGTCCCAGCACCCCTAATATCCTGACTTCCTCCCTCTAAGCCCCACTACTAAAGGTTTTTCCACCTCCCAGTAGTGCCATAGGCTGGGGTCTAAACCTTCCGTACACAGCACTTGAGGGACATTGAGGATTCAAACCACAATGTGGCATGTAGGAGCTGGGAGGCTTTCTACCTGGGCATGCCACACTGGGTGTCCAGTTCTGCTTCTTGCTAGGATTACAGTGAGTATTGAAAGAGATCATGTTTATAAAATTTCTAGTATGGTTGCGGGCACAGGAGGCCCCTGCAAAGTTCTGGGGAGTAGCAGGGGAAATGAGAACTGTTGCAGAATAGAAATTCTGTGACTCAGGAGAAGCAGCATCAAAGGAGTGGGTGACACCACTAGTGACAGAGTTACTGTTGTGAAATCCGAAAGTTTGTCTAAGGCCATGGCAACCCTAAAGGTGAATTTCTTTGCACATCCAACATACTAGTGTGTGGATGTGAAGGAAGTAGAATAGTTAGGATTTCCCTTTATTTAAAGAAAAGCAAGCTGGGCATGTGGGTGGCACATGTCTCTTTAGTTCCCGAACTCAGGAGACAGAGGCAGGCAGATTTCTGTGTGTTGGAGGACAGCCAGGACTACCTTGTCTCCAAAAAAGGAAAGAGTGGGTGGGGGAAGACAGACAGACACTCAGCTTCACAGACCCATTTTATGTGCTTGCTTTGGCTAGGTCTGGGATCTGAGCTGGCTTCATCCCGCTGTGGATCCTAGATGAAGACCTGACTGGCTCAGGACCAGGGTCTGGGCTGGCTCTGTGGACAGCATGGCTGGGGTGGGCCATGATGGGAGGCTTCCTTCTAAAGCCCTGACAGCTTCCTTTCCCTTGTAGATGGTAGAAGAGAGTGAAGAGCGCCTCACGGAGGAGCAGATTGAAGCCCTTCTGCATACTGTCACCAGCATTCTGCCTGCAGGCCCAGAGGACGAACAGAGTAAAAACACTAGCAATGATGTGGCCATGGAAGAGGAAGACCCAGCATAGATGTGCACAGCTGGCCAGGTTGTTCGTGAAGTTCGAAACCCCAGCAGCCATTTCCTGGATGTTCAGAGGATTGTGTATTTGGTTTTAGCCCCTCTCTCAATATGCCTGATCTCAGGGTGGGCTGGGAAACCACAGAACTAGGATAAAAAGAATCTTTGTGCCTTGGGATCAAGAAACATGGAGTCAGAGAAGGGCAGAGGACTCGAGATGAGGGAACGTGGCTCTGCAGCCCTCTGGGGCAGAAAGACTTCTGTGGTCTCTGCCACACTTGTACACAGTGGTAAGCCAGTCACGTGCTTTGGTGGCTGTGTTGTAGGCAATGGCAGGAGCTCGTGGGTGAGAGCAGAGCTGTGGGAATGGGCTCAGGTGGTTGAGAGCGCCCAGAGCTGCACACAGCTGCTCCAGGGGAATGACCCAGAGCTTAGCTCACTCTAGAGGAATGTCCTCAGCAGAAACAGGAGGTGAGAAAAGGAGATTAAGAGCCCATGCTGGTCTACATAGTAAGGAACACACATGTGAACACAGCTAACATGCATGCATGCCACATACATACAAAAAATTAGTCCGTTTTCTGTTGCTAAAAACAACTCTATAGCCTTGGTAAGTGACAAGAAAAAGAGACTTATTTTGGCTCATGGTTCTGGACCAAGGTCATAGGGCGTCCTGGGTATGGACCTCTTATTACTAGACTGCTGGGGTAGCATAGGATACCACCTGATGGAAAATGAGAAGCACTTGTTTATTTTCAGCCTCTTGTAGCCCAAATTGTCCTTGAACTCAGTATGTAGCCCACTCTGTCATCAGACTTTTGATGATTCTTCTGCCTCAGCCTCGTGAGTGCTGGGATTAAAAATGTGTGCCACTCACTTGAGAGACCAGGTAAAGGCCAGCCTGGTTCACATAGCAAGTTCCAGGCAGCCAGAGCTACACAGTGAGACCCTGTCTCATAAAAACAAAAATGAATCAGTGTGTGCCACCATACTTGGGGTGTGTGTGTGTGTGTGTTGGGGGGAGAGGAGGTTAGTTTCTTTTCATATTTAATAGGAGTTTAATGGAGTTACTATATAATGGGGAGATAGTTTCTCTCCAGACACCATAATCTATCAAATAAAATGTGCATTGCTAGGTATAGGTAATCTTTTTTGAGTCCCATAGATCTCCACCCCACCCCACCCCAAAACAATTAGAGGACATTGTCATGGCTCTTTAAAAGTCCATGGTATGACCCTTTTGCTAAGGACATTCTACAGTTGGGTCATAGGACATAAAGGAATCAGTGTGGCACTAAGCCACATGTTCTTCCTCCAGAAGTACTCAGTAGTGGTTCTTCATCAGAAGTATCAGATTCAGACTTTTCAGGACCTTCTTTCGTCCTCTCTTTCAGTCTTTCTCTTAGGTACTGGTTAAGAAACAAATACTGTGTGGCCTCTAGCTGGGCCCAGCTTTCCTCATGTGAGTCCCCAGGAAGCTGGAAATGGACAGGTGTATAGTCACTGTCACGGTTACTTTTTTCTTGGTCGTCTTTTCTGCATCCAGGACAGCATGCAGTGTGGTTTTCCTTCAGAGCTATTAAGTAGTGGCTCTTCCACAAGAGCGCCGTTAACTGCAGTTCTTCCAGAAAGCCCGCAAACTAGCTTTCTGTTTCTTTTTTGATGGGGCTGTCACCTTGTGTGTACTTTTGCTCCGTCAACATATCGTCACTCCTGTCCTCAGGAGGAAGTCCAGGAGGCAAAGATTCTCTGTCAAGTATCTTCATGGCTGGGTCTGCAGAGACGTACATTCTGGTATTTGTCCTGGTGTTTGTCCTTCAGAGGGATGAGCGGTGACTCTCCCTGAGGACCAACGAACTTCATGTCTTCTTAAAAGTTTCCAGCCCTCTTCTCTACCCTTCTTGTGGCCAGCTTGATCCCCTTGAAACCGTGATGAAGTTTGACCAAGAAACAGACATTTTCTTGTGCACAGAGATATAGTCTCTGTCATTAAATTTCATTTCTGGGTCCTCAATGTTTTCTTAGTAACAGAGTTAATGTCGCTGTCCTCTGTCGCTTGTCAGAGAGCCTGATAATGACTTCTGTTTGCTATTGTTTGTTTGTTTTGATTTTTTTTGAGACTCTTTTTTTCTTATAGTTTCAGTGTAGCCCTGGCTGTCTGAAACTCACTCTGTAGACCAGGTTGGCCTTACAGTCAGAGATCCACCGGCCTCTGGCTCTGCTGGAATTAAGGTGTGTGCCTCCACCTTCTGGATTTATTTTGTTTTTTTGGGACAGGGTGTCACTGTGTTGCTCTGGTCTGCCTCAAATTCACAGAGATCTACCTCTGAAAGAGGGAATAGCGCACCTCTGGGTTTATTTGTGAGGGTGTTTCCAGAGATAGATCATGAAGACTGAACTAGGCTCAATCCCTTCATGGATTAGAATGTGAATGGATTGTTGGGGCACGGTAGAAAGTCCTATCTGGGTGGAGGAAGTAGGTCTCGAGGAACATATCTTAGAGGTGGCTGTGTTGGCCTGTCCTCTTCCTATCATTTCTCCTCTTTGCTTCCGGTTGCCGTCTGCGCTCCCACCGCCATGATGTTCTGCCTCACACTAGGTCCAGAAACACAACCAACCCAGCAGCCACTCACTGACCCCTTAAACTGCTTTTGTCTAGCTTTGCTTACAAAAGTCTCTAGTATGGAGGGCAGCAATCGGTGGCTCACATGCATTGTTCCTGAGTCACAGATGAAGACCCTGACGCTAACAGGGAGAAAGAAGCGATGGCCTGAGGAATCAGAGCCAGAAAGCAGCAGAAATGGGGGTGCACACCCCAGGACTATCTGATCCAGATATAGACCCCAGATATAGATATAGATTGGATTGTCAGGCCTACTAATCAAACCTGGTTCTCTTCTTTCAATTGTTATTTATTAGCTGGGAGTTGAACCTAAGGTCTCATCCATGCTAGACAAGTGTTCTGCCACTGAGCCATGCCCCTGCAAACACTGGGGGTGCCTAAGAAAAGCTGTCTTGCTGAGCCCCACTTGTGGCTCCTCACTGGAGAATTCCAGGCAAGCACTCTCCCACTGAGTGGCACTCTTCAGGCCTTCCCTGATGGATTCTAGGCAAGTCGTACTGCTGAACTCTGTCCCCTGCCCTCTTTTTGAGACAGGCTTAGCACACAGGCTCATGATCCCCCTGCTCTAGCCCCCCAAGTAAGTCGCTGGTCTGAGGCTGCATCACCGTACTTGGTTAAGCAGTCCCTTTACTGATTTTTCTTCCTTGGGTTCTTGAATACTTCAGAACAATTGAAAGTGGTTTTTTAGTTAGGGTTTGTGTGTTTGTTGTTTTTGGATAGGGGTTTTTTGTTGTAGCCCTGGCTGTCTTAGAACTCGCTCTGTAGACCAGGCTAGCCTCAAACTCACAGAGATCCACCTGCCTCTGCCTCCCAAGCTGGGATTAAAGGTGTGTGTCACCAATGCCTAGCTGGTTAGGATTTCCATTGCTGTGACCAAACGCTATGACCAAAAGCAACTTACACTTGGACCACCACGGAGGAAGTCAGGCAGGAACTGATGTGAAGGCCGTGGAGGACCATTCTTACTGATTGATCCCTCCTGGTTTGCTCAGCCTGCTTTCTATCTGTTACCCAAGACCACCAGCCCAGAGATGGTACCCCTCAGAGATGGGCTGGGCCCTCCCACACCAGTGACTAATTAAGACGTGCACCACAGACTTTGATGCAGGCAAATTTTATGGAGCTATTTTCTCAGTTGAGGTTTCCTCTTCTACTGTAAAGAGTTGACATAAACTAGCCAGCAAAAGGGCAGAGCAGGCAGTCTTGGGGCTGGAGGCTGACATGCTGGGTGGTTATATTCTTTAGTCTGTAGTTAGTTCCTGGATGGAGCTACAGCTATTCCTGCCTAGAGCCTCGTTAGGCACCTGCATGACATGTCTTTGGTGTCCTATGTCATAGTTGGGTTGGTAATGGTGTTCATAGAATCAGAAGCTCCAAGTTGTCCTTTTTCAGGGCAGGCTGCAGGGGCCTGGAAACCTGGGAGATTTGGGGTTAAATATTCCAATTCTTTCCCAGTGAGGGCCTCAGAGGGGAGGCCCAGAGCATGCATAGGCAGGGTGGGGTCCTGGGGCAAGGAGCCAATGTCCTGAGTCATAGGGGAGCCAGGGAGTCAGGGCCAGGGCAAGGCGCACAATGCCAGAACTGCTGAAGGAAGGAAAGCCAGGGACTGCCCTAGCATGGATGTCAGCAGCTGGAGGCAAAGTCACAGGACGTAGCTGCAGTCAGGCTCGGGGCCAGGAACAGACCTGACAAGGCAAGGTCTCAAGGACTGGGCTAGGCGAGGCTGGTGTCTGCAGATCCCAGAGCTGCTGCCTGGTCTCAGGGTGGATGGTGGCCTAAGCCCGCTGGACTGATTGGTCCAGTGCTGGGAGTGCTCAAGACTAGGGAGGGAGGATCAGATAGGGGTGTGCCAGGCTGGGAGGGAGCACCACATAGGGTGTCTCTTGAGCTCTCCAGCTATGGTGAAGCAGCTCCAACAGACCCCTCAGGCCCAGCTTCTCTGGAGTCTTCTCAGTTGGGGGCACCGGATGCTGCAGCTCATGTGTGGCTTCTCCATTGACCCCAGCTTCTCTTTAGAGGTCCACTACATTTCTCAAGAGCCTTCTTCTATGTCATGACTTTTTCTTTTTTAAAATATGTGGAAACAAATTTATAAAATGTGATAAAAATAAAAGCAGGCGATATCAAAATAAATGCACGTTTCCTTGAATTCTGTGTGTGTGCATAAGCGCATGTGAGAGCGTGTACTGGTTTATGTGCGCATGTGTGCAGGTGGAGGTCAGAGGACAGCCTCGCGTGTTGTCCCTTGGGAAGCATTCGTCTTGGCTTTTGCCACGTTGTCTCGTTGGCCTAGAGCCCACCACTCAGTCTGCTGTCTAGTCTCTGCCTCTGCATTCTGGGGTTACAAATTTGTATCATCACACCTGGCTTGTTTTCTATTTTTGTTTTTTGTAAATTACATTTGTTTATTATGTGTGTCGGGGGATGCCATGGTGTGCATTTAATGACCATCTTTAGCTGCACGGCGAGTTTGAGACTAGTCTGGTCTCCACAAGACTCAAGCTAAAAACAAATTCACTGAATTATTTTGGTGTTCAAATTGCCTCAGATTTGTTAGTAGAAACCTCTTCCAGATGGGTCCTTGTGGCATAACCCTGTCCTTTAAAAAAAAAAATCACTTTGTGACTTTTTGATAGAATCAGATGTTCCCACTGTCTCTCTTGCCAACTGTGGATTAAATTACTTCTTTAAAGTGGTTCAAACAAGCAGTTTAATTTCTGTTAGCAGTGAATGGTGTTAAAGGTCAAGGTGAGGGTGTTGGGGTCATTGCTACTAGGAGGCGGTATAGGTTTTCTTCTGCTTAAGGTTTATTTTTGTTTTTGTGTATGCCTATGAGTCTATGCCTCTGTGCACATGATTGCAGTGCTCGTGACGGCCAGAAGAGGGCATCGGAGCGCTAAAGTGGAGTTAGTGGTTGTAGCTGCCTGACATGGTTGCTGGGGACCAAACTCACTCATGGGCTCTTAAGTGCTGAGCCATCTCTCCAGCCCCTCACATGTTTTAGTGCTTGGGCTTTTTTTTAAATAATATTTTTATTTTATAATTAACTTAATTTCACCTATCAGCCAAGGATTCCCCTGTCCTCCCTCCTCCCACCCCCTTTTTAAAATAATATTTTTATTTTATAATGTGTAGCCTAGACTGGCCTCGAACTCATGATGCTCCTGCCTCCGCCTCCTTCAGCAAATCCTACCGGCGTGCGCCATCACAACCGGCTGGGCTTTGTTTATGGAGCCAGGGCCTCACTATTTAGTCCAGGTTGGCTTCAAGCTTGTAGTCCTCCTACCTCAGCTTTCAAATCCTGAAATTGCACATGTATACTATCACAGCTGATCTTCCCTGCCACATGACATATGTTTATATTTCTTCCTCTAAGGATCCTGGCTTCCGATCATATCACAATATAAACTCCATCCTCTATTTTGTCTCTGAATGGCTTCATGCATGCCCTTAGAAACAATAGCTATTTTAAGGAGTTTAGGGGCTAGTCAGATGGCTTGGGGTAAAGGTGCTTCCTGTATAAGCCTGGCCTCAGACCTACATCCAGGTAGAAGGAGAGAACCCACTCCACAGAGTTGTCCTCTGACCTCTAGATACCTGTGTCATGATCACCAACACACAGCACAAAGCCAGTAATACAATTTTATTTAAAAAAATAAAAGTTTAAGACCTGTCAATGGTGGGCATTTCGATCTGAGTTCCAGGACAACCAGGGCTACATAGAGAAACCCTGTCTCAAACAGGGGAAAAAAAAAAAAAAGTTTAAGCTAAGCATTGGTAGAGCACACCTTTAACCCAGTAATTGGGAGGCAGAGGCAGGTGGATATCTGTGAGTTGAAGGCCAGCCAGGTCTACATAGTGAGTTCCATGACAGCCAGGGCTACACAGACCTTGTCTTAACAAATCAACCACAAATTGTTTGGGATTTTTTGTTGATTCTTCTCCCCCCAGCTGAGGGTATGGAGTCAAATGCTGTGCTAAGTTAGTGGAAATTGTTCTTTAGAAAATTTCAGTGTGGTTGTGGAACTAATTTGAAATCAAATTGGTTTCATTATGTGTTATCTGCCTTCAGTTCTTCCTTTCCATTGTTACTGATTTATATCTCATTTTGTTTATTTTTGAGACACTATAGCCTAGGTTATTCTAGAACCTGTGTGAGCTCTATTCTGTAATTCTACTGTATTATGTAATTCAATATATCTATTTAAATCTTCTCGAAGTTATTCCATACCACTTCATAGAAACACACACACTCTCTCTCTCTCTCTCTCTCTCTCTCTCTCTCTCTCTGTGCGTGTGTGTGTGTGTGTGTGTGTGTGTGTGTGTGTGTGTGTGTGTGTGTGAATGAAGTGCCTATAGAAGCCAAATTCATCGGATTCCTTAGATTTGGTATAACAGCTAGTTGTGAGCTGCCCGATGTGGATGCTGGGCTTTGAACTCAGTCCTTTTGCAAGAGCAGTATGTGCTCTTCATAACTGAGGCATTTTCCAGCCCAGCAACTACAAAAGGGCTCATGGGTAAAGACACTGGCCGCCAAGCCGGACAGTGAGGGCTCAGGACCCTGTCCTGGCTCCCCTCCAGTTAGCCCACCGGCACCGTTGCTCTAGCAACAAACTACCCCTGCAGGTAGCGGCAGGGGAGCCCCCTCCGGACAGTTGGCCAAACGCTGGGCCCGGATGTCAGACCCCACCCCTCCGCGCCTGCCCCACCCGCTCTCTCCCAAGCCCCGCCTCCCCCTGGACCCGACCAATCAGAGAGGCAGAGACTTCGCGCGGCCGAGCTCGGGGTAGCCAATGGCGGCGTGCGTGAGATCCTCCGGCCACGAGACGGCGGGCAAGCCGCGGGCGTTGAGGAGGCGACCGCGGCCAGTCGCTGCTGAGGCGGCCGCGGGTGCGCTTCTTCTCGGCGGGGGCCGGGCCGGGCCGTCGCCTGGCGGTGAAGAAGCGCTCCCGGGGCGGGCGCCATGGCCACCAGCTAGGGCGGCGGGAGAAACGGCCGAAGCCCACGATGCCGGAGCGACGGCACCGCTGCGCCTCCGCCATCTTCCATCCTTCATCCCGGCGGTCCCTTCCTCCCTCGCCCCGGCCGCCCGTACCTCCCGCTCCTTTTGCCCAGCAGTCCCGGGCCCTGCTGCTGCGGGGTCTGCCCAGCAGGCATTCCGACTCTGCGGTCACCGTCCGCCGCCTCACCTGCGCACACTCACATCGACATCCCTGGCCTGATGGAGACCGTTATCCCGTTTATGTGAGACCCTGCCCCCTCCCCCCGTTTTTATGAGACAGTTCACTTTGTAGCCCAGGCTGGCCTTGAACTCAGTGTTGGCTTCGAACTCTTCCCCTGCACACCCCATTTTTATGAGACAGTTCACTTTAGCCCAGGCTGGCCTTGAACTCAGTGTTGGCTTCGAACTCGATTCATTCTTCGAACTCGTTGTGTAGCCTAGGCTGGCTTCAGGCTTTGTAGCTCAGGCTGACCTCGGAATCACCGTCTAGCCCAGGCTGGCCCCAGGGGGATGGTCGTCTTCGTGCCTCTACCTCCTAAGTCCTGTGATGACGAGCATGGGCCACCGTGAGCCCCCCCTTTCCATGTCAGTTGCTGACTCCCCTTCATGAGGTATAGTTCACATACCCTTTTTTTCGGAGACCCTTCATCTCTCTCCTCTGCTTAACTCTCCTGATTGTCAACCTCCATCTCTTGCCTTTTCTTCTTCTCGACATGTGACTCTTCAGACATTTCCCACGGTCCTGATGCTAGTTCCTTTTTTTATAAAAATTTATACGTATACATGTTATGTCTTCATGTATGTGTGTGCACCATGTGTGTGCCTAGTGCCCCAGGAGGTGTTGGGGACCTGGAAGTTGGAGTCACAGATGGTTGTGAGGCACCCTGTGGGTACTGGGATTTGAAGTCCCATCCTCTGCAAGAGCAACAAGTGCTCAAACCTCCGAGCAATGGGTCCAGTTAGCGCCCATTTGAGTGAGGACCTCACACTAGTTCTAGATTGTCCAGAACAGACTGTGTAGCCTTGAACTCCAAACAGTCCTGCTTCAGCCTCCCAGTGGTTGGGATGACAGGCGTGAGCCACAGTGAGCAAATTGAGAGCCATCCTTTAAACATTGCTGGGGACAAGCAGACGGCTCAGGGACTTAAGGCTCCTGCTGCCAAACCTGACTACCTCAGTTAGATCCTCAGAGCCCAAAACCTGGTAGAAGGAGAAACCTGGCTTCTGCAAGTTGTCCTCTGGCCTCCACAAGAGCCACTCATACCCTAAGAAAGAAATGATGTAAAGTATATCTAAACAAGTATCATAATTTGGCCTTAGGTAAGCTGTACCCATAATGTGTTAGCTCCTCAGTGATGATCGCTCACACAGTGGTCTAGCACATGGAAGGTTGTCCCAGCTTTACTTAGTACTTGGAGATCCTTTGACTTGCTCTCCCCCGTACCTCTCTCTCTTTGTGCCTCCCGCTTAACAGAAGAAATTGGTGGGTATTAGGCCTGGACTCTTTAGGGTTTTTCATTTTTGTCTGTTGTTCATGCTTATTTGATTCTGATCTATCCTTTTATCTCAGGAAGAGGGGTCCTCATTCCTAGGAGGAGCCACCTGTCTATGTCTTCTGAGTGCTGGCATTAAAAACTGCCATGTCTGGAGTTTTTGTGATTTTCAAGGTGTTTATTCAGTCCTCATTTCTGGTGAATCTCAGGTCTCAGTTTTCATCTCTGCTGGATAACCTTGACATTACAATTATGGCTGTCTATTCTTCCCTCCTCCCGTCTTCTCTGTACCCATGACCTCTAAGTGCGTGTGTGTGTGTGTGTGTGTGTGTGTGTGTGTGTGTGTGTGTGTGTGTACACGCCCACGTGTATCCATTTCATCTTAGAACTAGGGAGTTGTAGATAGAGATGGCTCAGGAGTGCAGAGTTTGTACTACTCTTAAAAAGGACCTAAGTTCAGTTCCCAGTACCCATATTGGGCAGTTCACAACTGATCAGGAGATATGATGCCCTCTTCTGGACTCTGGGGCACCTGCACCCACATGCATGTACCCCCACATACATGCACACTTATATGCACAAAATTAAAACTCTTTAAAAACAAATATCAGGATCATTTTTTCCCCTTGCTTTGGGTCTGTCATATATCCTATTGTGACCTCAGGTCTTATTCTCTCTTCATGGACAGAGAGTTGACTCAGACATTGGTTGTGCCAAATGATGGATGTGACCTGCTGTGTGGGTGCTGGGAATTGAACCTGGGTTGTCTGGAAGAGCAGCAAGTGTTTTTAACCACTGAGCCATTTCCTCATCAGCTCTTACAAAGTGACTTTTTATAAAAGACTTATTTATAGGTGTGTATGTGTCTGTATGTATGAGTGTATGTACATGTGTGTTGGGGGTGCGTGTGCCAGTGTATGCACAGAGGCCAGAAGAGGGCATCCCTGGTCCTTGTGACTGTACAGCAAGCATTCTTAGCAATGAACCATCTCTCCAGCCTCCAGAAGATTTTGACCCTTTACCTGAAGACTGGGGTGGGAGACAGCGGGTGAATTGGGGGATTCCAAGTGTAATAAAGGGAACGGAATGGGCCCAGAGTCATATAGCCCATTGTGTGTCTAGTTTATAGGAAAGCTTTTATTTATTTATTTATTTATTTATTTATTTATTTATTTATTTATTATTTATTTTTCTTTTTCAAGACAGAGTTTCTCTGTGTAGTCCTTGCTGCCCTGGAACACTCTCTGTAGCTCAGGCTGCCCTCTAACTCAGAGATCCACCAGCCTCTGCCTCCCGAGTGCTGAGACTAAGGGTGTGCACCCCCACCCCACCCCTGCTTATATAAAAGCTTTCAATTTATCTTCCTTTTATGGATATTTGTGTGAGTGTGGGTGCACATGTGTGTGGTCCTCACCTTCTATCTTGTTTTCCTAAGGCAAGGTCTCTTCTGTTTCTTCACCATATCATGCTGGCTGACTGGCAAGCTTCCAGAGGTCCTTTTTTCTCACCTCCCACCTTGCTGTGGGAATGTTGAAATTGTAGCACACACTACTGTGTCTGGCTTTATATGGGTTCTGGGGATCTGAACTGAGGTCCTCATGCTTGAGTGCAAACACTTTACCCCACTGAAACATTTCTCTATCCCCCTGCCTCAGGGTCCTGAGTGCTAAGATGACAGGCATGAGCCGCCACACTGGGCTATCTTATGCTTAATGTCTACTGTCCAAAGTACCTGTGGTTGTGGCTTTCGCTTGTTTATGTATCTTTTTCTTCTTTCTCTGCCCTAAGGGTGGGGCTTTGAAATCAAGATGGGCTTCCATTTCTACATCCTCTGTGCCTCACTTCATATTTTCTCTTTGTACAGAACATCAGGTCAAGCAGTGCTGAGAGACATCCCATGACATTTTGGGGGCTTTTCTAAGCTCTATGAACATCTCATTCCCCCAATCTTTAGTCTGGCCTGCTCCATATGTGGTTGCCATTGCCTGAAGCTGTGGTATTAAGTAGTTGTCTTTGATTATTTTTAACAAATGCTTTGGGATATGACCATTCATATGAAGGGAGCTGATTCCATTCCAACCAAGAGAAGTCCTAAGAATGGAGCTTTGTCAGTGAGTCGCTTGATAGGGTAAGTAGCGACAGCTCTCTGAGGGCACTGTTTTGTTGGGAGCTGCGGTTCTGTTCTGCCCCAGTCAGTGGCTCCCGGTGTTCATAAGATGTTTATGAGGCTATTGGTTTTCAAGGTTCTTCAGAGCTGGGGAAAGGGAGTAGTAAGGCAAGTTACAGTGCTATAGTGCTCACTGCTTGCCAGAGTCAGGCTTCTTTCTTGTATAGACATTCCTTGGATTTTTGTAAGCCATTGGTGAATATTTAGAGTTCTGAGAAACATGGTCTTGACCATTCTGTCAGTGTTCTATACTTTCATGAAGAGCAGACTTTGGAAGTCAGAAGGCAGAGGCAGGGGATTTCTGAGTTTGAGACCAGCATGGTCTACAGGGTGAGTTTCAGGATAGCCAGGGCTGTTACACAGAGAACCCTTGTCTCAAAAAGAAGAAGATGATAGTGAACTACCAACAAGTAGGGCTAGAGAGATGGCTCAGCTGTTAAGAGCACTGGCTGCCCTTCCAGAGGACCTGGGTTCAATTCCCAGCACCTGCATGGTGGCTCACAGCCGTCTGTAAGCCTAGTTCTAGTTCTAGGGGGTCCAGCATTCTCTTCTAGCCTCCCTGGGCACCAAGGCATAAGTGGTACACAGACACGCCCATACACATAAAATCAAAATAATAAAAACCCTTAGAGGATAATGTTTATAATTGCAAAACCTTTTCATCGCTTTCAGATTACTTTGTTTCTGTTTACTTGTAGTTCTTTGTTTTACTTTTTGATTATTTTCTTGAATATTTGCTTTATTTTTCTCAGATGACTTTATAGGTATTTCAAGAAGATTTAGGAAATGACCCTTCACTCCTTTATCTCTTTACCTGTGGGTTCTTGATTTTACCCTTACCCAGTATTCATGTATCCACAGCATACTGGATGATGATGGGTTTTCACAAAGATTACAGTCTACTAGAGTAAACTAACCACATGCAGTGGTCTGTCTGAATGGACACAAGATGTTTTCATCCAGTAGTTTGAGGTTGCAGAAGGGGAAGTGGTTGATTTGGGGCTGGAGGATGGAAAAAGAGCACCTCGAGAAGACGTCCCTGAGGGATGGATAAAGGAAAAGGAGAACAACACCGGGGGCGAGCACAGGCAGTTGTTGACAAGCTGGAACTGGTGTGAGTAGTCCTGAGGGCAGGCTCCATGGCACCAGTCCTGCTTGGGAGGTAAAGGCACACAAGGACCAGTCCATGTGGGCGCCCTGGAAGCTGCTCTTTAAAAAGGAGAACCCAGCAAGTGTGCTCCATTTCCTCTGCTCCCTGCTCTGTCCTTACATAATTTCCCCTCTGATTACTGTGAAAGAGTTTATCATTGCTCTTGTTTTGTGGATTAGAAAACTATTTATCAGTGCTTTATCCAATGCCAGGTGATGAAGAACAAGTCTTATTCAGACCAAGCTCAGTTCCCCCATCTCTTGTACTGCCGGCCCCCAAGTGTATCCTGGATGTTAGGGGCAGTTGTTAATGCCTGGCCACCTCTCTGCTCATGACCATAGGGCCTATTGAAGTCTGCTGCCTCCAGTCAGGTCCATCCATCCTTGGAGTTCCTTGTCTAGGTTTGAGGCCTCCTGAGCTTGCCTCCTTCCACATTAGCATATCCGTTGGTGTCCTCCTTGTTCACAGCATGGTTAGGCTCATGTTGGTGCAATTTCATGGGTGGAGCTTCTCTTGTATTTCTAGGAGAGGGAATCTCACAGCACCTTCTTGTTCCTCTGGTCTTACAGTGTTTCTGCCCCCTCTTCTACACTCAATCCTTGAGCCTTAGGTTTAGGAGTTGTGTTGAAGATGGGAGATTTATTTATTTTTATGTTATATGTATGGGTGTTTTGCCTACATGTATGTCTGTGTATCACATGAGTGCCTGGTGCCCACTGAAGCCAGAAGAGGGGGTCAGTTCTCCAGGAACTGTAGTTATAGACAGTTATGAGATGCCATCTTCTGGGACTTGAAGAGTAGTCAGTGTTCTTAACTGCTGAGCCACACATTGCCCCCCACCCCCAATCAGCAAAACAACTACAGAATCCATAGCAGGGTCAGCAAGATGGGTCAGTGGAGACACTTGACACCAACCACTCCCTCAAGTTGCACAGTGTGGCATTTGAATTTCATTTTTTTATTATGTGTATGTGTATAGGAGAGGTGGGTGGGCTTGTGCCATGGCGTGCTTGTGGAGGCCAGAGGACAACTTAACCTGTAGGAGTTGGTTCTCTCTTCTGTTAATGTGAGTTTGGGGGGTTGAAGTCAGGTCATCAGAATGGCAGCAAGCACCTTTACTCAGGCAGTCACCTTGCTGGCTCATCATTACTGGTTTTAGTTTTTCATTTATTTATTTGAGTTCATTTTGCTTGCTTGTTTCTTTGTTTGTTTGAGATAGGGTCTCACTCTATAGCCTTGGCTGGCCTGGAGCTTGCTATAGGGCCTCAAACCCAGAGAGATACACCTGCCTTGGCCTCCTGAGTGCTGTGGTTAAAGGTGTGCACCACCACATCTGGCAGTGCTGTTTTTAATATTTTTTTTATGAGTTTGGGTGTTTTGTTTGTTTCTGTGTCTGCACACAACATGCATGCAGTGCCCTGGGGGCCAGAAGAGGGGTGGGGTTCCCTGAGACTGGAATTACAGACTGGTGTGAGCCACCATGTGGGTGCTGGGAATCAAACCTGGTTTCTCTGGAAGAGCAGCCAGTGCTCTTTACCTCTGAGCCATCCATCTCTCCAGCTCAGTGCTGTTTTTAATTAGCAGAATGACTTTGGAAATTTTGCAAAGAGTTTGGGGAGTGAGTGTAAATGCTTGCCTAGCATGTGAAGCCTTTTATTTGGTCTCCAACACTACATAAACAATGAAAGAGGAAGAAAGGGAAAGAGAAATTGTGACACTGAGTCTAGAAGCTTTCAGGTCTTTCTAAGCAGTCAGTGTCATTTGGGCTGCAGAGACGGCACATGCTGCAGGGAGCAGTTCTACTAATAGTGTTTGAAGTTATGTTTTTACAGAGTTTCTCTTCTTTCTCTTTCTCTTGACTAAAATTGAAACGAACCATCCTAGGGTTCTGTTCTGGTTCTGTTTGAAAAGACATGATGAAGCATTTAAGGTCCTGGGAAGAGGTCTCTCTCTCTCTCTCTCTCACTCTCTCTCTCTCTCTCTCTCTCCACACAGATGTCCATATACACCTGCATGTATGGAGTGTTTGGAGTGTTAGGATGTGTAACGGAAATGGTCATGTCAGCCTTTACTGTGCTTTTTTTTATTGACTTAGCCTCTCACACACACAAACACACACACACACACACACACACACACACACACACACTATATATATGTATATATGTATATGTATATCTATGTATGTATGTGTATATATATATATAATCTTCCATCATACCCTCCCATTGTCCTCTCTTAGTTCCTTCTCTCACCTTCCCAACAAGCCCTCCTACTTCCATGTCTTTTTAAAAAGATTTATTTTTATTATTTTATTATGTGTGTGGGGGGTGTATGGACATGAGTGCAAATGCCCACAGAGGTCAGAGGTTACAGGCAGTTGGAAGCTGCCTGATGTGGTTTCTGGGAATCAAACTCAGGTCCTCAGGAAAAACAGTATGGACTCTTAACTGCTGCAAGCCACAGCAAAATGTAATGCAATTCAGCTACTATCACAAAAGCTACTCCTTGGAAAAGTCAAGGACTTCTCCATAGGTCAAGCCCTGACTTAAGAAGTCTTGGTGATCTTTTAGCTTTTATATATATATATATATATATATATATATATATATATAAGCTACATATCAGTACAGTGATTTTCTTGGAATGCTATGCGAGCTTCCAAGAACTCCTAACGGTGTATTTATCTAAAATACCTATCAAGAAGAAAAAAAAAGGCCAAATGAAACACCACCTGTCTCCTAGATCAGGAGGATAGCTTTATTTCTTGTGCAATTTAGGGTGAGACCCTCCTTCCTTACAGCCTTACTAATAGACTCCTAATTTCTTACCTAACCACTTCTAGGAATGTAGATTAAGCACATAAATTCCCTTCCTGATATACTAACCAATCATTAGCTCTCTATTGGCCTCTTCCTTTACCACTCCCCTTTTTGGTTGTAAAAGAAAGCCTGGTGGTCACTACCTGAGGAAAATTCTTACCTGCCTTTGTGACAGCATAAGAATTCAAGCCTGGTGACCTTGCTCTGTGAGAGGATTGCTATTACTTGGGTTTATAACTGGATTCCTGAGAGACTTAGGGAGAACTGAGAGAATAAGGAGACTGAGAGGAGGAGAGAGAGAGGAAAAAAGAGAACGGAAGAACTAGATGGGTAAGAACTGAAGCTGTGTAGATAGGATTTTATCCTAGAGGGATAAAGTAGACGGACAAAGAGCTTGGTGTACTTACATTCATTTCCCGAAAATAGTTCTGTTGTTTGTCATTTCTCTTCTGAGTCCCTGGGAAATATATCATTAAGGCTGGTTCTTTAATATTATACAAGACTTAACCACTGAGGCATCTCACCAGTCCCTGCTATGCCAGGTTTTTTGTTTCTCTCTCTCTCTCTCTCTCTCTCTCTCTCTCTCTCTCTCTCTCTCTCTCTGTAGGCCTAATCTCAATGGTGTCTTCCTCAGTCTCTCTGCACTTTATTGAGGCAAGGTCTCTCACTGAACCATGACCTCACTGATTGAACTAGTCTTAACTGGCCAGCTTGCCCTAGGGAACCCCTGTCTCTGTTTCCCAAGTGGGAATATCACAGGTAGCTACCATGCCTGGCCACCTTTTTTGTGTGGACTCTAGGGATCTAGACTCTGGTTCTCACACTTGCCTGGCAAGGGTTTTACCCTTTGAACCATATCCCCAGCCCTGTGCTTTCTTTCTTTTTTTTTTTTTTTTTGGTTTTTCAAGACAGGGTTTCTCTGTGTAGCTTTGCGCCTTTTCCTGGAACTCACTTGGTAGCCCAGGCTGGCCTCGAACTCACAGAGATCTGCCTGGCTCTGCCTCCCGAGTGCTGGCATTAAAGGCGTGCGCCACCACCGCCCGGCGCCCTGTGCTTTCTTAAAGGGCTATTAGCCAAGGCTTTGGAAGGAAGAACATCAAGGTGTAAGGACCTCAGGCTTGACCCTTTCTCTTATCTAGAGAACGGTGCTGCCAAATGGGTTCTTTTGGAATCTTGCTGGAGATGCCTTAGACAGAGCTGGCTCTCTGATCCACCTGCTGTGGTAGTAGACAAAGGCTTTGGGCTGTAGGGATTGAACATCTTTTGGAGTAAATGCAATGTGTAAGATGAAATGCAAAAGGACATTTGAAGATTTGGTTGGCTCTGGAGAAGTACTGAGGAGAATCTACTGCCTGAGCCTCAGATTGTTCATCTGTGAAGTGGAGTGACCCTGAGGCCCCTTGTAGCAGGGCTGCAGTATGGACCTGTGGTCTTCCAGTTTGAGAAACATCCAAAGAGGAAGTCAAGCTTCATGAGTTAGTGAAAATGTGCAGAAGCCAAAGACTCCTTCTTGGATTTTTTGGTGTTTTTGTCTGGACAACATGCCCAAGGGATCCTTCTGTCCTAACTGAATTATGGGTTGATGGCCTGTTAGGTGTGCAGAAGTCACATGTAGGATCAGGAAGATCTGTGTCTGAGTATGTTGGAGAAACTGTTAGCACTCGTCAGTATGCTCAGACTGGGAGTTGAGATATTTTAGTACTAAACTGGTAACGGTAGAAGATACTGCAGACATTAGCCGTGTTAACCTTTTCTTTTCTGAGCTAGAGTCTCTAACTCAGGATGACCCCAATTCCATTTGTAGCTAAGGATGGCCTTGAAGCTAAGTATGGCTTTGAATTCCTCATCTTCTTGCCTCAGCCTTCTCAGTACTGGGATAGTAGACATGACCATCTTGTTAATTTTTTTTTCTTTTTGATTTTTTGAGACAGGGTTTCTCTCTAGCCCTGGTTGTCCTGGAACTTTCTCTGTAGACCAGGCTGGCCTCCAGAGATCCATTTGTCTCTGCCTCTGAGTGCTGAGATTAAAGGCATGCGATACCATGACCAGCTCACCTTGTTAATTTTTGGTAAGATATACTTTTTATTTTTTATTTTAGTGGGGTAGCTAGTCATTTGTTTTTGTTTTGCAACTGAGTGGGTTTTTTCCCCCTCATGGGGATAGAAGCCTGATGCATGCTGCACAAACACTACCACTGAGCCACACCCCCACCTTCAGTTGACTCTCACCTTGCTGATTTTGAAGGTAATTTTGAAAGACATTGAGTCATCTGTCACCTATTGTGTCCTGACAGTTGTCAAAAGTTAGCAAGTTAAATGTACTTGAACATATGAAGTGTAGGTTTTTATCAAAAAGCCTTGCTCGTTCAGAATAATTCTGGCTAGTTTTACTTCTCTGCTCTCCTGTAGTACACTTATACAAACCTAAAACAAATGGAGCGTGTTAGAAAGCCACTCCTGTGATAATCCAAAGATAAAGCAACCATTATTAAAGCCCCTAAAATCAGCTCTGCTATGTTTCATGGAGTCGAATGCCCTTTGCCCAGATTTCAGTTATTTTGAAAATTTCATTAGTTTGTAAAATAGACATGACAGCTTTTTTCCCCAGGATCATTTCTCTGTCAATGTCAGTAAAATTTATCATTCACTTCGTTCATTACCACCGGACTCATGCCACTAAGTACTGTTTGATCAGAAACATGTAGTGATTGGAAAATTTAGGGCCATGGCCTCCGACTTAAATCCACCTTCTTGTTTTCCATGAAAAGCATTGTGTTTTCCTAAAATTTCCCTTCATTGAAAAGAAAAAGCCGGGCGGTGATGGCGCACGCCTTTAATCCCAGCACTCGGGAGGCAGAGCCAGGCGGATCTCTGTGAGTTCGAGGCCAGCCTGGACTACCAAGTGAGTTTCAGGAAAGGCACAAAGCTACACAGAGAAACCCTGTCTCGAAAAAACCAAAAAAAAAAAAAAAAAAAAAAAAAAAAGAAAAGAAAAAGCAGGAGCTTGAGAGATGCCTCAGAAGTTATGCTCTTACATAACTTGCATTCTGCTCTGACACCCAGGTCAGGCAGCTCTCACAACTTCCTGTAACTCTAGTTACTGGGGGACCCAACACCCTCATCTAGACTCCTCCAGCACCTGCCCTTGTGTGTGCGCACGCACACACACACACACACACACACACACACACACACAATTAATAATATAATCTTTAAAAAAGAACCAAGCCAGGCAGTGGTAATACAGTGCTGCATTCCTTAAATCCCAGGGTTTCATTAAAAGAAACCCTGTCTTGAAAAACCAAAAAAAAAAGAAGAACTAAAACTTACATATATAGTAAAACTGACCTTTTTTCTACACAGTTCTGTGACCTTTTTGTTTGTTTGAAATGCTCTCATGTAGGCAAAGCTGGTTTTCCTGTCTCCACCTCCTAAGTGCAGGGATCTCAGGCATGTGCCACCATGCTGGATTTATGTGGTACTGGAGATGAATCCCAGGGCTTCATTCATTCAGGCAAACACACCCCAGTTTTTGTCAGTCTAGTGCACATGTGGGCACATGTGTGTTGAGAGGCCAGATGACTACCTCCAGTGTTGTTCTTCTGGTGCCATCCACTTTTTATTAGCCAAGCAGGTTAGACAGGTGGCCAGAGTCCTGCCTGCCTCTACCTCCCTTTGCTGAGATTGCACACACATGCTGTGTGCATGTGCCTTGCTTTTTAAATTTATGTGTGCATGTGTGCGCATGTGCAAATATAAACAAGTGTATATGGAGGTAAAAAATATTGGAAGTCAGTTCTCTGCTTCTACTGTGAGTTCAAGGAATTGAACTCAGGTTGTCAGGCTTGCACAATAGATGATTTTACCTGTTTACACACACACACACACACACACACACACACCTTAACATGGATTCTGAGGGTGGAAAAGTGGTGCTCGTGCCTTCAAGGCAGGCATTTTGCCCATTGAAATATCTCCTCAGCCCTCCATCTTTAAAAGCTTCCCCTTGAATGCCCTGTCATGGCACATGAGTCCTGGATCACAGCCTCTTGCTATTTCCAAATAAACTCATTGCTCTGGACGGTCAGTCTTTGTGTTAGCCATTTTAGGTTGGCGTCATTCTCATAGCTTTGTAGTCTGAAACTTCACAGTGTGAGTCCTTCAGCTTTATTCTTTGTCGAGGTTGTTTTGGCTAGAATGAGGTTTTATTATGCTAAGTTTGGTAAGTGACTCCTTGTTAGAATCAGTCACACTGAACTCTGCTGTACAATTTCACGTCCTTCCTTGCACTGTGAGGTTTGTAGTCCAGCCCCTGCCTGGTTTCCTCTCTTCTTCATTTGCCCTCTCGCTCCAGCCTTGTCACTGCACTGGCCTTTTCTTCCTGACAGCGCTGAATGCCTTCTCCACATGGCCCTGGTGCTTGGCATGCCCTTCACCTCACACTCCACACTCCTCCTACGCATTCTTCAAGTCTTAGCCCAAGTGCCACTTTAAAGGAAAGACTGGTTGGAGGGCTGGCTTTACTGATGTACTTGTCTAGCAAGCATGAGGATGTGAATTAGACCCCCAGAACCCATGTAAAACACTCTGAGTGTGGTGGTGCATGCCTGTAATCCCAGTGCTGGAAAGGTAGAGACAGGTCAAGCCTCAGGGCTCACTAGCCTGCCAGTATGACATCAATGGTGAATTCCAGGCCAGTGGAAATCCCTGTCTCAAGAGGTGGGTAGTGTTTCTGAGGGTGACACCCAAGGTTGACCTCTCTCCTCTACCTACAGGCACATACTCACATTTCACACACACACACAAGGACAAGCATTGAGTCTAGACATCTGGTGTCAACTGGTTTTTTGGCCCTTTGGTTCTTGGGTTCTTCTGGGTTTTGTTTTGTTTTTATTAATGTGCGTTGATATTTGACCTGTGTGTCTGTGTGAGGGTGTCAGATGCACTTGAGTTATAGACAGTTGTGAGCTGCCATGTGGGTGCTGGGAATTGACCTGGGTCCTCTGGAAGAGCAACCAGTGCTCTTAACTACTGGGCCATCTCTCCAGCCCCCTCTTATATTCTTTTTATCTGATGTCCTCCTGAATTATTTCCTGCATGCTTAAAAGTGTCATGCTATGTCTTCCTTGGGCCTGTTGTCATTTGGATGAGGAAGAACCTCAGCTCTGTAGTGGACTGCCCCCCCTCTTCTTGTTTGGGAAGGTCCCCCTCCTCCTGACAATACAGTTCTAATTTCATCAACCAGAGTATGACTGTTCTAGGGTTGGATCTTACTGGTTTCTATTTCTTGGTCTTCTTGCCATTGCTTTTCTTCCCATAAGCTCCCTTTGAAATTGAACTCTAGGATAACATCTTAAGTGTGCCTTCCATAAATGGATACCATTTTGTATTAAGATTCTTTAGTGCTGTATTGCTACCAATTATCTTAATTAATGCTTTTTATTTGTAGTCTTTTTTATTAAGCCAATCTTTTAATCTCGACCAATTCTTCAGGATTCTTGATTGAAGTTCTGTGCAATGCCTGACAGAATAGTATGTGCTCAGCAACATCAAATGAATTAATATATGAATAAACAAAAACCAGATCTTGGTTGGCATAGCTCACTGAAACTATTAATATAATTTTAGTTATGTATTCATTTTTAGATAATGGCTGTGTTGAGGTGTGATTTGTATGTCATAATATTCACCCATTGTTAGAGTATAATTCAGTGATTTTCTTAGATTATATAGTTGTGCCACTGTGACAACAGTTGAGGCAGATAATTTTCATCTACTGTGGAAAGTCCCACATTGCCTGTTGGCAGTTAAAGTCTTGATTCTGCAGTCTGTTCTCTCTCTGTGAACTTGCCCATATGGATATGCTGTATATGTGTATGTGGTTGTTACTTTTTAGATAGTTAAATGGAGGTTATTATATATATATATATACTGCTCTGTGTTGATGGCGCGTGACTTTAATCCTAGCACTTGGGAGGCAGAGGTAGGTGGATCTCTGTGAGTTTGACGCCAGCCTGGTCTATAGAGGAAGTTCCAGGGCAGCAAGGGCTGTTACCCAGAGAAACCCTGTTTCAGAAACACACACACACACACACACACACACTATTATGAATGGCTTAGACGTACCCCACCCCTATTTGTGTAAAGTATCTGTGCTCTTGTAATTGTTTTTCTAGCATGGTTTCTAGGAGTTTCCTCTGTCTGCCTAGCTCAGTGCCCAGACATCAGCTGGTGCTTGAATAGTGCTTGGATTAGACACCTGAGCTCTTCCACCAGTAGATCTGACCTTGAGCAGGGGAGCTGTCAAGTTCAGGCTGTTTGGACATCTGCTTGTTTCCTTTGCATTCCCTTCCTTTCCCTTTTCCATTCCCTTTTCCTCCGTTCCCTTCTCCTTCTTTAATTTTTTTCAGACAAGGTATCACACTAGTCCATCCTGACCTGTATATAGGTCAGTATATAGCCCAGGCTAGCACCAAACTCCCGGCATTCTACCTGCCTCCAATTTCTAAGTATTGGGATTATAAATCTGAGCCATACAAACTTCTCTGTTCCCGACTCTTTGGTGCCCGAGTTGCCCAGCTAGTACTGCAGCCTCAGCCTGCTAGAGTTGCTCACCTTCTCGTTCAACTTGACAGTGCACTTGGACATGTATCTTGTTCACCCCCTCAAATTAGCAAGCTCCCATCCACTTCTGAGCAAAAGCTGCCAGTGCTGTTTACGCTTCCCTGCTGCCCTTGGTACCTCTTGAGTTGGGAGATGGCGGAGTTAAAGACTCTGGCTTCTTCTGACCAGCTTGTACAGTGTTTAGTTGTAAATGTTCTTAGGTTGTTCATTCCTTCAATTTCCAGAGCACTGAAAGGCCCAATTGTTAATCAAGCTTTATAATTGGTTGGGGTGGGGAATTGACTGCATTGTCACTGGGCCAGAGCTGAAGTCCTGACTCTCAGAATATATTCTCCTCCTCCTCCTCCTTCTTCTCCCCCTCCCCCCTCCTCCTTTTCTCCCCCTCCTTCTCCTCTCCTCCTCCTCTCTTTCTAAGACTTATTTTTTTATTTTTATTTTATGTGTGTGGGTGTTTTGTCTATGTGTATGTTTATGTATCACATATGTGCCTGGCACCCATGGAAGCTGGGAGTGGGCATCAGATCCCCTGAAACTGGAGGTACAGATGAATATTAGCCACCATGTGGGTCCTTGGAATTGGACCCAGGTCCTCTGTAAGAGCAGCAAGTGGTGGGCCATCTCCCCAGCCCCTTAGAATATACTTTTTTCTCTAGTATATCCAGTCATTTCTCTGTTTTAGTTAGCATCCTGCTGGGAAATAGAGCCAGTAGGGTATGTTTAGGGAACACACACACACACACCAGGGGTGGGGAGGATGGAACAGCTAAAAGATTGATTTTAAGGAACTGGCTTAGTGATTATGAGACTACAAATTGAAATCCCTAGGACAGTTAGGCTTATATGAGTTAGTTTGTCTTTTTAATAGAATGTGGAGCTAGTGATGGTGTGTTTGTGTGTGTGTGTGTGTGTGTGTGTGTGTGTGTGTGTGTGTAGCAATTTGAATACAAGTGATCAATATTAGATTGGACTCCCAACATTGAATACATGTCAGAATGAATTAAATTTTGCTAAATTTGCTGCTAAAATAGTTTTGATTTTTCTATTGTGAGCCAGGTGCACAGCTTCAGATTTGTGAAATCAAAAAAAAGCTGTTTCTGATTATAAACATTTGTTTGTTGGAGGAGGTGGGGCTCTCTTCTAGAGGTTGGACCTGGGTCTTCATGCTAGGCAAGCACTCTGCCATTTAGCTGTATTCCCAGCATCCTTTTCTTTTGAGACAAGATCTTGTGAAGTTGCCCACACTGGCCTGGAATGTACTCCGTACTGTAAGGCTGGCCTTAACGCAGTCTGCTTACCTCAGCCTCCTGAGTAGCCAGGTTGTAGGCCTGCACCACAGTGCTTCACCGCCTCGTTTGTGCCCACTTTTGTGGATCTTATGTTCTTAGGATAGTAAAGCATCCAAATTGCTTCTGCTGCGTTCTGTCTAAAATGATTGATGGCTGGTTTGTAAACATCATAATGTGATGGTAATCTTCGTTTTTTTCTTACCAGATGCTGACCATCTTTCTGAAATAGAATCTCCATGGCCTGAACATTTCTTGACAATCATTTTGAGCAAATTATACGTTTAATAAGAAGATAACCACATCAAGATGGTGGGAAAGCTGAAGCAGAACTTACTTTTGGCGTGTCTGGTGATTGGTTCTATGACAGTCTTTTACCTGGGCCAGCATGCCATGGAGTGCCATCACCGAATAGAGGAACGTAGCCAGCCAGCTAGACTGGAGAACCCCAAGACAACTGTGGGAACTGGCCTGGACATCAGACCCAACAAAACACTCACCTATCACAAAGATATGCCTTTAATATTTATCGGAGGTGTGCCTCGGAGTGGAACCACGCTCATGAGGGCTATGCTGGATGCACATCCTGACATCCGCTGTGGAGAGGAAACCAGGGTCATCCCTCGAATCCTTGCCCTGAAGCAGATGTGGTCCCGGTCCAGTAAAGAGAAGATCCGCCTGGATGAGGCTGGTGTCACTGATGAAGTGCTGGATTCTGCCATGCAAGCCTTCCTTCTGGAGGTCATTGTTAAACACGGGGAGCCAGCACCTTACTTATGTAACAAAGATCCTTTTGCCCTGAAATCCTTGACTTACCTTGCTAGGTTATTTCCCAATGCCAAATTTCTCCTGATGGTCCGAGATGGCCGGGCAACAGTACATTCAATGATTTCTCGAAGAGTTACCATAGCTGGATTTGACCTGAACAGCTACAGGGACTGTTTGACCAAGTGGAATCGGGCCATAGAAACCATGTATAACCAGTGTATGGAGGTTGGTTATAAAAAGTGCATGTTGGTTCACTATGAACAGCTTGTCTTACACCCTGAACGGTGGATGAGAACACTCTTAAAGTTCCTCCATATTCCATGGAACCATTCAGTTTTGCACCATGAAGAAATGATCGGGAAAGCTGGGGGAGTGTCTCTGTCAAAGTGAGTAAACACAATGTTTCTTCTTCTTTTTTAACGCTGTATTCAACTGATAAAGGTATGGAAGCATGCCACTTACATTGGCTCAGGCCAGCATTCGAGAGGCAGAGGCAAGCTTCTGTGAGTTTGAGGCCAGCCAGGTCTAGGAAGTGTTGCATACCAGTCATGGCCACAGAGAGACCCTGTCTCAAGAAAAAAAAGGTGTCCACAAGTGTATTTTTGTGTTTGTTTTTCATTGGTGAGGTTTCTTTGGTTCATTCGCTACCAGTTTATTTTCTGTCCTTCCATTTTGATCATATCTAGTGATTTGTGTCTGTTTGATCAGTCCAAACCCAAGTTAAATGCAGTGAAAAGCTTTTTCACTGACCTCAGGCTTCAGTGTCCATCATTCACGTTCAGTGGCTTTTGATTCCCAGGTAGTTCTGCAAATAAGAATAATTGGCTTTTTTTGTAGCTTGTATCAGGAAGTACATCTACCTCATGTGTAAGCACTTAGTGAATTAAAAGCATTTAGATTTTTTTCTTGTCCCTCTTTCCTTCTGTCTCTCTTTCCTTTTTTTTTTTTTTTTTTTTTTTTTTAGACAGGCTCCCATATTCCTCAGGCTAGCTTCAGACTCACTTGTTAGCTGAGGATGACTTTGAACTTCAGGTGTTCATGCAGTGCTGGGGATAGAACCCAGGGTTTCATGTATGCTGGTCAAGCCCTTTCCTGAGTCATATCACTAAGCTGAGTTTAGAAAACCCTACAGGAAAGAGATTGGTAAGCCACAGAAAGAGTAAGGCCAGAGTTAGGATCCAGAGCTTGCCCTTGGTGAGCTCTTGTATTTTCCCAAGGGATTGTACATGTCCCTTGCTGCTTTGGTTATGTAAAGCATATATCCTGTTTTTACGAAAGGCTGGTGAGTCTCCAGTTCTGGGCACCTAGTTCATATAAGAAGCTTGTAGATTCAACGTGCATACATCAGTGTTTTTAGCATTTAATGAAATGTCAGTGTCTGCTTTCTTTCTCCTGAACTAGCTGTCCTGACCCTGATAACCTGATTGGTGAGTGTTATTCTTACAGGGAGGCTATGCAAATGCAAGTTGCTGTTAAATTTGGGAGAGTAGATTGGTTATACTTAATGTCACTTATATCCATATATATTCCCTTATAAAATTGAAATAAAAAAGCAGATCACATACCTCCAACATACAGTAGCACAGGATATACATTATAGCTCCAAAATGTAGGAAGGGAACATAGTGAGGAAAAACTGGACCAAAGCAAGACCAAAAACCAGCTGGGCAAACCCCAAACTCTGTGCTCTGTCTTTCTTTTGTGTGTGTGTGTGTGTGTGTTTTTGTTTGTTTGTTTGTTTATTGTAGTTTTTCAGAATTTCAGTGGGAAGGTTGGTATTTGTGGTGTTTTATGTACCCCAGCTCTGCTTGTCAGGTCAGCTGGACGGAATGGACAGCCTGGATTATTGGTACTGGTTTTCTTTTGTGGTAGTTCCTTGGAAAGCCAGTTTAAAAGTCTCTTTATAGCTGGGTGGAGGTGGCATACACCTTTAGTCCCAGCACTGGGGAGGCAGAGGCAGGGGGATCTCTGTGAGTTCCAGGCCAGCCTGGTCTGTGAGGGAGATCCAGGACAGGCTCCAAAGCTACACAGTGAAATCCTGTCTCGAAAACCAAAAACCAACCCAAACCAAACCAAGTCTCTTTATTCCTTCTGACCCAGAACTGTTTCACCACTGAAGCTGCTGAGAATGTGGAGGCCTATTACCACCAGAAACATTTATGGGCTTTGGTCATGCTGCCTGAGTCAGTAGATAGCAATGTGGACAAACTCCAGAAACCCTGAAAACATATAAGGACTCTGACATGCTTCTGCAAGCACAATGGCCAAGGTCCTGACATGTGTGCATGCCTGGGGAGGCCTTCTGGCTGATCTCAAGGCTCCACAGCAGCAGGAAACAAAGGCAAAGGCAGACTTATAAACCAGCTGGCTGAATGCTGTGCCCCAAACACACATGGAGCTCTTGTGGGTTTAGGCATATAAGAAGCTTTTGTAGCCGGGCAGTGGTGACACATGCCCAGCACTCATGAGGCAGAGGCAGGCGGATCTGAATTCAAGGCCAACCTGGTCTACAGAGTGAGTTCCAGGACAGCCAGGGCTACACAGAGAAACCCTCTCTCAAAAAACCAACAAAACAAAACAAACAAAAAAGAAACTCTGTGTGATTGTTGGCTGACCACCAGTTTGACAAACATAGACTTCAGTACCACATAACAAAAAAGAGATGCAGACTTTTTAGAGTCAATTCTGAAGGAAATTTTAAACTAAGCAACAACTCGGGCAAACTGTGTGTGTTCATTCGTGTGGGGTACACCTATATGCTAATGACCACACATTGTGTATGTGTGCAGGTGGAGGCCAGAAGTCAACCTTGGGTGTTGTTTCTCAAGTGCTGTCCAGCTTGTTTTTTGAGACAGGCTCTCCCACTGGTCTGGAATTCACTTTTAAGGCCCAGGGATCTCTGCCTGTCTCTACTGCTCCAGCACTAGGATTATAAGCATGTGCATTTTGCATATGTTCTGAGGACCAACACTTGCAGAGCAAACGCTTTACGGATGGGGCCATGTCCCCGGTCCTAAATAATTTATTTTTTAATTAAAAACAAGCCAGAAGCAGGTAGATCTCTGTCCTTTCAAGGCCTGGCTTGTCTAGCTAGTGAGTTCCAGGACAGGGTTACATAGAGAGAAACCCTGTCTCAAACAACAACAAAACAATACACAAACAAAAAAGCCAAAAACATCAACCTAAATCTAATTGTGAGTCTGTTGGTTCCTGTGCTGCTTAGTTGGGACTTTTTGTTTTCTTTTCTTTTTGTTTTTGTCAGCTTGACACAAGCCAGGGTCATTTTGGGAAGAGGGACCTTCAGTTGAGAAAATTCCTCCAGGGGCTCTGTAGAGATAACTTAACAGTTAAGAGCAGTTACTGCTCTTGAAGCATCTGGATTCAGTCCCCAGCACCCACACAGTGGTTTATAACCATCTGCAACTCCAGTTCAAGGGATCAAATACCTTCTGATTTCCACAGGCACTGAACACATGTGGTACACACTACATGCAGGCAAAACAGTAACACACACAAAATAAAATGAGTAATTCTGAGAAACAAAGAGAAACATTTCTTTTGTTTTCCTGTAGGCAAGTGTGTGGGACTACTAATTGTTGTGGGAGGGCCCAGCCCACTGTGGGCAGTACCACCCCTGTGCAAGCAATCCTTGGTTCTGTCAGAAAGCAAGCTGGACTAGCCATGGAGAGAGCAGTCCAGGAAACAGTGGCCTTCCCTGGTCTCTGCCTCAGTTCATGCCTCCTCCAGGTTCCTGCCCTGACTTCCCTCAAGGATGGACTGTGATTGGGATGTGTAAGCCAAGTACATCCTTTCCTCCCCAAGTTACTTTTGGTCATGGTGTTTAATCACAGCAACAGAGAGCAAATCAAGACAGTTCACATACTGGATTTGAGTTAGCGTTTTAGTACTTGGCCCTGTGTTACTCCTGAAGTCCAGGACTAATTTGGAAGTCCAGCATAACTGGAAGCAGCCTTTCACCAAACTGGTTGTTACTTCATGCTGGAGGGCCAAAGCAGAATGTGTTAGTGAGGGAACATTTGAGAAACGGGATGCAGTGTTTTCACAACCACATTGGGAAATTAAAAAAAAAAAATGAAATGAGATTTGCTGTTTGCAAAGAATGCAGGGCTGGCTGGCCACACACCAAGATGTTGCTCCACAGAGAAAATAAGACACCCAGGGAAGAACTGCAGCACAACTGCTTTGTCCCCACACAAAAGAATAAAGGCTGAGGCACGGCCAGCCTGTGGGGGAGCTGCAGAGTAGACTAAAGGGAGGCCTTTTTCTCCTTACTCCTGTGTTAACTGTTATTGTAAACTGAGAAATGCTCATTGTTTCTGAAGAATAGAAACAGATTTCCCCAGTTTCTTTTATTCAGTAGATGAGGAGAAATAATCGGATATACAGTATTTAAAGCAGTCATGAAAGTGCATGTTTATTAATTTCATTCTTGAGACAATCACTGATTTTACAAGATGGATATTGAACTTAAACAGCTTGATTAGCATCGAAGAAATTAAAGATGGTGAAGAGATGTCATTTATAAGGTGATCACAACTAGATTATTTCCATCCATTAGAGAACAGATAGTCTGTTACATAAATCATTAGAGAGAGAGAGAGAGAGAGAGAGAGAGAGAGAGAGAGAGAGAGAGAGAGAAAGAGAGAGAGAGAGAGAGAAGCAAGCATTGTGGCTGACACCTGTAGTCCCAGCACTCGAGCTAGAGACAGGGGGATGAGGAGTTGAAGGTTAGCTAGGGTCTGATCTATGGAGAATTGGAGATGTCTCAGTCAGGGTTTCTATTGCTGTGATGAAACACCATGACCAAAAGCAAGTTGGGGAGAAAAGGGTTTTCAGCATACATTCCCATGTCACTGTGCATCTTTGAAGGAGGTCAGGACAGAAACTCAAGCAGGGCAGGAACCTGGAGGCAGGAGCTGATGCAGAGGCCAAGGAGGGGTGCTGCTTACTGACTTGCTCCTCATGGCTTGCTCAACCTGCTTACTTATAGCACCCAGGACCACCAGCCCAGGGATGGCACCACCCTCAATGGGCAGTGTGTAGCCTTGGCTGACCTGGAACTAGACCTAGCCAGCCTCATACTTACGGAGTTCACACTTCCTGAGTGCTGGATATTTTTATTTTTTATGTGTTTGTATGTCTGTATGTGCATGCCATGTCTCTGTAGGCCTGTGAAAACCAGGAAAGGTTGTTTGAGTGCCTAAAGAAGTGTTTCTCAACCTGTGAGTCTTGCCCCCTTAGGGGGTCAAACAACCCTTTCACAGGAGTTGCCTGACATCTCCAGAAAACACAGATATTTACATTAAGATTCATAATGGGCTGGAGAGATGACTCAGAGGTTAAGAGCACCAGCTGCTCTTCCAGAGGTCCTGAGTTCAATTCCCAGCAACCACATGGTGGCTCACAACCATCTATAGTGTGATCTGATGTCCTCTTCTGGTGTGCAGGCATACATGCAGATAGAGCATTCATATACATAAAAATAAATAAAACTTTTTAGAAAAAGGTCCATAACAGTAGCAAAATTATAGTTATGAAGTAGTAATGAAAATAAATTTATGGTGGGGGGGGGGGCGGCTCACTACAACATGAGGAACTATACTAAAGGGTTGTAACCTTAGGAAGGTTGAGAACCAGTGCCCTGGAGCTGCCTGTTATGGGTGGCTGGAAACTGAATGTGGGATCTTCTGCAAGAGCAGCTCTAACCTTAGAGCCATCTCACCAGCCATTTTTTTTTACTCTATACTTTATTTTTGAAGGAAACAGGAATAATAGTTTAATGTTATTTGTAGCATGCTGATCGTCCCTTACATTCTTCTCAGTTCTATACTACTTACCAGTTGGCAGCTGAATCTGGAGGCTTAGACAGGCCCACAGTCTGATTTGGCAATGTTAGTATTAGTGTGTGGTTCTCTTTCTTCCATGATGTTAGCAGCTGTTGATCTTCCATGTCTAGATTTATCAGTTTGCTGTATCTTGTATCTTTTTAAAATTTAATTTTGATTGCTTTTTCATATATTAGTTATAAAAATTTAATGACCTTTTAATATCCCACTGCTCTATTTGTTAGCATTTGTGCATGGTTCTTTGTGTGCACATTGCCCACATGTGTAAGCAGTTATGCTATAGATATGTCATCCGTGTATAGCACATTTTTTATTTTCATATTTACATATTTTGTTTTATGTGTATGAGATTTGTCTATATGTATATGCGTCACCTGCATGCCTGGTGCCTGTGGAGGTCAGAATAAGGCATCACCCGGAAAGTGGAGTTACAGATAGTTGTGAGCTGCCATTTGAGTGCTGGGAGCTGAATCTTGCTCCTTTGCAAGAACATGTGCTCTTAACTACTGAGCCATCATTCTAGCCTACAATATAACACATTTTAAAAAAGATTTTATCTGTGCATATGTGTGTGTCTTTGTGTACACCCATGTGCTCTGTGGGTGCCCACCCAGGCCAGAAGAGAGTGTTGGATCATCTGGAGCTGGAGTGACAGGCAGTCATGAGCCACCCAAAGTGGGTGCTAGGATCTGAACTCTGGTCCACTTTAAGAGCAGCAAGTGCTCTTAGCTACTGAGCCATGTCTCCAGTCCCATAACACCTGAATTTCTGTTGTATATACATTGAAAAATACATTTGTTAGAATTATTAAAATTACATGTATTTGTGTGTCTGTGTGTTTCTGTCTGTCTATACACATGACGTGGTGTGTATATGTGGAACTCAGAGGACAGTTGTTGAAGTTGGTTTTCTACCATGTAGGTTCCAGGGATGGAACTCGAGTCATCAGGCTTGGCAGCTAGTGCCTTTCTTGGCTCAGCTATCTCATTGGTCCTGTCTGCATTTTAAAACCATCTTTCCCAAAGATAAAACCTGAACATTTTCTAATATTAGTCTTTAAAAATATGGCTCCTGGTGGCATTTCATTGTGTATTTCCCTGTGATCATCTGACTTCGGTTACTGACTTTCATTCATTCCTCTTGGCACGTCCACTCCAACACTGATGCTGTACTATGGAGGATTTGAGTTCTGGTAGTAGTTGCTGCATACTGTAATTCAGCTGCGGCTTGACAGACAGTCTGGCTGTGGTGTTTAGCTACTCAACACAGCCCTTCAGGGCTTTGGCCTTGATCCCATTTCTTTTTGGTTGTTGTTTGTTTGGTTGGTTTGGTTTTTCGAGACAGGGTTTCTCTGTGTAGTTTTGGTGCCTGTCCTGGAGCTTTCTCTGTAGACCCAGGCTGGCCTTGAACTCACAGAGATCCACCTGGCTCTGCCTCCCGAGTGCTGGGAATAAGGCATGTGCCACCACTGCCTGGTTTGATCCCATTTGTTGAGATGGAGCAGCTGTCACAGGGGGTGCTGAGCAGAGGCTAATGGGGGTGATGGCTGGTTCATGGGGGTTTTTGAAGCACACCAGTGTGTCAAGCTGTGTTTTAAGGTTCCAGGGAGATGGAGAGTGCCAGAACGATAACTGAAAGCCCTAGTATATATCAAGACTATATGTTGGCTACTTTCTAAAACTGAAGGAGACACGCTTCTGCTGGCCATTCTTTTAAATTTGTATTATGTTTAGAGTGTGTGTGTGTGTGTGTGTGTGTGTGTGGACAACCAGTGGGAGTCAGTTCTCCCCTTTCATCCAGGTGGTCCTGGGGATCAAACTCAGGTTGATAGGCTTGTTGGCAAGTGGAAAGACTAAACCATTTCACCCGCCCATACTATCCATTCTTTTTTCTTGAGACAGGTCTCACTAATGAGGCTTGGCTGACTTTGAACTCACTATGTAGACCAAAACTGGTTTTGAACTCAAAGAAATCCACTTGTTTCTGTCTTCCAAGTGCTGGGATTAAAGGTGTATACCACCATACCTAGCTCCCATACCATCTATTCTAATGAATCATGACAACATCCATCTAACCTTTTATAATTGCTTTATAACATAATGCAGACAATTATGATTTTAATTATTTGCCATGTGTGTGGTGTGACTCTGTGTGTGTGTGTGTGTGTGTGTGTGTGTGAGAGAGAGTGTGTGAGTGAGTGAATATGGGCACATTGTTTGGCTCAGAGGACACATACACAGAGAGAGACAGAGTGGGGGGGGAGGCAGTATATCAACACACTTGACTGACTTGTCAGAAGACAAGTTTTAGAGTCAGCCATCTTCCTCCATTAAGTGCTTTTACCCCCTGAGCCATCTCAGCAGCTCAGACAATTAAAGAATTTAAAGCTATCAAAGAGAATTTACAATCATTTAACTGTTTTTGAGATGAGAGTCTCATGGAGTCAGGCTGACCTCTGACTTGCTCTTGTACACAGGGTTATCCTGGAACTCCTGATTCTCCTGCCTCTGCTTTTGGAGCGCTGAGATTATAGGGTCTGCCACCATGTTTTGGTTTTGTTTAGATTTGAAGTAAGTTATTGTTCATGTTGTTGTTTTCAGAGTGGAAAGATCAACAGACCAAGTCATCAAGCCTGTCAACGTGGGGGCTCTATCAAAGTGGGTTGGGAAGATACCCCCAGATGTTTTACAAGACATGGCCGTGATTGCACCCATGCTTGCTAAACTTGGATATGACCCATATGCCAATCCCCCTAACTATGGAAAACCTGACCCCAAGATCCTTGAAAACACCAGAAGGGTAAGTGAGACTCCCAAAGTAACTAAGGAAACTAGACATGGAATTTGGTTTTGAGTAGATTTTTCTTGTTTTGTTTCTTACTTTTTATGACCAGAAAATTATTTTAAATTACCGTTGTTGTAACTTGTTGAATGCTTTATCATCAGAAGTCTGCAATGTCAGCAAAACCCTTCTTTCAAAGAGCTGTGGAGACAGTTCAACCCTGTGCTCTGCTCAGTTTGTAGGCTGTTGTCCTCTGACTTCCGTTTGCATGCTGACATCTATTCCTATAGCTGATTACCCCAAATTCTCACAAACACCAGAATTATTAGTGACCTTACTTCTGGTTTCTTTTTCCTTTCCTTAAGTATGAGGAGCACTTTACTCTTAAGGCTTTGTTTAGATGAGATGTGATTTCTTGACCCCCCCTGAAGGCCAGACGTTAGCTACATGAGAAGAAAGATTAGATATGCTAGCGCTGTGTTCAAAGTTACTAGTAAGGGCTGGGGAGATGACTCAGTCAGTAAAGCTTGTTACTCAGATAGAAGGTCCTGGGTTCAGTCCCCAGAACCCACAGAACTGCTAGGTGTGATAGCCACCTCGATATACATGTGGACATGCAGTCCCCCAACATATATAGTCACACATACAAAATACATTTTGTCGTGGAGAGATGTCTCAGTAGTTAAGAGCACTGGCTGCTACCTGGCAGCTCACAACTGCCTCTGACTTCAGTTCCAGGTCATCAGATGCCATTTTTTGGCCTCCAAGGATACTGTATACACATGGTGCACTACATCCATGCAGACAAAACACTTAAATACATACAACAAAAATAAACAGGATTGCAGCTTTACAGAATGTTGTTTCAGAAAGTGCTAAAGATTTGAACTAATGTGACTAAATACATTGGTGGTTAGGTCTGGTTTCAAATCAGCATTTTATATTTTTGCTGAAAGTTTTTATTGGGTAAGATAAACATGAAATTTACACTTTTTTTGACATCCAGGTTGAGTTGGATTTTGTCAGAGTCTCCTATGGCTCAAGCTGGCCTTTAACTCACTATATAGAAGAGGTGCTTGGTACTTAATATAGGTTATATATTTTAGGGTTTTCATTAAGGTTAGATTAATAAAGGTGAGATTGAACAGGTCAAAGTCTCTGAGATTTTTTTTTTTGGTTTTTCGAGACAGGGTTTCTCTGTGTAGCTTTGCGCCTTTCCTGGAACTCGCTTTGTAGACCAGGCTGGCCTCGAACTCACAGAGATCCGCCTGGCTCTGCCTCCCGAGTGCTGGGATTAAAGGCATGCGCCACCACCGCCCGTCGAGATTTTTTTTTAAGGTGCTTGATATATGGTGCTGAACACACATGTATACTGCAGAAACTTTTGAAAACCAACATAATGGAGGTGATTTAGATTTTTGTTAATTTTAATAGGCATCACTGATTAATATAATTGAACATTTCTAGTTTATTAGCTGTTTGTATGTGGATTTGTTTGTTTGTTTGTTTTGTTTTGGTTTTTTTTCAAGACAGGGTTTCTCTGTGTTTCTCTTGACTGTCCTAGAACTTACTTTGTAGACGAGGCTGGCCTTGAACTCACAGAGATCCGCCTCTCGAGTGCCGGTATTAAAGGTGTGAGCCACCAACGCCCATCTCTTGGCATGTGTTTTATGAACTGCCTTTTAGGTTTCTAAAAAGTTTTATTATTTCATATATTGAAGTTTTGAACTGCAGTTTGCTAAATAGCAAACCAACATTAGTCTAGCCTCCCACTCGGCAATCCCTGACAGTCTTTTTGTAATGGGCTGTAACCAGTAGCTTTCTCCTGTGCACAGGACTGAAAGGGATTTCTGTAAACCAAGATACGTGTGTCAACAATATTCCCAGGTTCCCAGGACAGTAGTCACTACAGTTTCACATGTGCATGCTGTCTTTGCTCGATTACTCTTGGCTTTCTTGAGGGGTAGTTGGGAAGAATGCTGTGGTTTGAATCCATGTGACTCGAGAATGTGTTTTATACACACTGTGGCTTTTGAAAGGGTTTCTTAATGCATCCTGGGGGTGGAGATTTAAGAAAGAAAAGATGAATTCCATTATTGATCCCTTTGTAATAATGTATGCAATACTAATGTGCTTGGATTTTTGTTTGTTATTGTACATTTACTGTGTGTGCTATGTGGCATGCATGTGGAAGTCAAAGGACAATTCTGTGGAGAAAATTCTCTTCTTCCACTTCTATGTGGGTTCCAGGAGTCAGACTCAGCTTGCCAGGTTTGCATTGCTAGCGGTTTGAACCTAGTGAACCATCTTGCTGACCCCAGCCTTGTTTTTGAATTTGAGTTTCATTGTCTGTCTTACTAGCTAGCTGTATTTCAAACCAAATCCTGTGTATCGTCAAAATTTTTACTTTGTTTTTTTTTTTTCTTTTGCCTTTGATGACTGAGATGCTGATAATATGCAGCAGTCATGCGCAATCATGATCATATACTTCCAAAGAGATCTCTAATTGTCAGATTTGGGTGACTCCAGAGAAAAAAGGTGGCTGCAGAAATTGTGCCTTTACTTATGGTGGTGAGAGGGGAGGGAGAGGGGAGGAGAAAAAACACGTTTTGACTGGGAATGTAGAAGTTCCTATTTAGGCCTAAAAATGCTGGTTGTCATAGAGTGTGCAGAGCCCAGAAGTAATGATGCCTGAGTCAGCACATCTTAGGAATACATTGTCCAGTTTTAAATCAAAGTCATGTGTGTTGTGATTGCCGTGACTCACACAGTAAACTAGAAACGATATGCTAACACGTTCCATGCCCTCTCCCACCACTCTCTAATCCCCAGACAGTGGACACTTTTATAAATAATGCTCTCTGGGTCACATTTCAGCCTTCTCCCTCTCCCATAGCTTTTTAACCTTTTTAGACTTAGCAGCTTATTTGACAATGTGACCAAATATAGACCCTCCCTACCTCAGAAATGTAGGCATATGCATACATTGAATTTCAGTGGACACAGATTAAAGTCTCCTGTATCATAGTGTTCTTGTCAAGCTCATCCACCCTTAAGACTTTTTATTACAACCTCTTTGCTGATGACTGTCACTCTATGGGTTTTTTCTGAGGGGGAGGTGCTTTTGCTGAGCTGAAGGTTCATTGTTCCTAACTGCTACTTGGGTGCACGAAAGAACCTCAAAAATCTAGCGTTTTTACTGTCCAAACTTGTTGAGAGTTGGCTGGAATTGTTCCCAGCTGGAAGCAATCCAGACTAGGTAATAGGAATGCAGCTGTGACGGCCCACATGCGCAGAGTCTGCGAGTCAGAGAACAGATAGGAGTTGGTGCACATAGGCCAAGCCCAATGCTGTTTGAAGACCTGGTTGTTAAACTTGAAGAATCAGGGTCTTGGTTGTAGCTCAGTGGTAGAGCACTTTGCTAGCATGTGTGAGGCCCTGGATTCAATCCCTTGTGCTACTACAAAATGAAGTAAAATTGAACAGTGAGCTGAAAAGAAGTTCCAAGCCAGGTATGGTGGTGCAGGCATGTAATTCCAGCACTTGGGAGGCAGAGTGTAAAGGTCATCACCAATTTAAGCCACAGTGGTCTACCCTGGGATTCCAGGGCAGCGTCAACTACAGAATAGGATCTTGTCTCAAGAAAAGGTATATGTGGGGCTGGAGAGATGGTTCAGTGGTAAAGAGTACTTGCTGCTCTTGTACAAGTACCCACATGGCAACTCATAAACAGTCTGTACCTCCAGTTCCAGGGGATCTGATACCCTCTTTTAGCTTCCGTGGACACCAGGCATACATATACATTCATGTAAAACATCATTCACATAAAAAATTTTAAAAAGAAAAGCTATGTAACAGTAATAATTGAAGAAGTACGAATTTGAGAGAGGGTGGGGAGGCATAGAAGAAGCCGGAGTGGGGAGAAGATGGGGTAGAAATGTGGTACATGCAGTACTCATGTTTGAAACTCTCAAAAACAAAAATAAATGTTTCTTGTTTCTTAAACAAGAAAGCCAAGAGGGAAGAGGAGGTAAAGCAGCTTCAAGTAAGAATGGCATGTCCCATGCCGACCCTACTGAGAAAAGAAGAAGTCGTAGTCAGTGAGAAGCAAGGGTCAGGGTGCAGAAGGTGCACTACAAGACAAGAGGGAACTTGCAGTGAGTGAGGAAAGCTGGGTTAACTGCCTGACCCCTGCAGTCGGAAGCCATGTCCAGGGCCACAGAGATGGCTCAGTTGGTAAAGGCACCTGTCAGCCTGACACCTTGAGTTCTGTCCATGGAACCCATGGTGGATGGAGAAAGCTGTTCACTGACCTCCATACATACACCAGGGCACACCTGCACACACACAAGTACACACCCAGTAACACACTCCCTTAAATAGGTTATTTAGAAAAGAAAGGAAGAAACTGCAGCAGGTGAAACAAGCACTTGCTAGAGCCTAGAAAGTACTGTCGCATGTTCACTTGCCTGTTCCCAGCCAAAGCTGCTTCTGCTTGTGTGTCTCTGTGCATGGCATTCTTGTTTGTCCAGCTGGTCACCTTAGGATCACCTAGCATTGCAGATCCCATGTGAAAATTCTTGAGTAGGGCCTGGAGAGATGGCTCAGTAGTTAAGAGTGCTTGCCCCTCTTAGAGAGGACCTGCACTCACCACCTACCTCCAATTCCAACTCCAGGAGATCTGATACCTTCTTTTGGCCTCTGCAGGCACCTTAACTGTAAGCACACAGACACACACACACACACACACACACACACACACACACACACACACACACACTCCTACCTAAAATAAATCTTAAAAAAATATTGTTAAGTATTTAACAATACTTGGCTGAGCAGTGGTGGCACACTCCTTTAATCCCAGCACTTGGGAGCAGAGGTAGGCAGATCTCTGTGAGTTCAAGACCAGCCTGGTCTACAGAGTGAGTTCCAGGACAGCCAGGGCTACACAGAGAAACCCTGTCTTGAAACAAACAAAAAGTAGCTCTACTCTTAGTATGTTGTATAGTCTAGAC